CTCTTTTTTTATTAGGAAATCTCTATGTACATCGCTGTAACAAGAATCCCTTAGTACTGCTGCTTTTTGAATACCATCAGCATGTGTAGTTTATTGAATAGTTTCTATATGGCTCTTCTTTTGTATTTTTTTCCCCTACTATTTTTTGTATACTATTATTCCATCCTTTTTTTTACTACCTGTGCTGACGCGTCACCGTCAGTGCCGTGTGGTCTAATAAAGCACTATCATTGGCTATATGCACGTATGAGCAATATACTATATGCATGTGTGAGCAATTTTGAGCAAATGAAAAGGGGTGTATGAGTGGTTTTTGAGCAAATAGAATTGGATAAAGGGAATGGAAGTTTGTTTCTCCCAACGAATCATTAGCAAGCCCTAATGCACAGGAAGCCACGAACTCGCCAATGTCACTGTGTCGCTTAAACATCTCTCCAGCCAGTAAGAAGCTACAAATGACATGCAGGAGACGTGTATCACCCGTAAACAAAACGGTCATTCAGTGTACTCTGAAAGTACTCTGAAAGCCATCATGAAAGCACTCTGAAAGCACTCTGAAAGTACCGCTTTCAGTGTGCTTTCAGTGCCTCTGAAATCGCTTGCCAACTCCAGTGGGGGTTTGACTGCCATACTTCTGGAGTGTATGTTTAGACCAAAAATAAGCTCACAAAAATAGTTTTCTATATAAGGCAGCTTCAGTGGCTATGTGACTGCTATTGCCGTTTTAGTATGTTGTTGCTATACATGGTAGGTACATGTACTGCAATTTATAGCTCTTTAGCTACAATATTACATCTTCTAGAGGTCTTAATATACCTTAAATAAAGCCACTTTCAGTGATTTTTATACATCCTCATATGTAATGTCTAAAATAAGCAATGTGCCTATCTTCTATAAAAGCATATTTAGATGTATCTTTGACTTCTTCCTTGTTGTTGATTCTTTGTTGGCGCCTGATAGCCGACAGTTCGATCAAAACATTACCGGTATTGGCACCAGCATCTCGCTTTGAATGGATGCGACGCTTTATTTCGCCAATTGCTCTTTCCATGGCAAAAGCTGCTAAAAATGGTAATGGCCCAAGTCGTTCGATCGTCTTGTAATGGTGCGCCAACAGATGCATGTTAATTGTATGCACATTTGGAGAGATATGACCGGACTTTGACTGTTCATACAGCCACTTGGTCCAAGAGTTTGCCGCATGTTTGAGCTCACCGATTTGATCTACACCAATTACTCGACAGAATGTATAGCGAAAAACGGTTGCCAAATTTGCCAGGGCTTGTCTTATACTAGCATCATCATAGAAATCCCGGATCGTAGTAGAAAACTAATACAAGCCAACATGAATCCAGTCAATTGCATGGTAGAAACCACTTTGAAATGCAATGTCGCCACAATCTGCACTAACGGACGATAGGGTAGACGCCCTTGATGCTTCAATTAACATGCCGATCTCGTTCCGTGTGGCTCGTGATAAGTACAATGGATTTCCTTCTTGCCCGTATTTTCCACAGATTATCTGCCATACTTGTTTGGCTACACCTGCCATATTGTGCATAGGATCCACGGGAAAATAGGTGGCACCATGAAAAACTGGGAGTTTTGAAAATGGCGTGGCTTTCTTGTGTCCTTTTGCATCATTGATTGCTTTCTTTGAAGGGTTTGGGGCTCTTTTTTGCTTGAATGATTGGATCGACCGTACAGTAGGCTTTTCGTCTGCTTCTTTTAGTGCTGCTTCTTGGGTGGATGTGGATACTAATTTCTCATACGGCGGAAATATCATGGTGTTGTTGATGTATTTGCCTCCGAGTGTACAAAATCTGCAGCCGTAGTAATGGTGATGAGAAGACATACACGCCATACGGGTTGATGCCGGGTAGTCGCCTCCAACGAAAAGAAGGTGTGCCTTGACGTTAATAGTAGCCTGATCCACGGTTACATCCATGCCATGATTGCAGAGTTCATGAAGCTCTTGTATGGTTGGCTCCAGGAAGCTGAAAAGATCAACTGGTTTTACTGGACCGGGGCAGATGCAAACTTGAAGCATGTATTTGTCTTGAGTTCGGACACTTGGTGGAAAATTATAGACGATGACATTCACAATGGTCATAGAATGCTGTGAGCGACGAAATGGGTTGAAGTCGTCAGTAAAAATCGCAATCCCCAGATCCATTTCGCCAGTAAAGAAGGTAGGCTTTAGAATTATATAAACGGCACTGTCCCAAAAATCCTTCATCAAGCCTTCCTCGGATACATATTCAGCGCGATACTTGAGCAGTTCGCAGGTGGCTTCATCCCGGATTAACAGCCGAAGCTGTTCTTTCAACGATAACTGGATCATCGTCTTGCGTGCTGGTTTTCCGTCAGCTTTGAACCGTAGGGTATGGCATGCTGAACATGACGTGCTTCTATCGCTCTTGGTGTACATCTTACAACCATTCTCGCATACATCATACTCAGACGGCTCAAGTGGATAGCTTTTGCGTAAGACAGCACGTGCTGAATGGTAGCTGAGAAGCGGTGGGAGGACGCCCTTGATATACTTGTTGGTTCGTTTTATAAACTTGTCAAATAGTGCCCGTGTTCCTCCATGTCGAACATGAAAACCAAACATGTCAATGCTTGCTTCTACGTTTTCTTCTTGATCGAGTTCAGCGTCGTTGCTGTTGAATCGTTGATTAAAAGCGACTTTGCTACTACTTGTATTCTCATAACGATTTTGAGGAGGCGTATTGATACTGAAAACTGATTGGAACCGACGTCTGACGCTGCTAACACTCGACTGAAGTGAGCGTGCTATTTTACTGCCGCCTCTTTGACTTGAGGTGCTGGCGGTTATTGTTTCGAGGCTGCTTACACGGGATAGCGGCTCAGGTACCGAAACATTGTCATCCGAAAATTTGTGCAGCGCTCGTCTGGCAGCTTGTGTTTGCTCTTCATGCAAAGAATTGCTGGTGGATGGTTGACTACTACTTCCTGCAGGCTGAAAGCAGAGTTAATAGGTGTCTTACCGATAGTAAAACAAATTACCTAGCTTTCAATAAAAGCAGTAAATTCATGCTCCACTTTTTTAATCGTCTTTTGAATACAAATTGTGCGATGAGCATTGTGATCGGCAGCGGTAGCCTTTCTTTCGATGCCGCAAAATGGACATTTGAAGTTGGACTCTCTTGCTATTGCTGCTTTTTGGGGATTTTTGCTCATGACTCTGAGGCTAGTGAGAAAGTGAATTCAAAATAAAAACTTTTTTTTTCCAAGCACACAATGCATGAAACACTTAGGGGCCGACCCGTCATTACGCCGACAACCATAAACTAACTCGCGACAGTTAAGGGTTCCTAACGTGTACTTTTCACTTTGACACAGCCGTTAAAAGCAGAAATATCTCTTTTTCTCCTACTCCCATGAAATGGCGAGTCTAGCAGCAGAAAGTGACGAAATACCTACAGGCATACTAGGTCTAATTTCGAGCTTTTTGAACACGGCCAGGGATATCAAACGGCGACTGAATGAAGGTTTCCTTGGAATGCAAACCGAGATCACAGAGCTTCAGGAACACTAGCAACCATGAGCAATAGAATTGCCGATCTTGAGCAAACCGTCGAGCATCTGAATCTTGGCGCTGCCTCTGCACAGCTTCCAACATACCCGCAAAGCACGGCTATTGGTATGGAAGCTAGTCCATTTAACGGTATCCAGTTGCGCCGTGTCGTGTTGCATCCAGCAGATAACGACGGAAGATTGAGGCAGTTCTCTTGGGAGCTATACGACATCCTCTGGCAGCACGTTTTGGGCAATAATACATGGGACCACTCGTATCTTACCACATTTAAGCAGAATGTCATGCCTTTTGCTGACGGACTGGTCGATTATATGCGACAAACGGAAAACGTAGCAGTAACGGCGACATGGTCTGACTTGACGGACACCCAGCAGCGCAAGGCGATTGTATTGCTCGAGGATGGTGTAGTCAACGAATACCCATTGAAAGCCTGTGCTGGATACTGGGGCGCACGGCTCATCCTTGTCAGAGCTTTTTTTAAGAAGAAGATCCCTAGCCAAGCAGGAGGTACGGAATAAGCTACTTTTTATGTATTCGTGTCCACACTTATGTTGTGTCTTGTACATACAGTAGGTCCAACAACACCAATACCTCTAGAGAGGACAAGTATACACAGAAGTTTGCTGGAAAACTTAGAGCAATGCAATGTTTGTCTGGAGCCCGAGCTCCTTAATCAGCAGCTGACCCAAGGGTATTGATGATGCTTATACTTGTTTATAGATGCAATTGTAACTTTTAATAACACCTTTTTTGTGTTAAAGCTCAATTGATCAGCAAAGCATCACGGAAGAAGATGAGCAGACCTGCTAAGCAAATGAAGAAGAAATCGATGATCAAAGCAGCACTAGTGACGATGATGAAGAAAATTTCTTTAACGCTGACCAGGACACTCAGGAAGATTGTGATCACGAAAGGTATGAAACCATGTAAGATTTGATACATGTGATCGACTGCAATCGACTATAATCATTAATATGGATTTCCTGTATTGCATCATTACCTATCATAAGTGATATTGATGAAGACGAAGGCCCACTGTCTCTGGAGGCACAACTGACATCAAGCGAGGAGGATGAACAGGTCACACACCTGCCAACTACCAGTGGCAAAAAAGCAAAAACGAAAGGAAAGTCGCCAGCGCAGAAGCAGCCAGCGCGGCGAATAAAGCAGCTTGTCAACAAAGCAAGCATCCCCAGAAAAAAAGGTAAAGGTACAATGAGTTGCTATCCTTACATTATAATATAATGCATAAAAGTTAAAAGAAAATCATATCACTACCCGTTCTGTAGAACGTTCTCCCGTCATTTCAGAAAAACAGGAGCGCCTTAAAAGAAATGTTCGTACAAAAAGCCCAACCCCGGTCGATCCAGTCCCCACAAAACGTACTCGCGTCATGCGTACAGTTGCGTCAAAAATATGAGCACATAATAAATAGTCTTGCAATATCCACGTTGCCCCATCCAACCCATTAAAAGCTCACCAATAAAGTGATTTTGTTCTATCTCCCATTTAAACATCGAGCGTAAAAAACCAATATATTATCGCTTTTATGATCTATGCATATGAATAATATTTGAAAGCTATTCAATGAGATCTTATATCTACAGCCGTAAATATTCTACATTATTTCAAATGTTTAAAAAGTATTTAAAAGTGTTCAGAATCCATATGCGAAAAATATTTGAAAAGTGTTCTATACAGCTGCAAAATGAATATGTGTATACTTGCATATTTTCTAAATTTTTATTGAATATATTTTTACGAGGGTGCTGTGTATTATATAGCTCTCTTTGAAATTAAAGACCCAGCGGTATTAGTTGATCACTAGATGGAGAAGCTCGTTACAAATTTAAAGAACAAAATCATTTCCCTGGAAACCGAACAAGAGAAAGTCAATCTCTTATCCCGTTTTGAGGAGATCCTTGAGGAAGACGTTACGACTGTTGATCTCACTGAAGTCACGTTTCCTGAACCAGTTGCTACGAAAGGAAGGCCCAAAAATACGAAGGACAAAAGGATCCCATCTTCTTTTGAGACCGAAAAGAAAGAAGAACTGCTTAATGCTGCTAGTAACAATAAGCCTAAAAAGGCCCTTCAAACAAGCGAAGTACAACACGACGACTATGTCCTTTCCAACATCGAAAAGGGATCAAGAAACTTTGTGTTTGGAACGTGCTCATTAAAAGGTCAGTCTTTTTGTATTCAGAACAATTCTTCGTCATATGTACTATTCCCATTTTATATTAATAAATGTATATATGATTGTACATATAGGATTCGTACCGAGGTTAAACCAGAGTCTTTCTCCTTTTTAGTTCACCCAGATATTCCAAGGGATTGCATTCATGGGACAGTTAATATTGCTTCTGACGGCTGGTGTGGCTTCCGCACCATCGCGCATTGCGTTAAAGGAGACCAAGAACAATTCATGACGGTCAAAAGGGAAATGTTAGAGTGCCTGCACAAAAACAAGGACATATATTCGAAGTATTTCATCAGCATGTATGACCTTGCTCGCCTCGTGGAGACGATCGCTTTTGGCCTTGACTATACCCGCAACACTGAAGGCAAATATCCAAGGTGCCCCAGCAAGCATTGGTTCTACACTCCTAGTTGTGCCCAACTTGCTGCTGATACATACAGACGACCTATTGCTGTGTATCTGGACAGAGATGACAAAAACAAAAATGGAATGTACTGTACTGCGCCATTGTTGTTTGTACCATTTGAAGGACCAGGAACGAATGCTCGACCGTTACCTCTTATCAAGCAGTTCGTTTCAGGATGTCATTGGGCGACATTAGAAATGAAAACTGCAAAGAAACTACAATGGCCTTTTATCGAACGATCTGTTGTAACAGCTTGTGAAAAGATGGGTCACATGCATGATTTGCGCAAAAAGTTTGGAGATATCTGGACATCAAAAAGGTCAACATTGAGGAAAATGTTTAGAAAGAAACAATTTTTTTAAATAGTTTTTTCTTATGCATCTGTGTGACGCTTTCACATATCATTATCAATTTTCTCCTATTCCTTTTGTCTCAATACTAACATTTAATATACATATCCATGATAAAATCGATAAATATCAACTCAAGCTTTATTTCGCTCTTAGCACTCCATTTTGCACTCAATTGTCTACATCCTGCACTCCAACATCAGAAGGTCCATCAAGCGATATATTTATAAAGCAACTGTTTATTTTTGTGCAACTATTTGGTTTATTTGAGGAAAAATGGAGTGTCGAGTCACTTTTTTGGAGTGTCCCTAGTAATACCCTTTTAATAATCAATATGTTGCTATGGCAACCAACGACCAATGGAAGATATCTGTACTTGCAGCAGACGTTCTTGATTTGATGCTGACGCTGCTTGCCTTTGCTATTTGCTCCTATGCACTCTCAATATTATTCTTGCTTACAAGCAGAAACACTGTTTTCCTCGTATGAGTTTCGTCGACTTCATTTTCAATTTTGCGACACCGCAGTAGCACATTTATCGATAATTAAGGTTAAACAGCTTGGACAACGTAAAGCTCTGTAGTAACTAACAGCTTTCTTACAGACCAACGTACATCCTGTCAAACGTTCTGGGGTTGTCCCTGCCGCCCGTTACCCCTAAAAAATGCTAAGCACTCGCCGGAACACTGCCGTAATACATTCAAAAAAGATGCTAATACGTACAATCACTAGGGCATACGACCATGCAAGAATAAGCTATTACAAAGTGACAATTACATATGTATCGGACGCTCTACCTTTCAAAAATTTATTCAGCGTTGGCTAGATACAGTATGTGATTTAGGGTTAAAAGCAAGAGCTTGACAAACACAACGGTGCCGGCCGTGTTCACAGGAGTTTGTTCTTTATACAATACAGCGGTGCCAAGATTAATGGAGCATGTATATACACAATAATACCCTCAACGAGTAAGTAGAGCGCCGGTACGAATAGGCATTAGTGCGTTGATCTTACTCAGTACTTCAAGTAACATTTAAACATAATTATTGTGAAAACCGAATGCCACCAAGGGTGAAATCGACGAAATTATCGATTCAAATCATCAGAACCAAAATTTCGGTTAAAGTGTGCGTAAATCGAAATATTGCGGCATTTTTTGGGTCATGACAATCAAACCGCAAGCAATCAGTATCAAGTGGTGTGCATTTTTACTTTATTAGCTGATGAGCTCTAACCGTTGCGAGAGCAAATGCTGTTCTCACTAAATTAAAAACACGAAACGACAATACTAAAAACTAGATCAAACGCGTTCTTTGGTACTTCATAGATAGGTTCTCCGTCAATTGTTCGAAGACATGCAGACTCAATTATTGAGTCTGAAGGTCAGACATTGGACCGGATCGAGGATCACACGGCCATATCATAGCAACAGACGACACTGAAAAAGGTCTAAAGGACGTTGGTCAAGCTATTAGAATTTCCAAAAGTACACGAGCAGTGTGGCGGAAACTCTTCTCTGTAGGCACGCACGCAAAAGTATAGCGTATTACATTCAAGTCATCAGAAAAGTGAAAAGAAGCCTAATAAAAGTTTGATAGTATTATGCGATATACAGTAGCTGCGAGACCAATAGTGAGAGTCTCTGTGGTTGCTTTTATCACACAGGCCAGACTGGGTGAACGATACTATGATACATAGTCGGGAGCTTTAATTTCCAGAGGGAGGTGTTTTGTCAAAGATGAGCAAACAAATAACATCATCAGCTTAAGAAAGCAGCTTACATGGAACAAGCCCAACTATCTGGGCTATGGCGAGCATATCTTATAATAAAATGGTGATCGCTTATAAGCTGGGTTTCCTGCTATGTTGGTTCTAGAATGATTTTTGCTGCGGCTCAGCTTGTTTTTTGTAGATGAGGGCGATCATTACCGTACCTTGTACCTGCACATATTGTTTGCGAAATATATACGAGAGTTATAATCCTGCATACGCGCGGCATAAAAGTACCTGGTAACCCCAATATTCGCCTTTTCTCTCAAAAGCAGGGACACAGTCAAAAAATAGTTTTCCAACGTTCACTGTTATTACAACGAGGACACTACCCATTTATATGTACTTGAGCTACTCCTATCATATTTGTGGAAAGCAAAGATTATTACTGACTGTTTGAAGAATTGAATACTCTTATTCAAGGTGTAAAGAATTTGCATTTAATGGCGTAAGCGAGCGTACCAGATTTTCAGGAACTCATTTTTCCTTTATGGACACGAGGATTTTTCAATTGCAGGAAGATCCCGTGAGATAGAGCCCTTAAATAAACGGTCAGTACTCACCACTTGTAAAGTTCAATGATGAAAATTGTTTTGAAAAGGAAAAATAACGAGGTTTGAAGTTCATAAAACGCTTTGATTATCGAGGTTGAAAAAATCTGGGTACCACTGTATGTATGTATGCCTGCAGTATTCAAAGACATAGCGAACCGTTTCCTTGTCTTTGAATAAACGACCACGTGATTAAGGTGGAAGAGCTCACTAATTACTCGATGATGAGTATCACGCACCCCTATTTGTAGCGCGTACAATTCAAAGCAAAGAAAATTTTGGGAAAACGTTACACGTAACATTGGATAGGATAAATGATTAAATGGTATAGACACACACACAATCTGTCTGTAGAATAGGTTCAATGTGACAGCATTGAGTTCTCTTGTCCCTTTCTGACCTATCTTCACAGATGCTTGTTTGCCTTCAAAGACTTTCCGAAACGCTGCACATCATCCACCAACACATCCGAGACTTCTAATGCTGGAAAATGTCCGCCCTAATAAAGGAAAGCCGTTAATCCTTGACAAGATCAATCATTGTAATGGATCCATCCACTCAAACTCGCTGCATACCACATTCTGTTCATTATACTGCACGAGATTACCAGTCGCCTCCAACCATTCACGAGGAAACTGTAAATACAATCCAATCAAATGTTAGGTACTGTGTGCTCATAATCGAATAGTTATTCTGTTACACCCTACCTTGGTAAGTTCTCCGGGAAAGTAAGCTACCGCCATGGGGATAGTAACGGAGCCCATGAAGACCCTTTTCATTCCTGCTTCGTTAAAAGCCTCGTAATACAGGCGTGTAGACGATGACATTGTGTTTGTCAGCCAGTAGATGGTAACTTGCGTCAGGAATTCTTCGGTCGTGACAGTTTCTGGTAACGCTTGGGTCTCTACGTTACCAGAAGGATGATACGTCCAATTGTGGAATTTCTCAAGCATCCATGCTTTGTTGTAATAAGGTTACTTATTTTCCTAAAATATACGTATACGTACATCATCAACTCACCTAAAAGACCCACAGGGCTATCAGTTAACCCGTATGCTAACGTGTATGGTCGAGTGGCCTGTATAGCCCGATATCCGGCATCTCGATCATTTTGCACATCGGCAAATGACTTTCCCTTGAGCTTCACAACGCCCTGACCGTACACAGGACCGAAACCGAGAGCAATACTTGCGAGAAACTTGGCCACCTTGACAGGGTGAGAAAACAAAAACGAGGGCGTAGGTAACGGTGGTGAGCAGAGTGGCATCACCGTGTGGTACCCCTTGCAATGCACCGATCTTTCCATGGCCATCCATTTTCCAATCATACTTCCCCAATCGGATCCGTGTACAACTATGTTGTATGAATCAGTTAACTCAAACCGTGCTCTTGTTAAATTTTGGGATACACGTACAGTACTCATTGTACCCGATGGTGGTCATGAGGTCGTCCATAATTTCGGCATTCTTTCCAACACCGTGACCAGGTAGTTTGGGTGCTTCTGAGAACCCGTAGCCGGGTAAGCTGGGAATCACGACGTGAAAAGCCTATCAACAATACCAATTTATTGTGTGTAAGCATAATGAGCCTGGATAATTAGTTTTAATTCATTACCTGACCTCCATTTGCGCCGTCTCGGAGAGGCTGGATTACTTTGTGATATTCATAAAAGTTGGATGGCCAGCCATTCAACAAAAGGAGAGGAATAGCATCGGGACTGTCTGAAGGCTCATGAATAAAGTGGACACGTAAGCCCTGAATGGTTACTTGGTAATGGTGCCATTGATTCATCTCAGCACGCGCTTTTTCCCAGTCGTACTCGTTGAGCCATGCTTTCACCAGCGGTTCGACAGCCCAGCGAGGCGCGCCGTATGTCCATCCGGCATCCTTCTCAAGCTCGTTAGGATACTCGGCATTTTGGAGTTTCTGCTTGAGCAAAGCGAGCCGCTCAGACGGGATAGAGGGGATTTCAAAAGGTTCGATGGACATTGTTTGTTATCGAGGAAAATAAGGAAAGAGAAGAAGATTCTGGATTTTTATGCAGCTCGATGCTAAATATATGCTAGGTTATTCCGCCGCTTATCCAATTGTTACGCCGCAGGCTGGTTGACAAGTGATTTTTCTTGAACCTGTGGTTGTTACACACACATATGCGCTTGTACCATATTGCTTGCAACGCAAAACCTGGAAACAATACATCGCTACCATCGGTCTTGTTGCCTTTCTTTTATATGAGTCATAACCCTTCCGAAAACGTCATTAAGCGGCTTCCCTAAATTATTTTGACATTTGCCGCGAGAAAATTAATTTGAACCGAAAGTACTGAGCATAGTTGCGTATATGTAGTACATGAGAAGATATAAAGTGATGTCAGGAGGAGGGAGATACTGTAGTCTGCGAAATGATTACTCGTCTACGTATGCATATTCTTTAGTCGGTCGATTGGCGCTGTATGAACTTTCCAATAATATACATACCGTAACTCTGACATCATCTTTTCAGTAGATATTACGTACAGTTTCTCTTACTATGTTTAAGCATTATTGAAACGTTGCTTTTGGTGGATAGGCAAGTATATCAAAAGAGCTCTATAAGTTTGACTTTTTCTTCTTGGCTGGCTGCGCCATTGCAACTGCCATTTGATGTCAAATCAAAGTAATAGAAAAGCAGAGATGGTGATGCCGAAAACATATCATAAATTATACCAGAATTACTTTCATGGTTTTTATTCTTCTGAATGTACCTCGCACTAGCAAGTAATTAACCATCCTTGCAAAAACAATTTTGTAATAAGGGCTAGGCTGCATATTGTTGTCGAACACAGGCAAGGCTGGATCGTTGCTCATAATATAAAACGATTTACTATAGTAGTTACTGCTTGCTGTCGTTATGATAGAGCGAAGCTTTGCAGTGTGTAAGGATGGATTGTAGTCGTCAATACTGCATAGTAGTTGCTATTGCAATTTTCGATGTTGCTCGACAACAAGTTGAGCAACACAAAAAACCCCGCTCGCTAGATTTGAGCTCTTCCATTTCCACGATACATGCATCACCAGGTTTGAAAAAGAACGATTGGACCACGATAATAAGTCAGTCGGTTGAGTCCTTTCTCTATTGCAGCATCACAGGATCAAAACAAGCTCAACATAAGCAGGAAAGCGAATTGTTGTCGAACATAAAGATTCTTACTTCTCGTAAATTTCTTGCAGCGATTGCTAGTCTTGAGGATGCCGGTACGACAAGAAGTAGTACCGTAAAGCCTAGCAGCCAAACTAAGAGAATTCGCTGCACATCGTCACTTATCATGTGTATAAAATAGTAGTAGTGATTAATTATGACCGTCAATTATAGCATTTAAAGTGTATGTTTAATGTTGTTTACAATCATATTATTTCTTTTGAAAGAAGCTAGTGAGGCTTTTCATGCCGCGGGTATTAACCTTGGCCAGACTTCTTGGGACCTCCGGTTTTCGTTTCTATGTAACCAGTGATCGTAAGTTGCGCTTAGTCCTGGTATGATTTACATATGTAAATGTACTTCTTGAATAAACTGACCTTCAATGGGGATGTATCAGAAGCAACGTCTGAAGCCGTGACAGCAGCAGATGTTTGTGCAGCTTTGAAATAGGTGCTTGTAGATCCGGTGAAATAGTTTGTGATATCTCCCATTTCCTGCTCCACTTCAATTTCCTTCAATCTGTCGTACGTCAAAAGAAACACGGTAAGAGGAGAGAGCGATAGATGTTTTCTTTTTCTCTTCTTGTATGTTTTTTGCTGTGTGTATGAACATCGACTTACTCTAAATGCTTCAATAGAGACTTGAACCAAGACTCGCTCAGGTATTTGGATAACAGATACACAGCTTCTTGTCGGTATATATCTATAAACCACATCCAAGGTTAGATCATCTTTTCTTTATCAAAGTGCAAGTCTCCAAACCTTGGTTTTCTTTATCCGTCGCTGCCTTTTCCAGTTCCTCTGCGATTGTACTTTGTAAAAGCGGAATGGAGGCAAACTTGGGAACCAGTTGATCCACTTTTTTCTGTAACCAGGCCAAAGCCTTTTCATCATTCAGACGATACACATGCATATCTGTCGCAATTTCTATTGCAGAATTCACATTAGTGTGTGCATTCAAGAAACTACGTGTTTTGTCAAAGATACCTTTGGTGTCACACAAATGTAATAACTGCTGCTGCAGTCCTTTCAAGCGTAGTAAATACGTTATCGAGTTGTTTTCATTATCATTATCGCTGTCGTCGTTGTCGTTGTTGTTGTTGTTGTTGCTACCACTACTGAATATATCATCCAGCGTCCTGAACTTGTCTCCTGACTACACCGCGTATACCAGCCAAGACTGTTAACGACTAATATTGATGCATGGTAAGTCATCATCATAAAGGGGTATTTACCTGTTTTCGCGCGTTTTCGAGAATAGGCAATGTAATAAATAGCGGATCGACGTGCGTGATATGGCGTATGGAACCGTCTATTATACACATATATAAAAAATTCGCGTTTGTGATTAGTTTCACTGTCTAGCATTTATCGATGCCGTGTAGTGCAGTCGAAAAGAGAGTCAAACCTTTGTATAACATCTCATCAATGAGCCAAGAGGTTTTGCGTCCAACGCCTGTCACCTTTTGCGCTTCATAAATGGACTGATCGTCGTCGTCATGAAAATATAAAGCGGATCGGCCTGACAATAAAAGTGGTTATCAACTTTTGATTCGTTTAAATCGAACAAAATTACAACAAAAAAAAGTGGGGGTCTTTTTTTTTACCAGTCTGTGGACATGGCAAGTGAACCGGTGTCAGTGCTTGTAAATCTAAAACAGATCGTCATACTTATTTGGTAAGCGAGTTCCAGTACCGGTAACGCGATTCAGGTGTATATGTGGCATGTTACCGTGATGTTTTGCGTGGGTCACTGCAACAAATTTAGTATTGTTGGCCATGGTAAAACGATATAAAAAGAAGGTACCAGATAAAAGAATGCGGTGCCGTGACTAAGTTATACATAAAAATCTACGTCGCACCTCGGAACGGAACGTGATCCCGGATTTTTCTTGCTGGGTGGGCCGTAAAAAATAGGAAGGTCTTTTACATAACCCAACCCGAAAGAAATTTGCGTGAACGAGTGAATCAAGTTGGCGCAAGGCAGACGAGGGGAACTTTATTTGATTGTCAAGTATGGACCCTTCCGTTTTGTGAGTGTATACCACTTTTGAGAAAACCTGTCGGAGAGTTTCTCCTTCGATCCTTATAGAATTAGTTATGTCCGTGTAGTGCGGCTGCCCTTCTTTTTTCGTCAAATTTTGATGCAACGGTTCACGCGTCTTCGGTTCCCTTTTGGTGCTGGTGGTAGCCCTCTTCTTCGCCAGTGCCACGGTGGCTCTCATTCCCATTTCCCGCGCCCTCCTCACACTACTACTACTACTACTACTACTGTTGCAGCCTCTGGTCGACTCTTGCTTCGAAAACAGTCGTATGCCACACACCGTTCTATACGCCAAGTTGGTCAGGCTCAAGATGCAGGAGCATTGCAAAACTTGATGCGACGCGTAATGGAGATCGATGCTGAAATCAACAACGTTATGCCTGCTGAAGATTTCAAGCCTAATGTATATTTATACATTCCAGTTTAAGCAGCTTGTAGTGGAGAAAAGTGTCATGCATTTTTTTCGGTTTTAATAGTATTCCTTTCTTTTTGTTGTTGTCCAGAGCCTGGCATGCAAAGCCTATTGTACAGCAGAAGCCTATGATTTTGCTGCACTCAAGGATGCAATATCGGCAACAGCAACGACTACCACAACTACAGATAGCTACTACAGCAGCAACGATAGCAACAATGAAAGTCATGACATGATGCACGTTGAAATGCCTCAAGGCGGTGAAGCTTATGTATTTGCCAATGGCACGTGTGTCACCTGGGCTGCTCAAGATAACGAAGAATTTGTGCATGAAACGCTCGGATTAGCGCGTGTCAAGCCCATTGGACATATAACAACCGAAACAATGGCCTTTACTTATGACCAAGACGAGTACGTTTCCCACCCCCACCCCATCCTTTTCGTTTTAATTGTGATGAGAGAACTAACAAGTAATATAATAAAAATAGACCCACTGGGTTAAAAGGTGGCCTGATTTTGCTCAATCCAGATCTCTCTCCTCAGCTGGCAAAAGCTGCATTTTCTTACGGTCTGGCCAGATCCGTCAAGCTGGCTACCATCGAAGACATGTTTGATCAATACTTGGACCGTGCACAATGGCTCAAGGTATCACGTAAAGACCTTCAAGACGCTTCCAATGACCTGGCGCAACTCCACCAGCATACCATGTCCAATGCGCGTGACGGATTTCTGGATACACCCGAACTCCATTGGAGCAGGCCTGAACTAGAAGGTAAAAAGCAAATCCCTCCAAGTACAACTAAGGGTTAGTATGTAACTTCCGAGAGAGCATCCCATTTAATATATATAATGTGGCAATCATGATAGGATACTATACCTCGATCTCACAAAGCCTGGACGTTCGACCACGTATTTCAATCCTCAACAGGAAGCTCGAACATGCGGACGCTCAGCTCGCCGATTTAAGGCAGAACTTGTCGGAAAGAAATCAATACACTTTACAATGGCTTGTAGGTCTGGTGTTAGCCTCCATTGCTGTTTGTAAATTCTACGAACTGTCAACTGAACGACGAAAAGTAGCTGCACAATTAGCAGTAGCAGAAGCCCAGGTTGAAGATGATTATAGCGTTCACACTCCCACTGTTGTGACATGATAAAAAAAAGTCATTTTCATATCTGATATATCGAAACAATGATACGTATAACAAGGATTAAGTGATGATGCAAAAACATTGAGCAAGTATGAAGTGTAGCCATGTGTGTACTAGCAATACTACTACTACTACTACTGTACTGCAGGCAGCAGTACCGTACTCGCTGTGAGCCACCAGCAATAGACGCGTCCAAACAATATATGCAGGTCTTCTATTGTATCCGAACATGAATTGTTACATGTTAATAAAATGACGCCCTTGTTGTCTTGTGCATATGCAAACTGATGTCGTGGTTGAAATGTACATATGATCGCCTTCCCACCGCCGCTGCATGGATGCTCATTAGACAGACTTGTCGCCATGACTCCTGGGTTATGATCAATATATCATCCAACTGTATATCCACGGAGAATCACTCATGGGATGACTAGCACTACAAAATACACATACATCGTATTAGCCGTAACAGTACCTAGTAGTACATAGAGTAGGCTGATGATATATTCGGTAATACTGTCAAGAAAGATAGGAAAAAGGGATAAAGAAAGTTATGTAATTTATCATAGATACATTACTTTGTATACAGAGACAAAAAACGTCAAGAAAATTATTGCAAGAGAAGGAAGGGTAGTTTGTTGGAAGAAAGGGGGGAGAGAGAGAGAGAGTAAAGAGGGTATAATAATATATAGACAAAATAGGAACAATGTACTTGACACACACACACAAGGGGGGAAGGGATCATAATATAAATTCTAAAATTAAGAAGGGTGGTGGTTTATCGGAACGAGGGGATCCATGACGAACGTTTGTCACGGGCTGCCATGGTAGCAGCAGCAGCAGCCTTTTCGTCAATATCTCCAGCCGTGCTGATATCCTTCACCGCACCACGACCTCTTAAAGGTTTAGCGATTCTACCAAAGTCAAATGCTGCCATACCGCCCTGCGATTTGGTCGAACGAGCATGCTCCAAGCGTTCTCTTACAGTTTGAAGCTGTGCCTCGAATCTATAGTTGTCATTGCGGGAGAGTTAGAGAGAGAGGTTCAGATATGCTGCTGAGAGAATGAAAAAAACTTACTTTTCATTCTGAGAAAGCAATCGTTGTTTGGCTTCCTGCAATAGAGTTTCCAAGTTCTGGATCCGTTCATTGCGTGTAATAAGCTTACGATCTGCCAGCGCGGCTTCCTTTTTCAGCTGCGAGTTTTGTTCGACCAGCTAAAATTTTAGAGAATGTATGATTACTGTGGTCAGTCCCAGATTAACGATTCAAGGGGAAATATGACATAGCATCTCAGTTTTCTAACCTGTTTCTGCACATTGGTTAGCTGTTCAAGATTTCTTTCCAGGAACGACATTTTCTTTTGCTGTGCCTTGTTGTTGGTGGCTCTGAGCACATTTGTGTATTGCTCTCGCGTCTCGTCCAGCGAAATCTCCAACTCGACCACCTTTTCACAACGGTTTTGCAGATCACGCATCAATGCCTTCTTCATGACTTCAAAATCAGCGAGCTGATGTGCCATAGATTTGCGCATGCGTTCCAGATCCTTCTCCTTCTCCTCGTAGGTCATGCCATCACTACTAGAGCCATCGGTCGTTGTCGTTGTCGTCGTCGTCGTTGTCGTTGTCGGTTTTTGACGTCGAGCAGAGATAGCGGCTTGAAGTTTGTCGTTGATGCTTTGGAGCTCTTGCACTGCACTTGTCAGTTTGTCTTCTTCCTCCGTCTTGAGTTCCAAATCATGCTTGAGTTCTTCGATCTCACGTTGCTGCATCTCTTTCTTGGTTGCATATTGTGCCTCGATCTTGCCCTAAGGTCATCATTTTACAAACGCACATAATAGAACCGTTGGACACACATGCTCTCTGTCTCTCCCATTCTTTTATATATACTATATTTATCTCGGTTTCTAGAAAACTTACCTTCAACTCCGAGATGGTATCCTGGATATCAGCATCGCGCTCTTCATCAGCAATGGTCTTTTCGAGCAACTCTTCATATTCGGTTTCCAATGTCGCGATCCTCCTTTCCAGTTCGGTGCGCCTGTTGCTCAACCCTTCCTTGTCTTGGCTCAAGCTACGAATCGTTTCTTGGTGCTTATCAACAAGCGCTTTCGATTCACCAAGCTCTTGCTTCAAAATAGCAAGCTCTTCAGGCGACATGGTGTAATCATTTGGATTAATATCTGCCAGGTTCTGAAGCGTATCTGCCATTTGTCTTTGCTTCTCGTTCACTTCACCCTAGTATGACGATCATATATACATATGCACATTAGTTTCTCTCCCTCTCTTGAAATAACCTTTGCTATAGTCATCAAGTTATATATCCTGTATGTAACTTACGGAAGCATTCTTCTTCATCAACTCTGAAGTCTTTTGCGCAATTTCTTCCTGTTCTTTTTGAACTGATTCACGAACTTGTGTCAAAGTCTTGCGCAGCTCTTGTAACTCGGCTGTCAGCTCTTGATTGGCCTCCTTAAGCGAGTCTACTGTGATTGCGCTCTCTTTGCTATCATACGTAACCTTTTCGAGCTGCACCTTGACTTCACTCAGCTCGGCTATCATCTGCTGATTCTCTCCGGTGTATGTCTTTTCCTGCTCCTTGAGCTCAGTAAGTTCCTCCTGCATTTGCTGTACTTGCTTTTCTCGGCTCGAAAGTTCATTTTCCTGCAAGTAAATGACGATGGGAGTGTTAAATTGATGTACATAGTTAATAGGAAGAATAAACGTCACTGATGGTGATACCTTTTCTGTTATTTGTTCCACAAGTTCGTTTTCACGCTTTAACAGTTCTTCACGCTCGTCCTTATCCAGAACGGGTGTCGGCGTTGACGGTCTTGAATCAGGAGCACTTTCGGTAGCAGCAATAGCGCGAGCAGCGGGGGATTGTTTTGGTGCATTATTTTTCTTATCCATCGTAGCCCATTGAATTTCAGGCACCTTGCGACCTGAGCGCCAGATTGTAATTTCGCCCTCCAAAGCTGTAATGTATTGTTGGTATGAGACGGTGTCGCTCTTGACTTTCTTCAAAAGAGCTTTTAATTCTGCAGGCGAAAGATCGGCATTGACCTTGGCCTTGTTCTTGATCGTCTTTGCACGGACACCAAAACGAAGTGTCGATACCGTTTCGGCTTCGTTGTACGAGGATGGTGAACAGTTGATAATCAAGGTTGTCCGTGAGTTACCACCCAAGGATTCTTGCAAGATACGAGTTAATTTTGAATCTCGGTATGGAATATGGCTCGACTAAAAAGAGAATCGGATTGTAACTGTTAAAGTATAGCTCACCTTTTTTTTTTTTTAAAAAAAAAAGTCGAGTGATTCTTATCTACTTTACCTTGCCATCCGTCAAAGCATTAATGACCATGCCCAAAGCCGTCAGGGATTTGTTGATCTTTTTGGCTTCTTCCAAAGTTTGACCGGAAGCACCGGTTTTGCCAACCTTCTCAGAACCTGCCAAATCAACCAAGTAGAGTTTACCGCTTTTGGCAGCGCCAGTATCGAGATTCTTTTGTGTGATGGTGATCAACACCATTGAATGACTTCGAGAACTCTCGGCGTTCATGTCTAGTATTTTTAAGATAGTTCACATCAGCCCCGAGCACTGCAATCATCTTTTGCTTTCTATTTAACCAGCTATTAATTACTTGTGGAGGCAACCACACGGTTGTTGCTACCGCGACGCATGACTTCATACACTTCTTCGGTGGAGGAAACATAAACTTCAAGCACGCCCTTAACGTAAACGCCCTTGACTTTATCTTCGTGGATAGGAAGGTTATCGTGTTGAGCTAGAGGATCGCAGAAAGAAGAAGTGTAGAACTTCCCATGTTAGTACAAATCTGGGTAATAGATCGAGAAGCGAAAGCGGTCAACAGAGATATATAAAGACAACACATTACGGTTCAACAGATCGCGCACTTTCTCCATATAAATTTCCATATAGGAAACCTTTACGGTGAATTCCATATTCGCAGGCGACTCCATGATGCTTGCAAAAATCTGCTCCACGATACGTGGAATGATACCCTTGTTGACCTCGTCATCGATACTCGAGCCCATCATGGTAAATGTCTTTATGGAGCATTAGATATTAATGCAGACTCGTAAGGAGAGACTATACTTAACCAAGTGTGCAGGAATGTTTGTATATATACCTTTCCGGAACCCGTTTGGCCATAAGCAAACACAGTACCGTTGTAACCAGCAACGACATCTAGATTTTATTCATGCAACAATTTGGTTACTTTTGAGTAAGTGATAACGAAAGATAGCGTGTTTCCCACAAAAAAGGGCTCTTTGAATGTTATCCTACCATCGACAATCGACTTGATCGAATAGTTGAAAATGTCTTCTTGCTTGGTGTTCATACCAAACACCTTGTCGAACGCATAGCTTGCTCCCTTCGTTTCTTGACCCTGTAATACATCATATTCGTATCCAAAGGAAAAGTACGGTTAGGAAAGTGGGAGTAGGAGATAAAATATGGTTTCAAGATGGAAGCAAAAGAAAACAAAAGAAGAGACTAGCTTACATTGAGTTTTACCGCCGTGCCTTCCTCGGCAATGTCAATGATGGGCTCACCCCCTTCTTTAATTTCCAGTTTGTTTTGCGGTCGGAAACGACACACGACCTTGATGCTGTTGCCTGACATCTTTATCTAATCCAGTTCCAAGTCCCACCCCCACCCGCCAATCTCTTCAAGTCAGCCACCAAACTCTTTCGATTTTACGCTTTGTACTCAATGTACGAGAAAAAGCGATCATGTGTATGATGGTAATGTACCTGATTCCGCAGAAAAAGCGAGGGTGATAAAAAAAGGCTAAATATTAGAGTTAGGTAAACTTGGAATGCGAACCAACTTTTTTTTTGACAATGGCCGACACAACGTACAGATAAGAAAAAAAAGGTTGAAAAAGAAAGAAAGAAAGAAAGGTAACAGAAGGTGGATGGGTTGAAGTGCGGAGGTAGTAGGAAGAAGAAAACAGTTTGGGCCGAAGAGAAAATAAACCTTATAATACTACTACTACTACATACACACTCTGTATACTGGGGGTTGTACGGACGGACAAAAGTGTGGTTTTTCGGAGCCACATCCGTGAGTGTAGTGTGTGACAAGGTTGGATACTAACCGACCAGGTTCCTGTGCCTGGGACCAAAACTGCATGATTCGAGGGGGGAAGATCGGGACACGTATTGATGCGTCCCTTTTCCTTCAGCCGTTTTACAACGTCCTAGTATTAAATGTTTATAAGAGAGAGAGAGAGAGAGAGAGAGAAAGGCTATTGTCGTTATTCATATAAAAAAATATTCTACATATATATAAAAGTGTGTGTGTGTGCGTGTGTGTTGGGGTGGGTGGGATATTGGTGTTGTAGTGGTAAAGCTAATATAATGGAAATAAAAAGAAAAATCATAGATGATGCAATAATAGAAATCAACGAATAAAGATGCTGTGGATCCGCTCAAATTCAGCGGCGCTGGTTAGTTGAATGCAATGGCGGCGACTAGTAGGTGTGGTAGTGGTAGTAGTAGTGGTAGTAGTATTTGCTGAGGAAGAAGTTACATTGCTCGACAAGCGGGGTATCTGGACTTTGGCGATGGACTGCGTCAAGTAGTTCAGTGGACGCTGTAACGGCTATAGAGAGTGTGTGGGGGAATATAAAGTATTTCGTTAGAAACCAGGTTCTCCTGACAGCCTCTAACCAGCAATGCTGCTACCTGTATTGCTCCGTGTACCATCGTTGTTGTCTCATTGTCAGTGGTTGTGTATTGAAGCTGCTTTAGCTTGTCTTTGAGCTGCTCACTACGCTGCTTGAGCGTGTACAACACTGACTGCTGGGTTTGGTATTGATAATCGGGTGTCTTTTTCATGCTGCGCCATTCTCCAGAGCGACGACCACGCTCGCTTAGCGCAACAACCTTGGGCGACGCGCTTGCTGTCCGCAGATCTTTCAGAAGGACGCGCGTCTCTGTTGCGAGAGACCGCACCATATCGCGTGCTTCTGGTTCCTTTGTTGCTGCCCGTTCTTGGTCATTCTCATTCTCCTCCTCGTCCTCCTCCCCTATCTCAACAGCAGCGGAATTGAGCGACCCTTGAATGGGTGGAAGCTGTTCCAGTTTGAGCGACCGTGCAAGGTCGCAGCGCTTGAGGTGTGCATTTTCGGCTCGGAGGTACCGAATGCCTGCCTTGAGAATTTCCATCTATATAAGAATGGCCCCTGATGAGTATACAAACGCTTTCGTTTTTTTATACAAGATGTGGTGCTTACATGATTGTGCATATCGGCATACTCAGCAGCGTCTGACAGCTCTCCCACAACCGTTTCTTCTTCGACGATGCTACTATTACTGGTGTCATAGCCACTTGGCTTGCGAGGAATCGATAGTCGTTTATCCTCCTTCTGGGTTGTTGCTGCTGCAACTTTTTTGAGTTGATTGTTTTCTTGCTCGAGAGCTTCGTACTCGGTCTGCAAATTCTCCATTGCTTCGCTATACATTTGGGTCTGAGCCTTTGCCTTTTCAAGGCTTTCTTCAAGCGCATGGAATTGCTCTGTATCCTTCTTGGCTGCCTCCATGCGTCGCTCGAGTAGTTCTACTCTGATGTTTGCTTCTTGTAAAGCTTGATCCTAAAGAGTTTGGTGTGTGTCCAACAGAGTTAGAAACACGGCAAAATTATACAGTGTCCTCTCCACCCCACCCCTTCCTCCTCTTTCTTTATCACCCACCTTGGATTTGATGTCCTTGATCAACTTGAAGATCTCTTCACTGTGCTGTTGGAGCTTGCGTTCCATGTCATGGTTAATGACAACTTCTGCCTTCATGTCAGAAGCACGTTGGACCCATGGCGGGATACCCGTGGCAACTAAAACATTTCCGACATTACATTTGAGTACGTAAAGCGTCGACAATTACCCCGCATGAAAAAAAACAAGTACTTACTCTTATCCATACGGTTATCGTGTTCGATTCTTTTCAGGGTCGTGGCTAGCTCACTGGAAAGAGACTTGAGCATCTTCAAACAACCATCCCACATTGTCGTCTCAGAAATATCAAGAATATCATCGCATTTGTTGTAAATAATGCCTTGAACCTCGCCCAGAGTGATATGTTCTCTGTTGGTACGCTTGTTGTCCAGGTAACCCAGAATTTGTTTCAGCGTCTAATATAATCATCACATGTTAATCACCACCATCATCATCAGTCACGTCTTTTTGTTGTTGTTGCCTCCGCCCGCGCATGGATAAGATTGATCTCTTACCTCAAAGCAAAATTGGCTCAGTTTGGCGCTTAAGGCGTACATGGTTCTGAACTTATGCAAATGCTCCGCTTTTGGCGTCAATGCTTGCTCTGCAAGATCATCCAACTGTCGCAACAATTTCCTGATTGAAAAAAAGGGAGGGTGTAAGTTTTCGAGAAAGTACACACGAAGCTTATCAAGGTTTTCTTGGGGGGATTCGAGAAAAACAAAGTTTCTTCCTTACCTTGCAACCATCTTGCAGTTCTTCGTTTCAGTGACAAGACGTCCAAGGGGCTCCATGTAGTCATAATCAAGACGCTCTGGACCTTCGATAATTGTCATGGCTTGAAAGAGGTCAGAAAGCATGATTAGTAAGGACTATCATCACCCACTCAGTAGAGGGGGATGTTTGTTCACGCGCTGAAAAGTCACCCTTTTAAGATATATTACCTTCAGCCTTGTTTGCATTGTACACAATCTGTTTCACAAACGTCAACTCAACCATCATCTTGTCTGAGTTCATGTCAAATGCTCTGGTCAAGCTAAAGAACAAGTCAGCGTTGCCCGTATCGCTGCTTTGAACGAGGTAAACTTCAGCCAGGTGCTCCAGGTGAGCAATGATTCTACATAAAAGAAAGAATTTAGTCGACTAGAAGTAACATCATTGTGCATGTTTTTGTCTATTTGAATACCTTTGGAGATCCACCACGGATTCGTTATCATTGGATTCTTCAGTTCTAAAGAACTCTACAAGAGCATTCAATCTAGAGGATCGGATCATTTTTAGTGTTAGAGGGTTCCCATGATGCACTTTAGCATTTCTATCATACCTTCGTTCAGAGCCAACTAAATCATGGTACACCCGAGCCATTTCCGAAAATTCCTCAGGTGTACAATGCTTGACAAACGTGACAAATCGCTTGGCCAAATCGCCCAACCATGCTGCTTTTTGTCGTAGCTTTGACGAGACGTTAGCTATATCCATCATTGCATTGAATGTTTCTTATTGCCTTTTTGATAGCTACCTCGCAGACCGAAACCAGGCTTTCCGATACATTATCCATAATCTTTTCACTGATTGGATGGCTTTGATCAAGATGCTTGATAATCAATTCAGATTTGAATACCAAGCGCTTGAACAGCAACAAGCAAGAAATTGGATCATTTTCGGATTTGAAGAAGGCATCTGGCAAATATGGCTATATAGAATCAAGTGTGTTGTCTATGATCAGTACAGCTCCTTTTCTTTTACGCGGTCGACTCTCAATAAAAAGGTTTCTAAAGTGGAATCTTTTACCTGAATGTAACTGAGGCGATCATTTGCTTGAGCAGCCTCAAGTTTGCGAAGTTCCAAGTCAATGGCTTTGGCTTGAGCTTTCATGACAGTCGACTGGAGTTGCATGTTGAGCGACATCATCGTCTGTGACTGACTTGCCAGGTTGTGATTCTCGGTTTGCTGGTCCTTTTCTTTTTGACGCAGGTGCTCCAAATCACTAGATAGCAAATTAAAGTATTAGTTCACTATGTGCTCCCGACTACTGACTGTTGATACGCAAAAACTAAAACATCTTACCTTTGGAGATGTTGGACCAGCTCTCTAAACTGCTGAATAGTTGCTTCGTAATCAAGGTTGGTTTCTTCAGCAGATTTCAGACGTTCGAGCTGTTCACGCAACAACATGTCACGATGATCTACATATGATACGTAACATGTAATGGTTTTTTTTTTGTTATGTGACGCTACTTGAGAACCAAGAACTGCCACCACTTTAGTTTTTCAAAAGTATTGTATCAATTCCTTACCAATCTCTGCTTGAAGCTGCTTTTCGGTTTCGACGTGGTTTTCTTCCAATTCGTCAGCAAGTTCTTTGAGTGCTTCCAAATCATCATGGCCAGCTTGGATTTCTTCCAGCTTTTCATTGAGAGCAAGGTTCCTTTCGGTCAGTTGTTCAACCATTTCTTCGGCACCCAATGCATCGTCAAGACGCTGACGCAGATCTTCGATCTGACTCTCGGCAGTCTCCAATTTTTCTTTAACCTTTTCATATTGAGCTGTAATAAAGATGATTAGTCTTTTGCGATAACGGTCGACCCGTTGTACAAAGTGACAGAAAGGACTAGGAGTTAGTTTTACCTTTAATTTCATATAGCTCGTAGTTTTCATTTTCGAGTTCCTTGATTTGAGTACTTAATTCGGCCTCTTGTTCGTTTGTTGCATCTCGCAAGCTATGGAAAAAGTTCCCAACACACCGACAATTGTGAATATCCTCAAGTCTACATGCACTATCTATTCTTTCTTTACCGAATCAATGCCTCGCGGAGTCGTTCGTTATGTCGCTCAAGCTGGACAATTTCCAGAGAGTTTCGTGCTTGATCATCATCAGCACCGTCAGGATTAGGAGGTCGGTTCAAAATATCTAGTGAAACATTTATCCCCATCGTCAATATCGCAAATAGACAAAAATATGTATATGTATAGGTATTTGTGAGAAGAAGATGTATTTACCGGCTTCACGTTTAAGAACATCCAAGTCGACACTTATTTCCTCAATCTTGTCCTTGAGAATGTCGACTTCTTGCTGCAAGACTTCGGCTCGCTCTTCAGCAACTTCTTTGTCCAGAGTCATCATCTCCAACGAATCTGACATTTCATTGTATTTTGATTCTAAACTTTCTTTATCTGCAGCTGTTTCTTTGAGTTCGCGTTTCGTGTCTCGAAGGTCTTTTTGTAGTTCACCAATTTTATCTAGAATCATGCAGGTTTTTTTACGTTTAGGAAAAATCGGGAGTTAATTGGAGACTGTTGGGCTGGGATGTTGTTACCTTGAAGTTTATTACGCAGAGTCAAAAATTGTTGGGCTTCTTCTTTGATCTTTTCGTGTTCACGGTAACGCTCACGATCTTCTTGACGTTTTGTTTCCAGTATTTTCAACTTGAATCGCAGTTCTTCGTAATCCTTGAGTGGAACGACCTATGGTTGGTTCATATAGAAAATGATCTTCCGCATAAGAATATATTGTAAAGTTCTTTTTGGATAATCGCTTTATTTTACCTGATCCGACTTGCTTATTGGCATGGTTGTAGCAAGAGCACCATAAGCAGGCTGATGTCGTTGTTGTTCGTGGTGTGCTTGCGATTGACCTGGATTGCAATCTTTGACCATGCGTTCAACAGGTCCATCGTCTTGATCAGCTGGCGTTGCAGGTGTATCCTTGTCTGACGAATCTTCCTCGGTGTCTATTTGCGAAGGAGTCCGATCGTCATCGTCCTCGTCGTCTTCGTCGTCTTCGTCGTCGTCTGCATGACTCATGCATTCGCTACTCTCTTTATCATCGTCAGCTGACTCTTGCTGTTGCTGCTGTCGTTGTTGTTCTTGCTTTTGAGCTCGTAGTAACATCTGTTGTTGCTGACGGATCCGGATTTGTTGAAGCTGACGTTCACGTTCTAACTTCATTTCGCGTTCCCTCGCTTCTTCTTCTGCAAGTCGACGCTCTTCAGCCTTACGAGCTGCTGCTGCTGCCTCTTCGGCTAAACGAGCTTCCTCTGCCTCTCGTGCTGCCTTTTCACGCGCCGCTGCTTTAGCGGCAGCGGTATTAGGTTCACCACGCATTGAGGAAGCGCCCACAGTGCCGGATCGGGGACGACCTCCTTGAGCATCTTTATTGTTGACATACATGCTTTTCCGTCGAGGCGGAGCGCTACCCGTAGTAGCAGCTCTAGAAAGGGTACCGCTCGTCTTTGTTGCTGTAGGTGTCGCTGTTGTTCCTCGCGTAGCGGGTACAGTAGTTGCACGACTGGTCGGTGTTGTCGGCGTTCGTGCAGTGGCAGTAGTTGCGGTCGATTTGGCAGAGCTAGGCGAAACGTAGGACGACGGTCGACGTGCACTCGTGCCAGTTGTTGTTGTCTTTGTCTGTTGGTGTTGTTGCGGCACTCGTGTGGCTCGTGTGGCAGGCGATGCGGTTTGACGAGAGGATTCTACGGTTGAAGCAGCCATGGATGCACGTCGTTTGGCGAGTGAGGCTGGCTGTGCTGGTGCCTGGGTCATCGAGCGACGAGCAGCTGCTTTGACAGCACGACCCGGATCCTGCTGTGGTCTTTGAGGCGAGTCGCTGTTCCGATCCGATCGAGGCGATGCTGGTGCTGTTTCCTGTACGATATGAGCACACATACACCCCCTTTTCAATCAATATGACAGCGTTCTCACTTATTTAACCTCCCCTTCTGTTCCCTTCTCTCTCTTCTCCCATCTCTGTCCATCTCTCTAGAAGGGCTATTTCAAGAAATGATTTCAAGGGTGCTATATATATATATAGTCTAAGGTTTAATACCTTTTTAGTTGAGGGTGGTAGCACTTTAGCATGCGCAGGACGAACGAATACGCCATGGTTTGAGCGGCATTCAAAGTACCGTTTCCCCTGAACGACACCGTTGTTTTTTCCCAAAGGCTCATCAAGTTCAACACCGACCCATTTGCCTGTCTGGAAACTCGTCGGGCCAGCATAACGAACGGTGCCGAGATTCTCGCCATGAACAAGTACTCGAGCCCCGACTTGAAGATCGCTTGGCAATGCGTTGCTGTTGCTGCTGCTGGGTGTTGATACTCCATTGTTGATTACGCTGCTGTGGAGACTGTTTCGGCGGGCTGCTCCGAGGGCAACAGATTGGCGTCTGTGCCTGTCGACTACGGACATGCTGTCAATTGTCTAGTAGGAACGCTGTGTATCTTTTTATATGCTGTTGTCTCTAATGGAAGGTAAAAGTGTTGTGTGTGCGTGGTGGAGGGGGTGTTGCTTGAGAGTGAAAGTAAGTTTAAGCAGCAGTAGACAGTAAAAAAGGTATTCTGACTGAATAAGAAATATGAGATAGGATAAAGTAAGATGTTTACGAAGGGAAATAAGCAGCAGCTCGACTGTATCAAACGTAGCTGCTGAAAGGAGGAGAGAGTGAGAGAGAGGGCCCGCACAACACACAGGATAAAGAAGAAGAGAAGGAAGAGAGGGAACGAGAACATTTTAAAGGAATTATTTGGCGGAGCCTGCAGTGTCACACAGTGCTTCCACACACACTTGGTCGCCTGTGCTGCTTTGGTATGAAGAGCGCCCATAATGGATGATGCGGGTGGTGCTTGTCCGTCTAGGGACACGAGGTGCACAACAATTTGCAAGCACTCGCAGGTACATCAAGCATACAAACCTCCACTCCTGGATCTAGTCCCCGCAAAAAAGATGTTCCCGCTTTCGAACGGGTACATGGCGAAGACAAAAGGTTGTGTTCCAGAGGTTTATGATCCAGCCCCATCCCCTTGTTGTAGCTGCAAAGAGCGATATATAAGCCAGAATACATGCTCCATCCAATCACTGTCATTGCACATGCTCGAAACAGGCAACGAACGTGTGGATATATGATGTAGTGAGAAAAACGAGAGCCAACTTGTTGCTTTTCATCATGCGGATATGATTACAAGTAGAGACGTTCACAGTCCGCACTATGTCGCTTCTATATAACAATACACCATGTATACAGGAAACTGCAGCAAAGAATTCAACTAAGGCTTTCCTGGTGAGACAAACGAATCATCAAATTTGGTATGTGATGTAACGTGGCAGTTGCGGGGAAAGATGTTGTTGCTGCATTTCTCATCCCTTTCTGACGGACAGAAAATTAAATTTGGTGTCATGAAATATTACATTTGCTTGTATACACCGCTGTTTCAAATGAGCCCTTTTATCTTTATTACCTCAAGTAGTGTGCCAAGTTTTGACATTTAACCGCAAACCCCATCAGACTTGATATGACGAAACCATCAGCGTTACTACTAACCACCTCAGATTTAGAGTTCTGTATAAATATGGCTCTAGGGAAAAGAAGTCAATGAGAGTTATTGGATGTACACTAATGCGCCTCACCTACAAGTTGAAAAGCATACTGTGCTAGCATACGCTGCTGTCAAACCTACAGTACTCTACTCGCTGATGTGTACAGCAACATCATCATCAGCAACTTGCCAAGCACATTATTCCGATCGGTTCAGCTATAGATACTGCTAGAACGTACAATTACAATCAAGGCCAGGGGTTAAGCATACTAGATATATCGCATGATATGTTTCATTTTTACTTTTGTCAGATAAAAACCTGTCTAAAAGTATCATACTGCAAACTACTATCATACCGAGAATTTACCCATTATTATTTTTTGATACGATACGTTTGTTCAACGCATACGTTCTCTACGCGAATCATTACACGAATGCCACCTAATGTACAGAAAGTGTATACATCTACAGTTTATTTAACTCGTACTGTTGTCTCTTCTGTAACATAAACTTGAGGTGAGCCGTATACTGTTTGTATATTCTAATATCACGCTACTCCAACAAACACTACATGCCTCAAGTTGACATTACTTTTCTCTCCGTTTTTCAACACGTTCGTTTTGAGTATCAGAACCGCAAAATCACCATATTTCAATAGTGGTTTTTCCAGTCACCGACTTTTTAATGCTTTCGCACTTTGGCAAGATAGGTTCGTCAGTTTCTGCCCCCGGACACGTCGTAATTCACCATTTTATTTTCTCTTTCTAACGCTATGAACATCGTCTCTGGGTAGTAGTAAGTCCAAGCTGCAAGGCGTTATTATATATATCAATGTGCTTTCATAGTTGCAAGAAAAGCAGCATTTCTGAAAATTGCTATGCATTAACTGAGTCAGTTTATTGTTCTGTCGTGGCTTCCCAAAACAAACTTAATGCGTCGAAAAAGCTGGTAAGTACTATATCGGTGGAATGTAAGATTACTCATCGTACATGATGATCATACAACTGCATCCAAACTTTCAGATTATCGTTTGTGCCTTCAGAGATCTTGCAGGGTCTTGCAAGGTGGTTTTAGGTATCCGAAAGGCTACAAACGGCAGCAAATGGCAATTGATACCTTTTGGATGTTTAACGGCATCTTTTATAGAGCACTAATCAAGAAGCGTACGATTTTGCTCGTCGTCTTGCTCACGACCCTGCAAGGGAGCAACAGATGATGGCTTGGCTTGCAACGACGCCGATAATGCAGACTGCTTATATTTGTTTAACTTGCAATGAAGCGAGATGTCACATTGCTTTATTCAAATTTGTTTCCAATAATTACTTTATCAAGTCAGGTTATATGATTTTTAAAATGGAAGGAATAGAGATGAATTCAAAAAGAGCTAAACATAGTAGTTTGGACTTATAATTAAAGGTCATAGCGCTTCTTGAGATCGTCGGCAGCCCATTCACCCCAAGCCTTGTGAGCCTTCTTGTTAGGGTGGTAGCTGTCAAAGTACATGTGAGTCTCAGGATCATCGCAAAGGTTGTCATTGCCAATACCAGGGTTGCAAGGGCCGTTGTCCGTGCGCAAACCAAGGCTCTCGGGATGATCCAAAAGGTTGTTCCAGAAGGTGCTGATGTCCTGGAACTGCACATCGATACCCTTAATCTTCTCGAGCTCCTGCTTGGTCAAATCGTTATAGGCGATCTGCAATTCCTTGCCACGCTCCTTGTCCTCGTCCTTGACCACGGGCCAGCGCCAGAAAGGAGGGCAATTTTGGATCAAAAAGTGCTTGGCGCCATATTTTTCAACCAACTTGTTGACGGTCTTGACAACGCCGCCGGTAACATCCTCAACACCGTAACCGGGCTTGACAATCTTGTACTGGTCAGGGTTGATGATACCGTTCAAGTCATTGTAACCAATGGAGATGATGTAAAGATCTTCGGGGGTGCCGTTGGCTTCAAGTTGCTCGACCTGTTGGACAGTGCCAGGGACAGTGTACCCATTGAAGACGGACATCATGTAGGCATTGTCGGCGGGGGCACCACCGTGGCCAAAGTTAATCACCTTGTGGCCATCCAATTCGTCTGCGACGTACTCGAGCCAGGTGGGACCGTTGCTAAAGCGGCCCTTCCAGTAGGGAGGAGAAACAGGGAAGCCGCTGTGCTTGTAATCATTGCCATTGTCAGTGAAACTGTCGGCATAAGCAATGATCTTTTCCAAGGCAGAGACGCTGGTTGCGGTTGCAAGGCAAAGTGCGCTGAGAATAACTGCTGTTTTCATAATTGTAGTAGTAGATGCTTATAATAAAGATGATAAATGTGTGATAGCGAACAAAAAGAAATATAACTGAAAGATTCTCCTTTTATAACTTTCTTCTTTCGCTAAAACCGGATGTTGCACTTTTTTTACATCATAAACGCCAAATTGATCCACGTTGTTGTCAACGAGGTCTTTGGTTTGTTACTTTTGATTATGCAGTTTGATCGATCATCCCGAATTAACAACGATCCGTCTGATCCTGTGTCGGAAGAACGTAAGTGCGAAAATGTGGCTCGGTCGAATTTAATGGACATGCAGTGGATGAAGAATATGCTGTTGGTGTTGCAATGCCAACGTAAAGTGATAGTAATTAAAGCGGCAGTTTCACTGGTGTCCAAGGATCACTCGCGTGTGCCATAGCTACGTGTTCGACAAAGATAGCTTGGCGGCACGGCAGTGCGGGCGTACTTCAGAAGTGTGAGTTTTGTCCATGCGGAGGAACAGGCAGTGGGTATATGTTTTGTTTGTTTGGATGGTCGTTTGTTTTGGAAATTTGCCATGGCGGTTCATTCAGTATAGCCTGCGTGAACTGACGCTGTCTTGCCGCGGCTCATATATCTCACCATTTGAATACGATACTAATACATGTTTTACTAATACAAAGGTTTGATATCTTTTACCATAGTAGGGGCCTCAGATATCTCAGTGCATAAATTTAACACTAACATAAAAGATGGGCGGGGGTTTGTGGTTGATCGGACGATTATGCAGGATTTTAAGTTATGTCAAGCTTTTATGGCACTGAGATCATGCTGTTTTTGTTTCTAAAGGTTTCACAGGTCAGATTTCACCTGTCGAATGTCGGATCAAAGTATCTGTAGCATTTTGATAGGCAGAGGCAGTACTCAACCATATGAAATTCAACCATAAAGCTTGTATTTCAACGGACAGAAAATTAAATATGCTGTCATGGTGTTCGCTTTATATACACCGTGCTTCATTTTTTTATATACTAATCTTTTCAATTACCCCAAGTAATGTGCAAGTTTTGTCTTCTATCCACTTATACTTAGTGAAAATGAACGGGAAACATTGTATTGGCTCATCGATGGCGCTTCGACAGTGATGAACATGTTCACTGAAACAATGCGGACAGCACTCATGGCTTCTGGTGATTGATGATTACCGGACCATCCAATACTGCGCGACACAAGTGGACCTAATCAACCTCCAGGTTGGTATTAACCGCCTACTCGTCGACTGCTGGAAACAGTTGAATGACCAGGTATTGCGTGGCTATCAACTGCAGCAGTCTTTCCGTTCTCGCTTCCATGAGATGGAGGACGAAATCAAGATGGTTGACCATAACATCACCTTTTTCACAAGACCGAACAACCCGACCTTCGATCACAGATATCTTTTGGTGCTAATATAACACTTGGCTTTCCAGCATACGGCCGAATTCGTAACTTTCAACGACAGCCGACTGGTGCGGAACTTGGATGCCTTGTACTTAGGTGGTTGGCGCAGGCTCGAAAGCTGATGATGATAATGGTGCTTATCCATGTTACTCTGGCCAGCCTGCTCTTAGTGAAGAGGTCGCCTGCACTACGATTCGTTCGCCAGCTCGTGGTGCGAAGCGCTGTATTGCTGGTACCGTAGCAAGATCATGCTCATCCAGTACTACTACAAGCGTCGGTCTCGTGGAACCGCCGATCGATATATTGCTCGATTCTTGACAAAGGAATTGAGTGATATCGTCCTACAGTACTTTGTGCTTGTCTACCCTTTCAAGCGGTAGTTATAATCCTTTGTAGTTGTCATTGTTTGCTTGTTGGAAATATCGTTCGCTTTTCGTCAAACTCGAGAGGGCACAGCAGATGTGGACGTCGGCTTAGAGAATTACCGAGATTTTCTCTTCGTCGCTGATGGCAAGGTCGTCACGAGCAGTATCTTCAGCAAAGACCTCTATAGGTATGTATTCAACACCTTATCAATAAAGAAAGAGAAATTATCTTCAAAAAAAAGACACATATTTAACATAATACTTAACTATTTTTTACTAGCTACTTGCGCGAATATACCGGTGCTGGTCTCGGTCTGCAAGCCTATCGCCACGTGGCCACGTTCTTCATGCGCCACTATCTGCAGTGAGGTACTCAACTTATTGACACGAGCGAGGAGTTGAGCGAGCATCCGGACGTAGATGGCGGCGATGGCAGCATTGAGGATGCGTTACCCACCAGCAGTGAAGTTCGCCATTCGACCGGTAGTCAATCGTTTGGAACCTTCCCTTTTTTATTTGCAAGCTGCACATTCTGCGTCCGTTGCCAGTATGCTCTATGCACGGACGGCGAGCGATTTCGGTACTTGTCCACCGAAGCAATCCATGCTTTCGACCTTGCTCATAGGAATGGCAGAAACTCTTGCGTACAAATAGTCCTATATTTAAGCATACGTTACTATGTAAAAGATAAAATAAACTGCTTCAATTTGCCGGGTTTATTACAACGTGCGCCAGGAGATGAGCACAATTTATTGGCTGAGCAGCAAGACCAAGATGACAATAAGCAAAGGATCGAAGACGCTGAACAGACGCTTGCGTTTGCACATGTAAAATGTTCTCTCTTTATAAAAATGTTTGAGATAAATACCAATATTCTGATGTCTATTACCCCAATTCATAATAGTCAACACATGCCTCCGCTTCAAGTTGCAGCTGTACCTCGATGGTTCTCCATCGTTGAACTGTCTTGCTGACAGTGGACATCTTGAAGAATGCAGCATCTGCGAAAGGGATCCTGGGACTCTTCCGTCATCGCCGGCATCATCGTCCCGCTTGTCATCGTTCCGCTTGTCACCGTCGCCCTTGTCACCGTCGCCGTCGCCATCGCCTTCTCTTACCTTGCAGCCCTCTGCGTTCTTTTCTGTGCAGCTTTCCGTGTCCTTTTCTGCACAGGAAAGTTCATCAAAAGCATGCTCGTTCTCCTGTAAGTCAATAACATCTGTTAGTGTTATCAATTTGTAAAGCTCAAAATTTGTTTATCTGGGAATTTTTTTTTCTTCTTAGGCTTCGGCTGTCCATCTGCAAACAGGACCGAGCATCAATTCTGTTGCTGCCTACTTACAGGCGCAACAGCACCACGACACGAACTGAAGGCAGTAGCACGAGTTCTTGCGTCTGTGCGAGCGGTTATCGCAATTTGTTTGGTCTGCAAACTTCATCAAACTTGATATAACGAGCCATCAGCGTTACTGCTATCCACCTCAAACCTAGAGGTATATAAATATATATATATATATATATAGCTTTAACTGGGGAAAAAGAGCCTTGTATGAATAAAGTCATCAGTGAAAAATAAGCCTTCATTAGATGTACAATAAAGCGACACACGAACAAGTTAATTAATCCTACAATAGTACATTGCGCCAGCATATGCTGCTGTCAAATCTTATAGAAATTAGATGGTTAGTCACTGTGTTTGGCAACATCATCAGCAATAATAAATGCCTAAGCGCATCATTTCGACCGAGTCAGCTCCATATACTGCTAGGCGATTAAGGCCAAGGGTTAAGCATCGTATATGTAGATTTTTGCCGTTTTAGATAAAACCTTATCAGGAAGTATACCACAAATTGCAGAGATCGTATCCATTGTCATTATTGATACCATAAGTTTGTTCAACACATACGTTCTTTTTCCGAATGATTGCAGGAGTGACACAGAATGTACAGAAAGTATCATCTACATATAATTTACTTGAACTGTTCTTTGTTCTGTTAGATAAACTTGAGGTAACCCGTCAGCAAACACTACATGCCTCAAGTTGACATTACCTTTCTTTCCGTTGAAAGCGCACTGTGACGCAACGACTTGGCTATTTTACTTTATACTCGAATGCACAAAGGGATAGCGAGTAAACAAGGTTAGAAATGGAGAAAGACATTACGCGCAAAAGTGTCAAAAAGATATAATATAGGAAGTCATCGTTTATAGAGTTATTCTCCTGATCGTCTCAATGGATCTTGAACGCTGTTCAAAAAAAAACGTAAAACCCGCACAAAAACTAACGAACCGATTAACTTTGTCAGCTGCAATGAAAATCAATGAAGTGTGAGTCAACTTCACTAGTGGCAGCGTATACTCATCATGAGCGGGTCAACTTATCTGCGGCAGCACATACATAACTTACTCGGATAGAGTATAACTTCAGGATGGAGGGAGGGAGGTTGCACTGCGTAGTTCAGAGAACTATTGGCGGATGGGGAAAATTATAAAGCAACACACCATAGGAAAAAAGTGTGCGGAATTTGAGCGATGTGTAAGAATGTGTGTCTACGACATTTTTTGCACACAGCTTTGTGCAGGATAATATGTATCCTTTCGCACACTCATTGCACACAATTGTGCTGATTTCGTACGTTTTTACACACACCTTCAACGTCTGACAGAGTAACACTAGCGTTTCATTGGGTAGATAAACAGCATATCTCCAAAAACAGGCTTCTCACTGGACGAGCCGTACAACGACAGAAAGTAACTCTCGATTATCATTAGACCAAACATACTATTCAATTGCTTTTTTATAGATATAAGATATAGCGTTTTATTTTTATTTTTTAGGACAACAAAAATCTGTTATGGGAATATTCATAGGGAAACAAACAATAAAAGAACGATGGCGATGCAAAGACTATGACGGAAGAAGAGAGGAACAAAAATTGTGTAGTAGTACAGACTTTATCGTAATTAAAAAAGAAGTTTAGCGGATAGACGACCTTGTTAATAAAGGAATTGTTTTATTTTAGCGATACGAGCAGAAAACACGCAAAAGCAGATCACGATAACAATACTTACACCAAAATTATTTTTTCTTGCCAGTTTTGCGTGGTCTGCGCCGTCCTTCGTTCTCAGTATCATGAGCCACTATTCAATGAAGAATCATTAAGAACGAAGAACGAAGTCATGAATACGTTTAAGGTAACTTGAAGAGTATATACATACACTGCCTACCTGAAGCTGTTCTTCTTTGTCCCTTTGCTGTTGGTCTCGGTTGCTGCTGTTCTTCCTCATCATCCGTATGAGCAACATCCGGCAACGGAAGCAAGGGTTGACGACGACGCTCAGCTCTATTAAATTACAGAGTTATAAAAGTGTAATGTGATGTAAGTACAAGATTTTTTTATTCTTACTGTTGCCCAACCGTGATACTAGCATTCCCTGTGACGACTTGTGCTGCTGCTGCTGCTGTTACTGATGACGAAGATGATGGTGCTGCTGCTGCCTCTACTGACGATGACGACGATGATGATAGTGATGGCGATGGTGAAGCTACTGCTGCTTCTACTTCTGGTGATGATGATGATGTCGTTGTTGTTGCTGATGATGATGCCGGGTTCTGCTCTTTTGACAATGAAGTTATAGTTGACATAAACAGCCAGCTTTTTTTGATAGTGTGTTACTTACGATCCGTGGAGTCATCGTCACCCTTCAGCCAGAACTTTCGGATAAATAGACGCGCCCCCCAGTGGTCTACGCACATGGCCAGAGGAAGGTATGGTTGCGCTGCCTGCTCAAACTCTTGTAAAGTAATAAGCTGCATGTCGGTGCTAACGTCCTTCCAAAAACGAGGCAACTGTTTGTTTTTAATCTTATATTTATTCATCAGCGTCAAGTATGCTTGCTCCGCAAGTGGTTTACAGCTGGCTTTCATCAATCTGAAGTATTGTTCTTTGTATCCAGGGCCTAAGGCTTTCTTTGACAATGACTTGAATAAGTTCTAGCCAAATTGCATATCAACGATTTGCCCCTTGTTATTCTTGTACATTGGCTGTTCTGTAGTACGCTCGAGAGGAGGAAAGGTCGGTAAGCGTGATGCTGGCACATGCGACAGGTCAACAGGACTAGTTGCGTTCTCTTGAAGAGCGCAACGCAGGAGAGTCTTCATTGTTTCCATTTCTTTTGCCATACAGTTGACCTTTTCCAATAATTCAGAGCGATCTTCCTGTGTCTGATAGATGATATCGCGTAGTTGCTCACGATCTTCTTCGGATTTGCGTCTGTATTCAGAAAAGCTTCTTTGGATATCCCCAATAGTTTCAAGAAGTCTAATGTAAGCTGGGTCAGAGTACATGGTGTATGTGGGTGATGTGAAAGTGGAAGAAACGCAAAAAGGAAGCAGCGATATTCACGTTAGGAATGAAGTATTTAGTATTTTCTTTTCCAAGTTCAGTTCTTATTGCAATACAGATTGATTAATGGAATGCGATAGTTTTTCTGATGATGCTTTTGTTTTATGTGATATGTATACGTCTTGGGGGTTAATATATCTCAATTAGTCAAAGGATAGAAAATACATTAAATTAAAATGGTGATTTGCTTTTCCAGCAAACAAATAAAGGGGATGCATTATGCATAGATTCACAGACAATATCTTCCCGATTGGGTGTGCAGCAATCCATACCCCTTAGTAAGTACATGTTGATGAGGTCTTTATTTTCTCTTTCTTTTTGGTCTTCTTTTGGACACCGCCTTGGTACTACGCAACAATGTCACCAATCCAACCCACTAACAGCGACCATTCCGACATACTATGCAGGCACTGTGACCAAAGGCTCATAATGGTGAATCGACTGATGCGACACCAGTATAACAGGGAACGCTCGCTGTATGTATAACATCCGTTCTAGAAACACAATAAAAAGAACATGAAGAAACCAACAAAAGAAACCAATAACATACATTGATTCTAGTATAAAAGCTTTGTTTGAAGCTACTCGAGGAGGACGTTCTGGGCACATATCGTAAGGAACGGGTTTAACAGGGTAGTTACTAAGCAAAGTCTGTTTTACTTTGTAGTGGGACGGTAGCAGAGGTAGATGACCGCGAATATAATCATTGAATTCTTCAATGAGCTTCTCCATAAAGGAGCGTGGGACTTTACTCTCAAGAGCAAGTTGATGGATGCTGGTAGCCAATGGTATATTTTTCTCGACTGTGGTTATAGCATGTAAGCGAAAGTCGTAATCGTATTCCCCATCATTAAGTGGTGCTGTCGAGAATGCATCAGCGTCAGGCGTATCGTCATATCCATCGCTATCTGATTCTTCACTGCACGTTTCATATCCATCCCCGCCCTCATCCGATTGTCTATCGGGCAATCGCACTTGTTCTGTATCACCACTTGCACCAACACTCATATCCAAAGACTCGTCGACAACACCTTCCATACTGTCGTTAATCATAGCATCCCGTTCTTGCTGATCAGAAACTGGGCCATCAGATTGCATATCCCAATCAACGTCCTGATCAAGCTCCATTCCGTCATCACAGAATTCATTGACATTCTCATTTTGCTACAGTTTAACAGCGAAATTTAAGTCTCTTACATCACATTTACGCAAAGAAGTATAAACTGAACTCACAAGAGATAGCCAGTGCTCAGGCGATGCTCTGTCATCACTCTGCCAAGCGACATTGTCAATCAACTAAACATTAAAATCGCAGTTATATTTTTTTTTGCTTTGTAGAAGTAAATAAATAATAACATACTCACGTCATGCTGACTTCTACCGCTCAATGTAGCATCACCCAACTCAGTAAATACACGTCTAGCCATAGCTTCACCACACGCTTTTGTATGAGAAGTTTGATTGGTCTCGGCATTGTTAAAGAAGTAACCACAGATGGGGCACTCATAATCAAAGCTTTTAGGCATTGTTGTAAATTAACTTGAATAGCTGGAAGGTATTTTACTGTTTGTACTAGGATTGAACAAGAGAAGTTTCTTTCAGAGACAATGCTCACTGGGTATAAGAAGAAAAGGATCGACCAGGAGAGCTTTTCAGGGACGAAATCTATTGCATTAATTAATCTCCCTGTGTGTGAAAGTGTGCAAAAATGAACCTAAAACCGCACACTGCACAAAATCCGCACATTCTTGAACATTTTTGCACACATTTTTCCTATGGTGACAGTAGTCAAGCACGTTTCACAATGAAAGATAACGGGTCTTTTTCTATATACTGCAGCGTTGGGGTCAAGTGTGTGTTGTATCTATTCCGCACACCACACACGCAGTCAAAAGATACTAGCAAAATGGAATCGTCTGTGGACTACGCTCTATACTGTTTACCTTGTTGGGTGAAGAATGGAAACTGGCTGCTGGGAGGATCGTGTCCTTGATATTCACTAAACAACTGATGCTGGAGAGCCTATTAGGTTGTCTACCTTGTCAGTTACTCCTATTTCCATCATTTTATTGCTCGCAGAAAAGCATTTCTTCCGTGAATCTACTTGCTCATTTGCATTCGTGTCTTTGTTTTCGCTTGACACGGTGCCGTGCACGGACCCCTCACAACCAAGCGGCGACAGCATCGGAGGTACAGCTGCCATAGTGAGAGACACGTACCACTACCGCCGAAGCACGCTTGTCTACTTGACCATCAGGTACCACTCCTCCTTTCATTTCCTTTGGTGCTGCATCTTTTGTTATGCCATAGTAGGCAACCCACAAGTTGATACGCAACCCGTTATCTGGGCCAATGAAAATTCACGGGGATTTGAAGTCCCGAACGAGAAAAAATGTCTATATAAAGCGAGCAATTTCGCCTTTCTTTTTTTTTCTTCTTCTCTTCAGTTCGTTTTGGTACAGCTTTGGTCTGTAGTACAGATGCACTGCTCTGTGCCATGATCGGGTCATATGCTTGTGCTGGCGATTGTCAAGAGGATTCTGAGGATTGGCTGGATTCAGTGGTCCGCTCGGAGGAAATCTTTTGCAATGTACCAGTGGGAATGTGGACACGTACCTTCGGGTATGTGGTGGGATAATTAAAACGAACTTTTTATTTTTTATTAAACACAAATAAACAAAATGATAAACAAAATAAAACAATCTTTTTCTTTTCGCACTCTTCTCATAAACGTTTTACCGCTTTATATTTTTTGCTTTGCCTTTTTTTCATGTGCTTGACAAGTTCCTTATTTTTTTTGCCCACCCACAGCTCTGTGCTAAACAAAGCGGAGTACAATCTGTATCGTAGCCGACAGTAACACGATCACAACGCGCTTTATCACACTTTGACACGCCTTTTCACCTTCTGTGTTCGCCTGAATTGCGAGAATGATTGCGAAGAAAAAAATGGTTACCGAGGATATGGGCCGACCTCCTGTTTAAAAAGTAGACTCGAAAAACCACTGTTCTTGACGTATGCTGTGGTGTTGATGCTTTCGCGCTTTGGCAAGATAGGTTCGTCAGTTTCTGCCCCCGGACACGTCGTAATTCACCATTTTATTTTCTCTTTCTAACGCTATGAACATCGTCTCTGGGTAGTAGTAAGTCCAAAGCTGCAAGGCGTTATTATATATATCAATGTGCTTTCATAGTTGCAAGAAAAGCAGCATTTCTGAAATTTGCTATGCATTAACTGAGTCACTTTAGTGTTCTGTCGTGGCTTCCCAAAACAAACTTAATGCGTCGAAAAAGCTGGTAAGTACTGTATCGGTGGAATATAAGATTACTCATCGTACATGATGATCATACAACTGCATCCAAACTTTCAGATTATCGTTTGTGCCTTCAGAGATCTTGCAGGGTCTTGCAAGGTCGTTTTGAGTATCCGAAAGGCTACAAACGGCAGCAAATGGCAATTGATACCTTTTGGATGTCTAACGGCATCTTTTATAGAGCACTAATCAAGAAGCGTACGATTTTGCTCGTCGTCTTGCTCACGACCCTGCAAGGGAGCAACAGATGATGGCTTGGCTTGCAACGACGCCGATAATGCAGACTGCTTATATTTGTTTAACTTGCAATGAAGCGAGATGTCACATTGTTTTATTCAAATTTGTTTTCTCAATAATTACTTTATCAAGTCAGGTTATATGATTTTTAAAATGGAAGGAATGGAGATGAATTCGAAAAGAGCTAAACATAGTAGTGTGGACTTATAATTAAAGGTCATAGCGCTTCTTGAGATCGTCGGCAGCCCATTCACCCCAAGCTTTGTGAGCCTTCTTGTTAGGGTGGTAGCTGTCAAAGTACATGTGAGTCTCAGGATCATCGCAAAGGTTGTCATTGCCAATACCAGGGTTGCAAGGGCCGTTGTCCGTGCGCAAACCAAGGCTCTCGGGATGATCCAAAAGGTTGTTCCAGAAGGTGCTGATGTCCTGGAACTGCACATCGATACCCTTAATCTTCTCGAGCTCCTGCTTGGTCAAATCGTTATAGGCGATCTGCAATTCCTTGCCACGCTCCTTGTCCTCGTCCTTGACCACGGGCCAGCGCCAGAAAGGAGGGCAATTTTGGATCAAAAAGTGCTTGGCGCCATACTTTTCAACCAACTTGTTGACGGTCTTGACAACGCCGCCGGTAACATCCTCAACACCGTAACCGGGCTTGACAATCTTGTACTGGTCAGGGTTGATGATACCGTTCAAGTCATTGTAACCAATGGAGATGATGTAAAGATCTTCGGGGGTGCCGTTGGCTTCAAGTTGCTCGACCTGTTGGACAGTGCCAGGGACAGTGTACCCATTGAAGACGGACATCATGTAGGCATTGTCGGCGGGGGCACCACCGTGGCCAAAGTTAATCACCTTGTGGCCATCCAATTCGTCTGCGACGTACTCGAGCCAGGTGGGACCGTTGCTAAAGCGGCCCTTCCAGTAGGGAGGAGAAACAGGGAAGCCGCTGTGCTTGTAATCATTGCCATTGTCAGTGAAACTGTCGGCATAAGCAATGATCTTTTCCAAGGCAGAGACGCTGGTTGCGGTTGCAAGGCAAAGTGCGCTGAGAATAACTGCTGTTTTCATACTTGTAGTAGTAGATGCTTATAATAAAGATGATAAATGTGTGATAGCGAACAAAAAAAAATATAACTGAAAGATTCTCCTTTTATAACTTTCTTCTTTCGCTAAAACCGGATGTTGCACTTTTTTTACATCATAAACGCCAAATTGATCCACGTTGTTGTCAACGAGGTCTTTGGTTTGTTACTTTTAATTATGCAGTATGATCGATCATCCCGAATTAACAACGATCCGTCTGATCCTGTGTCGGAAGAACGTAAGTGCGAAAATGTGGCTCGGTCGAATTTAATGGACATGCAGTGGATGAAGAATATGCTGTTGGTGTTGCAATGCCAACGTAAAGTGATAGTAATTAAAGAGGCAGTTTCACTGGTGTCCAAGGATCACTCGCGTGTGCCATAGCTACGTGTTCGACAAAGATAGCTTGGCGGCACGGCAGTGCGGGCGTACTTCAGAAGTGTGAGTTTTGTCCATGCGAAGGAACAGGCAGTGGGTATATGTTTTGTTTGTTTGGATGGTCGTTTGTTTTGGAAATTTGCCATGGCGGTTCATTCAGTATAGCCTGCGGCGAACTGACGCTGTCTTGCCGCGGCTCATATATCTCACCATTTGAATACGATACTAATACATGTTTTACTAATACAAAGTTTGATATCTTTTACCATAGTAGGGGTCTCAGATATCTCAGTGCGTAAATTTAACACTAACATAAAAGATGGGCGGGGGTTTGTGGTTGATCGGACGATTATGCAGGATTTTAAGTTATGTCAAGCTTTTACGGCACTGAGATCATGCTGTTTTTGTTTCTAAAGGATTCACAGGTCAGAATTCACCTGTCGAATGTCGGATCAAAGTAATGTGGACAAGCTATTCGTAACATCCTGATTGATATAGTCAGTGCCCAATAACTTGTTTTGAAAAGGAACTCATTCCTTGGTCCACTGTATCTGGCATGTTATCCTTTCTGGACTTGCAATATTCCTACAGTATAAATATAACCATGGACGCATGTCCACATATGCTTATCATTTATTATTCATTTCATTAGTCACTACAGTGCCCGCTCGATAATTCGATGCTTGATAACTCGATATTTTCGATAATACGATCACTTTCTCAAATGACCAGGCTGGTAAGCAGTAAAATATCGACAAATCAATAATTCGATCATCAATCACTTGACTATGACATATCGACAAGTATAAACCAATACAGTGGTTCCCCGTTTAATTTCACTCTCAATAAGATAAAACCTCAGTTATTTCAACTTTTTTCTATACCCCCTTAAGCATAAAACACTGCTTGAGTCACCCTCGTTTCGTGTCAACCCTCAGTAGTTACAACATTTTAAAGACCACCTTCGAGGTTGAAATTAACTGGGGAACCACTGCAGAGATGTTTAGTGACGCGGAATTGAACCAGCGATCAGTGTCGGATCATACATCAGAGTCCAGAGTTAACATGTATTCTCAATGAATATACTTCTTTAACCTTCCTTTTCTTAACGGAGTCTCAATTTCATAACTCGATATTTCGATAATTCAATCACTTACGGCTGTGACCAAAGTGATCGAATTATCGAGCGGGCACTGTATATTCACGTATACATATGTTACAGTATTCCCTCATCAACAAATCTAGTTAGTCAACATATAGTATCAGGCCACGTACTGTACTGTACTGTACATGTTAAGAGTTCAAAATTGGATGACTATCGTTCAGTAAATATATCAAATTAATTCACTTTGCTGTACGTGTATACTATAAAAGTACTTAAATATGTATATTTCTTTTTGTTGTTGTCTACATGATACTACAATCAGTCATATCTTTGGTAACCACTTTTTTCACTATCGGCCAATCACTCCTACATGCTGCAAATTCAAATAGATCCTCTATCTTCATCAAGCCATGATATCTTTCAAGATCATGGATCACGTTTTTTATATCGGGCGCCGAGGATATGATGTAAAGGTTGGCGAGGGCTTTGAGTGCTGCAAAGTAAGGCGTTACCGTCTTTTGCCGTAAGGATGCTGCAAAATCATAATAGGCATTCATATCGCTGATATATCGGAAACCTCCCTGTTCATTCACAACTTGGGTTTTAAGATGTTTGTAAAGAATCCTATAAATTGAATATAGGATCTGTTAGTTTTCTAAAAACTAACAGACCGTTTCTCTCTTATTATTCTTCTTTGCTATTTCTATACGCACTCGGCAAATCGACGTCCAACTTCACCAAAAAAAAGGTCCATAGTTGACTTTTCAGCAGCTCCGTTCAACATGGATGTATTGCTCCGTAGACATGCAATGGAATCTTGACACGCCTGATTTATGAAAAAAAACTTTTAGTACTGTCATAATAAATTAGTTGAATGAAATCATGCTAACCTTGGTTGGCTTTAAATCAGCAATCATATCACCAGCAGGGTTGTAGTCTTCCGGTGTTTGTTCGTGTTGTAGAATATACTGGACTTGGGCAAGAAGAACCTGCGATGAAGACTTAATTAGCAACAAAAAAACAGTAGCCAAAATATCACTACAGCCATAACCAGCTTGAAAGGGATAGCTAGAGATTTCAAATCTTACCTGAATGCCTCTATCCATTCCATTTGCTACGCAATCGTCCAAAATTCTTTCAAAAATTTTCTTTTCCTTGTTCACTTCATTGATAAAGTCGAGTTTATCAACATATTTAGACTACAGTACAGCAATGATCTTCTTTAGTAAAGCCAGATCTCGAATATCTCGTTTTTGTCATTCGTATATACCTCTTTTCTCCTTTCAATAAATAGCAGTAACTTACGATTTCTTCATCATAATAGAGCTGCACCATTTGCTGGATAACATCACCAACGTGAACCATTTCAAAGAACTCGGTCAATGGTGGCACGTCTCCTGAACCTTTAAGGGACTCTGGATCGGGGGTATACGACGCCAAATGCTCAATTGCTCTAAATAATCAACCTTGTTTATCAATTGCCACTCGCTTAACACGGTGGTATAATCCACAAAAAGCCCCAATGTGTCTTTTTCTACCTGTCAAAAGCTGGCTGGATATGCTGGTTTCCCAAAGTTTTCAGCAATGCGACAAAGATATGTTCGTATGTTTTTTGGCTATAGTTTTGCATTTGTTATTGTTGTTTTTCTTCGCATAGTAAGTCTTTTCACCATACATGCCACCGATGTAAAATCATATAGAAAAAAGAAAACGCAGACCTACATTTCACTGCGCATGCGTCCGGGAAATCCAATCTGAATGAAACGTTCCACACGGCGCTCTGCATCCTTGTTTATATGGATAAGCTGCAGCACTATTTCCAGACTCAGCAAGTCTTGCATCATGTCTAATTCATGCATGGCGAATTTCAAGTCCACACTGCGGACATCGGGCGATGACCGTAACGAGTGACGGGATGATTGTCGGGAATGCATCGATACTGATGAGGGTGATTTCGGCGATAATGGGCTTTGCTTTTCATAGTTTTCATTTTGAGCAATCGTAGCAGTCGTCACTTTGGGCGTTGATGGTGGGGTTGATTTCGGTGATGATCCGGATACGGGAGAATCAGCGGTGACAGTGACGGTGGCGTTTGGTTTTTTCTCGTCAGGACCCGTTTTCGTGGTAGATGATGCTCTTTGGAAAGGTGAGGCTATTGTAGTAGCTGCACTGGATACTAGGTCAACAGGCAACGCAATGACCTTTTTGAACGCAGATAGGTAATTACTAATGCATGCACATGATCATCACCCAACAATTAGACAATATCGTTCGGAGAAGGACAAGATATCGATAAGAAGAAGCAGCGTATTATATACCGTTTGAAAGCTTCACGAGACTGGTTAGACAGACGTGCAGATTGATCTTCTCGTCTTATTCCCGAGTCATTGTTCTATGCAAAATATGAGACCAAGCATTCGGAATATCCGGATCAGTAACTCTCTCTTTCCTGTTAGCAATTTTCGTTTGTCACGAAAAAAGGCAAATATGTATATTTTACCCATTCTTCAATGAGCTTATCACATGCAGACTTCACATAAGCCTGCTCCTCATAGAGATAGTCATCCAGGAACGGCAGAAACAGCTTATAGATTAAATTGATGCCTCGTTCGCGGTCAATTCTTCGTGGGAGATCCTCGTGTGTAAGCACATCCACGACTTGCGCCATGGAATCCAAGACAACAGAAATGGTGTGCAGATAAAGCCTTGTTTCATGTGATTGGGCAATACCAAGTAAGCTGTTTACATAGTCTGATACCTTGGCTTACCCTAGTCAGTATTGTGTCTCTTACAGGACAGAGGTCTAAATCCTTCTCTCAGGTGTTACTCCTCCTTATTACAAATCATACACACTTACCACATCCTCTAGAACGCGATCAACAAACATATAATACACATCGACTTTTTCGGGAAATGTTTCGCTGACAACCTGTGATTGTTCTTTGAATTCATCGGTTACTAGTGACATGAGCTTTTTAAATGGTTCCAAATCATTTGGGGACGCTCTATATTGAGCATTACATGCAAAGAGGATGGTTATCAACCTGAAACTCACATTTTCTTCTTTCCCCTTAGATATCAGAAATAAACACCTACTTGTAATTGTCGTCTGGTTTAAAAGGATTATCAAAGAATATAGGATGTTTCTGCACAAACGTTTGTATACATATAGATCCACCATTGAGTGCTATTAATGCGTGTGCGTAAGTCTATATCATTACCCCGACTTGAATTATCAGTAATCATTATCCACAAGTCTCTCTTATGCAAAAGCAAGTCATTGAAAATTCATCCTTGTATATAGACTACCTTCATATCCGTAGTATTATGTACATCATAAGCAACCTCGAATTCATGGAGAGAGGCGCTTTCAAAGTATTGACAGAGGGTATCCACTGCTTCGTTTATCTGCAAGGGGGCGGGAAAAGAAGACGGTTATGTTAAAGTTTGGGATGGTAGATTTTTAGTCGCCGCAAAAGATAAAATACCTGCTTCCAATCTTCCACGACATGGCATGCCCCAAATCCAACCAGCGTATTTAACAGCTTGGCACACTCTTCAGGACTTGTACCGTAGTCGCTCAGCACCTTCGACTCTCTATGCTTTTGACGCAGGTCGACGTAGTATGGTAGTAGCCGGATATACAATTCCTTGAACTTCTCCCGGGCAAGCCCAGTGGATTTCGCCCGCGCTCGGGCACTGTACGGGTCTGTCGATAGACCGGGTATCAAGGCATTCAAAGGCTTGTTATTAATTTGTATGTTTTGTCCAATATCCATCAATGCCGAGTTGCCGCTTTTCCCTTCTACAGTCGATACAAGAATAATATTTGTGCGTGTGTGTGTGGTGGTCCCCAAAATAGTATTTTAATTTAAGGTTAGCTTTCCATTACACTGTGTTTCTGTATATATATACCACGTATATCTTTGAAAAGACAAAGTGAAAGTCGTTTCCGTTACCGAGTGTCGCTGCCAAAGCTCCCGTATCATTGTCGAGCATTTGTCGTAATTTTTCATCCCAAATCTCGTCATCGTAGGCAAGTACTTTAAAACGTCGGGATGCCAAGGCAACAGTCGCTAGCGATGGCACTGGCAAATACTGAAATATGCGAATGAGAATATCGGGAGGCAAAGCACGCGGGTTTTTGGCAGCAGCAACCGGCGTCAATGGAGCCGGCATGGTTGGGCTTTGTGGCGACTCGTCAGGGGCATCGATAAAGCTCATGTCCAGAGTGAGAGAAAAAGAAAGGGAAAAAACTGACAAGTTGCTGCAAAATTAAATCACTTTGTGTGAGCCCGAAAGCAAGTGCGTCGCTCCTCTAAATGTGAGTAACGTGTGTTGGTGGGGGGGGGGAGCTCGCTCGCTTTTCCCTTCTTTCTTTCTCTTTTTTAATATACAGTTTGCTTTTTTTCGTTGTTTTTAGTTTGCTTTCCTCTGGTTCACATTTGATATACGACTATTATCACTACTACTATTACTACCACACAATTCAGCTCAAAACAACATGACACACAACAACCCTCTTCCTCATTTTGACCTGGCCAACCATCCTCCACCAGAAACGATTAACATGATTACTGGACTTTTGGAACGGATCACCAAAACCAACGACAAGTTGCAAGCCAGCAATGGTAGTGCAGACAAGCAATACACAGCATTCCATAGCCGCTCTGTACCAACAATTGGTATTCACGCCTATCTGTCTCGGATTTTAAAGTATTGCCCCTGCACCAACGAATGCTTCCTCAGCCTTTTGGTCTACTTTGATCGTATGTCTCGTAACTCATCCTGTTTACGCATCACCTCGTTCAACATTCATCGACTTGTCATCTCGGGTATAATGGTTGCCAGCAAATTCTTCTCCGATATTTTCTTCACCAACACTCGCTATGCAAAGGTAGTGTATTGTCTTTTATTGTTTATCCAAGAGGAACCCTTTATATTTCAGGTCCTCTTTTCTGCGATAAGATCGCTGATTGTCATGTGAACACACGCATACTTCATATCAGGTTGGAGGCTTGCCTGTGGCCGAATTGAATGCACTAGAGCTAGAATTCCTGCATCTGAACGGTTACAACCTGAACGTCCCGATAGAAGAGTTGCAGCAATATGGAGATCAGTTGCTACTACATTGGGTACGCGAAGAAGAACGACGCAGGGAGCTGCAGTGGCGGAGGAAGGAGGCTACTGGAGACGACGAGCGGATGGCTATGGTGGCGATGCGGAGAAGTCTCAGTGGAAGCAATAGCAGTGACAGTAGCAACAGCAGCGATATTATCAAAACACAACCATCGTCAACGATTATAACATCATCATCATCATCGTCGTCATCGTCATCACATAATCCTCGTACAGCCTTGGCGGGCGAAGTCAAGATGAACAGCAAGCAACATCGACGATTATCCTTTCAAAAGGAGGAGGGCGCAGAATCGGATCCGTTCTGCAGACAGTCACGGGCATCAAAAGTTGCGCATGAAAATCGTGCAACCAGGGTTACATATAAAAGCACTACTACGAGCACTTCTGTTCCAAGTCGTTATTCTACTTCGATGACACCTCCTGGCACCGACTATCACAAATTTCCATCTTCACAAACTCTCGACGGCGTCCCTGTCACTGCTAAAGAATTTTCACAACACCACCATCAGCGGCATTCTTGGCATATTGATCATCATCATCACCGTTTACCGACACCACCTTACAGTGCAGTCATCCACCCTTAATTTTGCCTTTTGCAAACAGCATCATATATCAATAATACCAATCCTTATATTACTCTCTTTTGTATAAAAGAAAAGTACACCTATACACTCTGGTTTTTCGAAAGGAAAAAGGGAACGAGGTGTGGATTGATGGGAAAGAAGCAGATGAAGGGGGTTGTTGGATGGGAGTTGGGAAGCGAAAGACGAATCCTTTGCCCCTTTATTTATTTCTATGTAGGGCTTCTTGAACGCTATGTCCTTTCTTTATCCTTAGCTCCCCATCCTCCCTCATTCTGCGCTTTTTCCAGACTTACGAAATTCGCTGTGACCATGGGAGATGATCAAGTGAACAATAAAAATAGCAAAACGTCTGGCAACAACGAGTGAGCACAACACAGATTATCAATAAGAGAAATACTTTCTTCCTTGTTTGTTTGTTTTGTGAGCATATTGTACATGACTTTTTATTGTGTAGAGGCTTTAGGACGAGTAGTTTTGCGGGAGACATATGGGCCAAGCTATAATAAGTATTTCGTTAGCTATACAAAGTATACGTACACATCACTCAACACATTTGCTTATATTTAATTACCGAGAATCCTTCAAGATCAGGAACAACAAATGTCCGTACACGGTTCCAGTCAACCTTGTAACCGCCATTCTTCGTGTGTTGACCCATGGCACCACTTCCAGTACCTAATTGTTTTTAATTTTCGTCGTAAGCTGTCACACTCGCATTCTCGACTTATATTTCATATGAAAAAGGAGGTCATATCAAAAGTGTACCCTTATAGTAATTGTGTCCACGCTTAGCGCTCAAGGGCATACGACTCGATCCTCGTGGTAATGCTCGAATGACACCAAACATGGTTTCTTTTATGTGTAGTATATGTCAGAAAAATAAAAGCCTTCGACTTTGGGCAAACCACACAAAACCACGTCGTGAACTCCGCACTAGCCATTTTGGGTGATGCAGTTTATTTACAAGTTCAGTTCACATCCAATCTTTTTACATGCTTCATGCCAAGTTGGGGCCGCCTCCAACACCTTCATCCTGTCTTGATAGATTGAAGACAGATGGTTTATACATTTGGTTTCAAGCTCCACGTCGTTTTGAAAAGATACACCACCACTCGAGGCAGTACCCAATCCAGGAATATCTGATACTGTGCGTTGTACACGAATAAATGGCCAAATGGTATGGTGAAGAATAGCGCCCATGTCCCGAGCCGACATGAATGGAAAGAGCTTGTATACATCGTGAAACGATTGCGGCAGCATCTGTCGGTTACAACCCCCATGTGTCAATAAGAATATGCATATTACCGCTTTTTTTATCTGTCTTGATCCTCCTTCCCTTTTCTTGCTTCTCAATAAAAATTTCTGTTGCAGCATTCTTACATGTTTCATCAAAATGTTGAGATGTGCGGTTTCCTCGAGCTGCGTAGCGAACTTTAGCGTGGTAGGCGCTTGAGCAACCTGTCCCATGTGCCAAAAAGCGATAAAGTAAACCAAGATGCTTCTAAGCATATCATCTACAGGAAATCGCGAGTTTGCAGAACATTTCTCAACGATAAGAAAAAGAACTGGATGATCTTTGAATGCATTACCGATCGTGATATCCCTATATACCAATAATGGTTGCTCAGTTCACTTTGTTCGTCACCAACTTTATTACAACGTAGTCGAACCATGTATCTCATTACCTTGCACATGGAATATTCATCGGGAGTGCTTCGTCATAAGCTTCTACAAGCACTGTAGCAGACGGCCATTTGACGGATAGATGCGATAAAATATGAAAGTTGACAGTAGATTTGTGCTCTAAAATCCGTTTCATTTAATGGTAACAGAATCTGATCAGAATCAACTGTAGAAGCTTGTGCAAAAGAGGCATTAATCACCATATGTATGTACCTTGTGAATATTTTTGACCCTGCTCTTGAAACTTGTAAAACAAGTTTGCAGACCGCTCAATGTTGTTTATATAAACTCGATCTTGCAGCTCTCTGAGAAACCAAAAAGTAATAATGTCATTAATTCAATTTGATGTCGAAATACCGTTTGTTTGAACAGTCAGATACACACATACATCATCTGATCTAATTGTGGATACAGACTTAGAAATTGTGGAGGTCGTCGTTGTTGGATTGATTTAAGTGACCCTGCACTCGATGGTGAATTGTCACTGCTCGCACTACCGTTATGACGTATCTTGCTGAGCAAATCGATCTTTTCTTGTCGCAATGCTTCAATATCCACGCTGGGAAACAGCTCGAGCGCACCACCAGTAATACCATCAAGCGCTGCACTGAAAATAGCTTTAGCCAGTGCTAAGTTCTGGCAACAACGAGTTACTATCAAGTAAGAAACAGTGTATTGTTAGGAGAAATCTTCAAGTTGTTATATGATCCATAACGGTTGGTGGTAAGAACTTACTCAGATATTCAAGTTCGTCCAACACCGATTCTTCATGGTTCTCTTTGAAAAACGTGTAACGACTTTTCATATGTCGAAACCATGCATCCATTAATAGTTTCGAAATTGACATTGGATCCACACTCTTTGCGGCCATATCACTGTCCCCGCTATTTTCCCAAAAATGTGAATGTCGTAATGCTCGGTATCCAAGCGCACGACATTCCATCGATGGATGATTGACAAATAGCAATAACACTTGGCGCCAGCGCTGCTTCATGTAGTTCTTGAAGGCATTAAATCCAGGACGACTGTAGTAGTTGCTATCGGACGCTTCTTCAAAGAGCATGGATAAGTTCGTCAGAATCTTTTCCACGTTGATAGATCCTCCGCTATTGGCGATATGCATTGCAATGGCTTTTGAAAAAACTTGTTCCAAGATCGTCCTGAACAAAATGCAAACAAAAAGGCAAGTTAATTGTTTCGTTGTTGTGGCTGGAAACGCGCACTCATACGTATATACGCCAACGTTCTTCTTTCTCTATCTCCTGTGTGCTTTACATACTCGAATATGCCTGGCCATTTTTCTTCTGCTGCTGCTACCAGATTTAAAATAAGATATCGCGCTCCAGCGTCCGCCTGCGGTGTCGTATCATTTGATATTTCTCGATCCAGACGAGTAATCAGAGCCACAAACATATCTATTGCAGTGCTCGATGTACTGCTTTTCAATGCCGACATTTGTAGTAAGAACAATGGTATTTTCAAATCATCCGGCCCACGTTCTGAGGAGGCTTTCGATGTGCCAATGATGGGCAAGATCCATTCAATCAGATCGACCGATGCAGGCTCCAAATCCAATTTATCAAAGGACGGTTTCAATGTATCGATGATTGATCTGCCACCCGACTTTTATTAGTGTATGACGAAACATTTGTGTCAGTTAGTATGAATAGGCAAAATATATGTACAGCCAGCACCGCATGATGAGTTGTTCCTTAACAAACTCTCAATGACCCTTCTCCTTACCGGAATGAGATAGTGAAGGCCGAGTCTACTATCATAAGCCATAGCATCCAGTGCAATGGCAATATCCAAGGCATGCTTCATTATAAGGCCATTTTTGTCGAATGCAACAGTGTACAGCCAGCTTGAAAAAGCATTCGCTACACTGATCACTTCTCTACATACAGAAAAAGTACGTTTGGAAAGATTTGATCACAATAAGAACGCGCGGATAAAGGTGGTAATGCTTCAATTGACACAATACCCTGATGTTGTGCGAACAAGTGATTGATTTGTTTCCCGTTCATGAAGGAACATATCGCCAAGCCCTCTGGTTTCATAAAGCTTTTTAAAAACATCTTTCCAACACTCTATACAAATACCACGGAGCCAAAGGCCATCATCAGTCTAGTTCAAAAGGACCGCCGACCAATATTTGCTTTAATAAGACTTACCACTCACAACTACAGGTGCTATTCGTGGCAACGCAAGCATGTAGCCTAGTAAATAAATCTGAATGTCTATTTTTGCATTGGACGGGAAATGTAATTCAGTCACATCATATCATAAGATATCCGCACCACTATATCGTATAACATACCTGACTCTTGGATGCCTTCATTATATCGCTTAACCATAGCGAAATATTGATCCAATAGGTCATATACGGACTTTTTGGTCATGTCATTGTGACTATGTAACAGATGTGATAGCAGATTCGATCCGAGCGCAGTAATTCGAGACCGTTCGTCCTCGTCAGCAATTGATCTAGAGGAAGAAGACATGGCAACAATAGTATCAATCATCTGTAAAGATATATAAGGATGGCCTGATTTATCTGTTCCTTAAAAAACCGTATGTAAAATCAGACGTACTTTGACGCATCAATATGTGGATTTCCAGCGGTGGCAAACGACCAAAGAAGATACTCGTGAATTCTTGGAATTGACCATTGTGGTAGTCTTTCACATACAAGACATAAAAGCCAAAGCATCGACATCGATGTGCCTATTGAGTCCTTGCCAAGCTAAATGTGTATGCTGTGCGTTAGTGCTTGAAATTAATCACAAACATATCGTTATGTGTATAGCAGAGATATGGTTACGTTTAGTAAAGCACCTAAAACGCTGAGCATTAGATATACATATAAAAAAAAGAAAATAGGACGTTCCGTTAATATTTCTGTACATACACTCTCACGTGAATACGGTATGAAATGATTATCTACTGCTTCATACAACCGTTGTTACCTGTCTTCGATCGCTTCGCGAAAAGCTATGCATTCAACAAGGAGATCAATGAGCGCTTTGTTGACAGTGTCCTTTTGGATAAGCGCAACGGCATTTGAATCGATCGTGCCTGGAAAGAAGAAAAAAAATGATTATCTCGAGTACGATGCGCGTGTCCCAGACTCCCAATGCGCCTTCAATGAATTCTTTTTTACCATTGTTTGCCGCTCGTGCTTGTAAAATTATATAGGCCCACTTTAAATTATGGCTAAAGAGTTAGCTCATGCTTCATTCCTTCATTCGTACACCACAACAGCATTAATCATGTCAGAGCACTTTTTGCGGGGTATGTTGGTACCTGTATTAACTTGACAGCATCGGTGGACATGAATCGCTTCAGTTGTTTTACAGCAAGCGCTAGCGATTGCCTGTTCTTTTCATCAGCATTGCTGCTCGTAGTCGTAGTAGCGGTTGCCGAACATTGAGCGATGGCGTTAGATAGCAGATCGAGATCAGCGTCAGTACAATGTGGTAGTGGCATGTGTTTTGTTAAATGTTTGGCGTACAACAAAAAGAACAGAGTTGAATTTTATGCAAACGGCCGCGTCTCACTCCGGATAATCGCTCATCCAATACAGGAAAATTTGCTATCTTCTTGAGTGGATTGGCATTTTTACCAAATGAACGAGCTTATGCTTTTTACAGCTTGTATGTGCCTGTTGCTATTACGAAAGTGGCGTTCGGTGTACAGCAAAGTAGGCACAATTGGTTGATAGATTTACGGTAAAAACAAGATTGGATGATAATCAAAGTAAATGTATAGATGAGGAATGTAACACATGAAGTATTAGCATGAATTAATATTATTATAGTATGTTTAGAAGGATGATGGAAAAGTCGCGAAATATGGTTGAACAAAAGGAAGGACAGGAAAAAGAAGAGATAGAATAGACGATAAGGTAGTGAGAAATTATGTATAAATAACGGAAAGAAGGAAAATTATGTTTGGACGATAGATACTCGTTGTTGCTCCTGGTTTAAGCCGTTTTCTTCAGCTTTTCGCTGTCTGTATCGTAAAACCAGTGGACTTGGAGTGCTTATTCTCCAGGAATGCTCTCCCTGTTTTAGACCTGCGCGCAGTTCTCGCAATACATGGTCGAAGCCATCATCATCCCCCTTGGGTACTGTGGGGAGAGGAGTCAAGGCAGCCATATGTTGTGGAGTATTAGGAGTTTGTTGCTCGGCAGAATTACTTGCTACACTACTGTATGAGGTTGATCGTGATAAGGTCGATGTCGAAGACGTCATGGTGCTATCTCGGCTAGAGCATGATGATGACATTGAAACGCGCGGTTTTAGTTTCTATTTTAAAAAAGCATACCCAAAACATGTCTTAGTATAACTTATAAGATAAATGCTGCCATACTGTGTGCGATATAAGCTGTCGTGAGAAAGTACATACCTTGAGTAGCATTTCTTGTTGTCGTTGGCGACGTAATGCGCGTTCGCGTGCTTCGTGGATTTCGACTTGCGCTTTCTATATTAGAGTACGTAATGAGTAAAAAAGAGTCCCAAAAACCATAAACGGTAGTACTCTATCAACAATTAGCGATACATACTGCAAATGACGAAGAAAATGTATAAATAATGTCAAAGAACTCTTCAGATTTGATCGTCGCAGGGTCTTCACCGTAATATTGAATCAAATCCTTTAACTTTTCGTCTATATCTTGGGTCATGTTCTTTAAATTATCGACGAAAGGCTCGGCTTCGATGAGGAACTCGTCCATTGACTCGGCAAATCGATCAATCTGTAACATGGAAGTCCGGCGTCTTCGGTGGAGATTGAGTTCGTCCTTTATATGTACCATGTTTGCATTCAACGAATTTACAGAGGCGAAAATTGTAGGTGGTGATACTATAAATAATTCAATTAATTAAAGACGTCGTACATCTTGATTATCTTTCAAACTTTATACTACTTACATTTAGCAGCGGATTCCAAATGTTCGATATCTTCACGGAAATCGACGACATCATCTTCAGATTTGGCCAAAAAGTGTACGAGATAGTGAAGTAACGTAGGCATATTGCTAACACCTTCGCCTTCAGCGCGTGTATCTCGCATCTGGATGATAAGATATGGTTTTGAGTTAGAGATCAAGCGATTATTGTCATAGCCATAAATGTTGTACTCACCTTAAGCAAAGCGTCCAAACGGAATCCATAAGCGTTACCACGGATGGTATGACCGTTAAGATAATTACCAATTGCGAGGACAGTCTGTATAAGAATTCATTCTTCAGCATGCTGTTTCGAATAGTGAGAAGTTGTAAATGAGTTACCTTTAGAACTTTCTTGAAGCGTACACTATCTCTTAATTCGCAAATAGCATAATTAAGGACGTCAAGTTGCTAAACATGAGAAAAACGATATAAGACATTATCAGTGAAAAAAAAAACGAGATTATTCCCGTTTAAAATAAGCAAATACATACTGCCAAAATTTCTTGAAGCTCCTGTTTGAACCGGCGGCGGAATATCATACAGCTAACACGGTCGGCAAGTCGTGGAATATACATGATCTAGTAGTAAGGCATATTAAGAATTAGCCTTCAAGTTAAGGATAAAACGATTTTCTTTTGATATCAAGTAGTTACGTACTGATCGGAAATAGCGTTCGGCATTTCCAAGGCTATCAACATCACCATCAAATTCTTTGACAGTTTCGATCTATATTCGAAAAGGATGCATGCATGTAGTCGTTAGTATATGTAAATACTCTTTCCTCTTTGCATCCTCCTCTTTGTCCCCCTTTCCTCCATTTTTACTAACCTCCTCCTTTGTGGGGATATATTGTCTGATAGCCATCAAGTTGTCAACAGTAAGCTTGTTATCATCAATGTTCCAGATAGCATCTCGAAGTTCGGGGTAGGTCAACTTGATACGAGCCAGCATAATTGCTATGTAATAGTTTCAACGTAGATATTCCGGTTAATTTCCTCGGTAAAATTTAGCGTGAGCCATAAAATGGCAAAGGATATTGATATTTACCAATGTTGTTGGCACGGTTAAACTCAAGCAAGGTGATGGCGCCTCCTTTGCGAACTATTGAGCTGCTGGTTGTTTCGTTTGTCTGATTTGCATTGGCTGCAGCTAATGGTGTATAAAGTTATGTATGTACAAGTATACGATAATAGTATTATCAATGACAGTGTTAGCTTTCTTTCTCTGGTTGATCTGGTTGATACATAGCTATAGAAATTACCTTTACGAGTCTTTTTGAACAAACGTTCCAGCTCAACAGTATCGATCTGCACAGTCGCCACTGGTGCTGTGTTCTGTTTCCGGGCAGCTGCTGCATAATGACGACCACTTTTTGGCAGGCCGTCGTCTACAGACCAAGAGTCTTCATCATCTTCGGCTTCACTGCTATTACTGCTTGTCAAAGGTGATTCCAATCCACTGTTAAAGTCAGGCGAAAGAATTTCTTTCCATACGGTATGTTGAATTCGCTCTGGTGGCAGTTTTGACCAGAAAAATTGCTAGTTAAATTTGTCGTTAATATCATTTGCGAGGTTGTTTATCATTCTTGTTAAGCTTGTAAATGCATTACCTTCATTGTGATTACTGGCTGCTGCGGCTTGTTCCAAGTATTAGCAGGATGAACAAGCGACGGATCTGCTATGGCTGAAAATGGCATTGCAGAGGATTCGGAAGTCGGCGAGGTAGGGGATCCAGTAGGTGACGATACATTGTTTTCGTGCAGTGATTTGAGTGATGGGAAACAGAGGTTGAGTGCAAGTGGATGAAGATACTTTGACGTTCGGGCACTGCGCCGCCTCAATGCATTGCTGTTTAGACGACGCACTGGTGCAGGGAACGATGGTTGTGCTGGTGCTGGAGGTGGAGGTGGTGGAGGCGGAGGTGGAGGCGGTGGCGCAGCAGCTGAAATCGGATCTCCTCTGACCACTGCAGTAGCAGCGTTGGTAGTCTCAGCAACGATGGTTGACGGTGTTGCGGGCATAGATGCAGGAGCTGCTGCTACCGACGATGTGTCGACAACCTCATTTGCGAAGGTGGAGTCTCGTTTTCTGAAACTATCGTCAGAATAAACAAGACCAGGCGTTTCAGGCAACATTTCGCTTGCTGTCATGGATGATGTGATTGATGGCGATCGTTGACGAAGATGTTCCATAGAAACAATGCGGTCCTCGCGTTCTTGAAGATCAGCAAGTGCTTTGGACATTTTCATCATTAGCTCGTTCTTTTCACGTCGAATCTTCGTGTTTGCTTCTTCACTCTTGACGAGGGAATCTTTAAGCTCTTCCACCATATTGCGCAATCCTTCAAGATCTTCGAAGTTTCCACCATCATTTGACGGACGAACGGTTTCGTTGTTGTCACTTTTGTTGGATATTTCATTAGCGATGCACTCAACTTGCAACTTTCCGACAATAGGCTGAATCAATTCAAGGAAGCGCTGAAGTGGTTGCTGGAAGTCGCCTATTTAAGTAGTGATCAATAAAGTTAAAATCGTTTGAATAAGTTTTTATCTTGAGCAAAAGATAGCACGGGAATCATTTCACAAACTTGCCTTCCTTTGCAACTGGCTTCATATTAGTAGCAAATATACTAATGACAGTCCAAATATCCACAACCGCCCTAGTAACGGTAGGTTTTTGTTAGTATTCCCAAGTGCACTGGCACGCGCTTAATTTTGTCAACTTACTGCTTGTTACTTCTAACTTTATCGGCGCCAAGATCTAGAAGGTTACTGATACTATCAACAACAAGATAATAGACTTCTGGATCTGCAGAAAACTTGTCAAAAGCTGCAGCAAAAATATCTTGTGGTTGCCTATATAGGAGGAGAGAGGTTTAGTATCGCTGATTACTTGATATATAGCTAATCTAATGGGGTTGTAGTGTTTTATCAGTCATCTCATACAATTGCAAAACACTTTGGCGCTTCGTTTTCTCCACTTCATGGATAAGGTCTAAATCCGTTTGCTTTGCTTCAATGTATGCCCGGATTGCATCCAATAACATATCTGATAGATCTGATGATTTCGCCAGATTCTATATTTGTAAAAAAAAATTGACATATCGTTTTTTTAGTAAGATCTGCCATATGGTGATATGCAACAGTAGCATAATAAACAAACATGTGTATTATATTATAACAAACAAATAAACAAAAGATCACCTTTAGATATTCATCCAAACCACGTCGTTCCAATTCGGTCCGTATAGAACGACGCACCTCGATTGATTCGGGAGTACTTGCAATTGCGTTAAATAAACTGACACATGCAGCTTGCGACTCCCAAATCAAGGCAGGCGCCTCCTTTTCATCCGTCGCTAAGCCATACAATTCATGCAGTCGACTGACAAGTCTCTCGAACCGGTACTGCTCGCCTCGAATTTCGGAAAGTACGGACAGCACGATTTGATGTCCCTGCAATGAGAAAATACACAACGCTGACAAAATCTCGAAAACATGAATGCATATTTTGAGAGTTACTGATAGCTCAGTGGCAGTGCTAGTATAATGGTGACTGTTGTTGCTGACGGGTGCTTCTGTGGCAGGTGCTGCGGAAAGCGTGGTAGAAATGGATGGTAAAACGCTTCCCGTGAGCGACGATGCCGAGGGTGACTTGTTTAACGTCGCTGTTGACAATGAGCTGGTTGGTATAATGGTTGTTAGGTCATGTCGACCGGTAACGCAGTTGAGTCCGGCAAGTAAGGCTACGACGAGATAGCGAAGAATCACAGGGCGCATCGACACTTGCTGAGATCCAGGCTAAGTTTGTTTTGCACAATCAGACGCGTATGGCGAATAAGAAAAGTTAGGAGCGCCACCTCAATTTAAAAAGAAAGTATTTCAGAAATAAAGGAGAAAGAAAGAAAGAGGTTGAAGGTAGAAGGTGAAAGGAAACGAACAGGGAAAGGGTATCTTTTCTAATAATGCTTGCCTCCCCCTGCATTATAGCACACACACATCATATGTAGCAAATGAAGCAAAAGGAGCAAGGGTAACGTACTTCTAACTTGATAGCTAAATGGTAGGGTGTGTGCGGCATATATAATAATATTGACGAGTAGTAAAATGAAAAATCGAACTGCTTACATCAGTATTCATTAGCGCCTTGACACATTTGATACATTCTAGCAAACAGTTTTCGTCCGCTTCACCAAGTCGCTGTTGTCCGCGCTTCCTATGATAGGTATACATATATCAGCGTAGGATTACATATTGCATACGATCTCCATATATTGGCATATAAGTAAAACTCACTTTTTTCTTCTTCCATCAAGTCGTTCAAGTACATTCTCAAGAGCTGATAAACCATTGTGTCGACGAGACAGAAATTCGTTCACCCAAGAGACGCTTCCAGTGGTAAAAATTACTTTAAGGGAGGTAAGGTGCTTGGTTAATGCATCAACAGGCGTGTTTCTATAAATAAGGTAGTAATCCGTGTGTTGTGTTATCAGCATCATTATAGCAAAAGATTGGAATTCCGGCACTCATACAACACATGTAGGCGTGAATCTTTACCTGCTGCGTAGTCTCTCAACATGAAAGTAGGGACTATTTCGATCCTTGCGTTTTGTAGAATTGTCGTCGACTGCAGCACTTGCAGCAGCCAGGGCGCTTAGATGCGATCCTTCTTTACGTGTAAGACTCTGGTGACCGTGAGTCATATTTGCTGCTGCTTTTGTTGGCTGCCTGCTACTACTACTCGCGGGTGCCGGTGCCATTTTATCGTCAAGCAACAACCACGCAGATGCATCCATGTCGTCATCCTGGGCTAAAGCATCAAACTCCAAAATCATGGAGCCCACTTTGGAGCTGCGATTTTGGTTAGCTGCTAAGTGATGTCGTCGGTTGAATTTGTATGTCGCAGCTCGCCCAGCGTTGATCCCACCAGCAAGCGCATTGTTTTTGTTATTGGTTCTGTTATCAATAGTAGCATTATTACTGTTACTAGTCGATGAAGCGGTAGCAAGATGAAGAAGAGGAGGTCGTTCCGCATTTTGCAGTTTCTTTTGCTGTTGTTGATTATGATCCTTATCGTTCTCTTGTTGTTGGCGTGCAATAAGTGACCGAGTGTCGCTACGCTGCATTGATGATCGTAAGTTGCGCAGTGACGTAGTGGAATTAGACGGCTTTAGCGTAGTAGTAATAGTAGGGTTTTTGATGTGCTTATTTTGTTGCAATAAATAAAGTTTTTGGTCCGCAGGTAGAACTCGCAGCTTATCACGTTGTTCATCCTTCATATTGAGCTCGTCCTATAAATAAATTACTGAACACGTTAGCGAAAAATAAACTTGTGTCTTTTGAAGTCAACGTTCTTGAAAAAACAAGCTAGAATACGTGCAAGAAGAGATTCAAATGTTTTCTCCAAGGCATCCATATCCCCCATGACAGCATGAGCATCGCTATTAACATCGGTGTCGCTGTCAACTACGTTCGATGGCGAAGAAACGGATAGTGCTGGAAGAATCCCTCCTGGACTGGCACCACCACCGCTACAACTTCCGTTACTGTTATTGCCTCGTCCAAGCCAAGTAGGTAGCAGGTTCTTGCCAAAACGAGAAGAGGTGCTTTTGCGAAGCATTGGTTGCTCTTGTTGATCCAAACTAGTTGATTTAGCGTGGCGAAGTCGTTGAGTCAAGCCCTGACTGCTAGCGGAATTGACAATGGTAGTAGGTGTGGTACTCTGTCTACGTGCTATAACAGTTGGCTTTTTTGTTGCTGTTGTTGTCGTTGTTGCCGAAGAGGATGTCGACAATTTTGCCGTCAATGAATGCTGCGAAGACATACTATTGAGATGCTTTGGCTTTCGTGGTATGGAAGGTATGCCAGAGGCGTTGCTGCTGGTACTGGTAGTAGTAGTTGTGCTGCTGTTGTTGTTGTTGTTGTTGTTGTTGGAAGCAGTCGTTTGTTGTGCTCGCTTCTGGGGCATAATTGTATCATTACTTCGCTTCGTATGGCTGCCCATACAGACGTTGAGGGGCTATATTTAAGCGTAAAAAGGGCTTCAAAAGAGAATGAAAAAAGAGAAGAAAAAAGAAGGGAATGGTAATCGTTTCAATCAAGGGAGTGGAAGGGATTTGAGAGGAGGCTCGAAGCGATTAAAGGCAAATGAGCCGACAAAGAAGTCCTTTTGTTTTGCTATATAAAGAAGCACACAGTATAGTGTAGCAGCAGGATGTGTAAGGGAACGGGAAGGGAAAGAAAAGAGAGAGAGAGAAAGAGTGTTAACGAAAGAGAGAGCGCGACCGAAAAGAAAAAAGGAAGAAAAGACTAGTAAATGCGCCAGGGCGTAGTGTCGATGTATAATTCGGGCATATGTCCTGAAAGGGAGTGATCAACCAAACTCATCCGGGTTCTCCTACTTTAAAGAGCTGATATGTATAAGTTTCTTTATCAGCTTTCGTACAGTATCACTTTTCTCTCCTTAATACTTTTCGGGTTTTTATAATAGCACATTGTGCTGACTATATAATACTAGATGACGAAGAAGATGGGTCAGGTTATCCAGCCCGGGAAAGAGAGAGCAATGTTGAAAGGCACGATTGTGGACTCGGCAACAAAGTGTGTGTTCGCGCTTTCTCACAATACGATCGTCATCTAGGACGCCAAATGCATGCCATATCTACAATGATATGCACTTATTTTTCTTGCAGCATATCTCCACAAGACATGCTGCCGCCCTCTTACTTAATGCACGAAGAAAGGATTCCCGCATAAGCAAGCTTTTAAAAGCAGAAGCAGTGTAATTATCTTTCTTTCTCTTACAGACCCCGTCTTATCCTCCCCATACCCCTCGGAGCGTGGTTTGGATAATCTCCTGTTCAACCCAAACAACCAATCTGTCTATTTGCCTCGTGAGTACAAACTTCCTCTATTTTATATAACGGCCCCTAAATAAACCTGAACCTAATTGGATCGTGTGTCTTGGTAAAGTAAGGATGAAAGTGATCAATGCTTTCTATGTGTATATCTGCTGGAAGATGATAATAAATTATGCAAACATGGACATCTTGTTGGTAGCACATGTTGCTCACACACAGTGTTGATCGAACGAAGAAAGGAGGAAATGCGCAGCCCAGATTCTTTCTCAGCTCTGCCGCCACGCTTTACTTGAAACGATACAAATCCATACACCCTCTCGTTGATCGATGAGCTTACAAGCAGAGATCCCTGGCTCTTTCATTAAAGGTTGGATAATAAATGCCATTCCGACTGCTAATTTTATAACACTAATTATGCTTTTTCTGCAGTCTTTTCTTCAAATATCGATGCAGTCGTAGGATTTGGGGATGAGTTAAACATCGAGGCCATGAAGACTCAGGTACACTCTTTCTACAATAATACAACCCGCCTGTTTATACCTGATCTGTGGAAAGTGGGTTGTGTAAAAGACGACTAATTTACATATATATATATATATATATGTTCAGTTTATTCTATGGACGTTAAACATGACAATGACAGGCCAAGCAATCATTCGAATTTCGCCTGTATTTTTTGACAACTATCGCGTGAAGCGGCCTACAGTCAGCAGAGACGAACGCGGACGACCTGTCAAAGGCGAAAGCTTACGAGCACGTGTGCTAATAAAGGTAAAATAAGCGCATCTATCAGTATCAAGTCGATATATCTTACATTAAGCAAACACATTCAAAATATTTAGAAACTGCGGACGGTTTTCCGGAAGAACCAGAACATATTGAACTCCTTGGAAAAATGCGAGATCACCTTGCAGGATCCAGGTGTTCCAAGAGAAGGAGAGGTCGTAAATGTTGAATCGAGGTTTAATATCAAGCTTTTATCACAACAAGGTAGGTCGAAACAGAAGAAAGGAGAACGATGGTGAATGTCCCGATTTTTGTAGATGCTGATAACTTTCCCAAAAAAAATGTTTGTTAGGTTTATCAAAGAAGCATTCATTGCGATACGGCGAAACCGACCCCGTAGTCGCATTATATAGGAAAACCATGCAGCACAAATTCGCCGTGGATGCGAATCTTTTAAATGATTATCTCTGTTTCTTCCACCCCAAAGTCACAGACGTAGCGATCGAATGTACCCCAGATGCAGTCAAGATTAAGTCATATTATAGCGATTCGCACCGAGGTATTAATATAACAGTTTTTTGTTTATTTGGGTATCGATCTAAATAACTGGAGACAAAGTTACTGATATTTGATCTGCTCGATAGTATCAGCAGGGGATCGACCCATGCATAGCGAATTTACGATCAATAGCACAGACTTTGCATCATATCAAGTCCAACGCAATGTTCAAGTGGCATTCAATATTAAAGAATTCAAGGCATGTACGCATTCTTTTTTGATGGGCGTCGCGCGGATACACAACCTTATAACAGCTTTTAATTTATGGCTCAAATTTATATAGACAGCTATCAACTATGCGGTGGATATGAACATGTTGCTAAGTGCATGCTTTGATGAACCTGGAAAGTACGTATTTTATTTTTCGTTTGACAAGAGTTTATTCTCTCTGCATGATAAACTGATGAGAAAACATCTTTATGTTAGGCCCATCGTATTCACAGTTGAGCTGTCTGACATGATTATTGCCGATTTTGCAATAATCACCCATCTGGAGGACCCTGTACCAACACAAATGACATCCCATACTGAAACTAGCATTGAGACTCGATCCGGCTATCGCTAATTCTCATATAACCCAGCATATTTAAATACACACTCATTCCACTAGCATCTGTATATATATAACGATCTTTTCATGTAATATTATAGTTATTAAAATATATATAAACTACACACACATACGAACAAATTGTATCATAAAGGTATATGAAGGGTATAACATGGATCATTTAGCTGCTCTTCCAGACTGCAACACAAATGATAATTGCAAGAATTAATACAACACTGAAACCAATGGACATGATACGGTTCAGTTTTTGCCACCGTTCAGCCATTTTGCCGCCACGTTCACGCGGCCTCCGCGGCCACACTGCGCCAACCCACCAAAGAGGCGGACATATGAATCCAATGATGAATAGTAAGGCACCCACAGAATATATGCCATCTTCATCGTGCTTGGTGACCCACCAAGGAGCCGGTAAGCCATTGCTCTCGGTGGCATTGTAATCGTATCCTTGGTACCAGTCCGAGTTGTGCTTGACAGAAGCTTGCTGCATATGCTGTTTTTTCTTTGTGTCCAGGTCCTTGGCGAGTGCTGTCCAAAACGTTGCCAGGTTCTCGTCGCCGTCGTTGTCATAGTGCTTTGAGTTACGCAAAGTCGAGTCCGAATGCTTGTTGTGGACAACCCCAGTGTTGCTAGGTTGCTGCTGTTGTTTCAACGATCCTTCGGATAGTCGATTATGGAGCACAGGGCCGTACTCTGTTTCAATGAATCGATTGAACGACGAATCGTTGTTGGGATCTGAATGTTTGAATACGACGGCATTGGGTGGCAAGGGCGAAATCAGGGGCGAGTAGCGTTTCTCGTCATCTGGTACAGTGGTTTCTGTACTTGGTCGAGGTGGAGGTGTAAATTCACCCGTGTCGTTCGAGTGTGGCGTGGTGGATCGCTGCTGGTTGATTAAACTTTCAGTAATTTGTTTCTGCCAATCTGACGGTTGCTGTGCCATTAGTTTCAAATGGGCCAATAAAAAGAAAGCGTGTGAGTTACAGGAACAAGAAAAAAAAAAGATGAAGGCTGGGTCCACGACCCCTCTCCGCCACAAGAAGAGGAATATTAGTTAGAGTATCACAAGAAACGAGTTATTGACCATTTAATAAATGGCCTTTATTTCCATGCTCATCCCGCGATGTGTGCTTCGCTTTTCATCGACAGAGTCGTTCACACAAGAGAGACGATGCATTCCTCATTGTTTCTTCTCCAGCTGATCAGCTGCATAATCCATCATCTGCAGGGATGAGCAAACGTTTGCGCCCCCCTTACTTTTCTCTGTGTGTATTCGACAATTGTGTATGTATTTCGGATCATGCAATAATGATTCGTAAAAGAAGAAAAAAAACTATGTCTGTGCGTATATATGATATGTACAACATCTTCTTGCTGTTGTGCTGTTGCATGGTTGTGTGCGTGTTGGTGTTGGTGTATATGATGCGTTCGAAATGTGTATATGCATTCTTCCCTTTCCGTTCCTTTGTGCTTTCTGCTGTTGCTCAGAATTTACTGACTGCCACAGCATCCTTGAGCAGCAGCAGCCTTTCCCTTTCGGTTTTTGCGATGGCTTCCCTTGGCCTTTTTGATGGAGTCGTTATCGCCCAACTCGGTATCCTTGGTGATACGAAGCTCTACAAAAAGTAAACATTGCTTCCATGAGCTTCCATTTCGCCCTTTAAAGACACGTACGTCCTCCCGGTTGTGATAAGAAAAACTTACTGTACATGTCGTCGCTTCCTTGCGCAACGCCTTGAACAACATTCTTTCTTAATAACGAAGTAACTTGGTCGGCCAATTTCAGTTTCTACAAAGCCGTCCCTGGGTGAGTATTTTTTCCATTACAGCCCCACTCGCCTTGTTGTCTTCGTACCTCTTCCAGGACATCGACATTTGTCTCGTCCTTGTTCTGCATGAATCGCGAATGAGTTTCCTTCTTAGCAGCTATAGGAAGTCAGTCAGTCTCAAAAGTTCACTGACTATGGCTATCGAATCGCTAGTTGCAAAACAAACGTACCTTGAATTGCTCGAATATCCTCTATGAAAAAACGCACACAAGTTTTATTAAATATCGGGTGTTGGAAACAAACAGACCAGGGAGTATGAGCATACCTCCAAAAACTTCACGCTGTGTTCTCAGTAGAGTTCGGTAGGCAGCAATGACCGCCTGTCGTGAGGGAGAAGAAGCAGAGGCCGCTGCAGACATTGGACGGTGTCGACAAAAAAGTGTAATAAACGAAGGTCAAAGTCTTGTTGAAAGAACGAAACTCTGTTTTCGAGTAGGTGGTTCGATAAAATGGTTTTGCAGTGGAACTGGAACGTGACTTGCCCGTGGGGGCTGTCGGCCCGAAGTGCCGGACTAGTCTTGTATTTTTCTTTTTTCTCTCTCCACACACGCCTAAAAGACACATGCATCCACTGAAGCCTCCGCAACACATACGCAAGAGCAGATATGCCGCTTTCACAGAACGAACACAAAAACAAAGAATAGGAATTGAATGGCGTAATCTAGACGATTTCTTCTTTCTCATATGCGGGATGAAAACTCGAATAATGAATTATACAGGGATTGTGTTTGTTATGATTGAGAGACTTTTATATGTTATATAAGGTGTGCTGGTGCTTTAGATAAAAAGTTTACTGGCCACCCATTTCCTTGGCGATCTGCTCGGAACGCTTGATGACATCGCTGATATCGCCCTGCATGTAGAAGGCGGTTTCGGGAAGAGCATCGTGCTTGCCGTCCAAGATTTCCTTGAAGGAGCGGATGGTATCCTGGAGCTTGACGAGACGACCCTCGTAACCAGTGAAGACCTGGGCGACAGCGAAGGGCTGCGACAAGAAACGCTGGATCTTACGGGCACGCTCGACAACCAACTTGTCTTCTTCGGACAATTCATCCATACCCAAAATGGCAATGATATCCTGCAATGACTTGTAGTTCTGGAGGATTTGCTGGACACCGGTGGCAACAGCGTAGTGCTCGTCACCGACGATACGGGGATCCAAGATACGCGACTTGGAATCAAGGGGATCGACAGCGGGGTAGATACCCAATTCGGCAATTGAACGCGACAAGACAGTGGTGGCGTCCAAATGGGCGAAGGTGGTGGCGGGGGCAGGATCGGTCAAATCATCAGCGGGCACGTAGACGGCCTGAACAGAGGTAATGGAACCGTTCTTGGTGGTGGTAATACGCTCTTGCATACCACCCATGTCGGTGGAGAGAGTGGGCTGGTAACCGACAGCGGAGGGGATACGACCCAACAGGGCAGACACCTCAGAACCGGCCTGGGTGAAACGGAAAATGTTGTCAATGAAGAGCAACACATCCTGGCCTTCTTCGTCACGGAAGTATTCGGCAATGGTCAAACCGGTCAAGGCAACACGGGCACGGGCTCCTGGGGGCTCGTTCATCTGACCGAAGACCAAGGCACACTTGGATTCGCCTTCGAGCTTGATGACACCGGTGGAAATCATTTCGTGGTACAAATCGTTACCCTCACGAGTACGCTCACCGACACCACAGAAGATTGAGTAACCACCGTGGGCCTTGGCAATGTTGTTGATCAATTCCTGAATCAACACAGTCTTGCCGACACCGGCACCACCGAAAAGACCAATCTTACCACCACGGGCGTAGGGGGCAAGCAAGTCGACGACCTTGATACCGGTCTCCAAGATTTCGGGAGTGGGCGATTGGTCAACGAACTCGGGGGCTTCGGCGTGGATGGGACGCGAGCTCTTGGACTTGATGGGACCACGCTCGTCAATGGGCTCACCAATGACGTTGATGATACGGCCCAAGACTTCGCTACCGACGGGAATGGTGATGGGAGCACCAGTGTCGATGACCTTTTGGCCACGGACAAGACCTGATGATAACATTAATTATTATCTTCAGTAACCATAACAACACCCTTCATCATCATCATCACCACCATCACCATCATCATCATCGTAGCAACTTAAGCTGATTGTGTCCAAGCAATATCCAAACAACTTACCCTCAGTACCGTCCATAGCAATGGTACGGACAGTGTTTTCACCCAAGTGCTGGGCAACTTCGAGGACCAAACGACCACCAGAGTGATCCTGGACTTCCAAAGCGTTCAAGATAGCGGGAAGGTTCTCCTGCTCGAACTGGACATCGACGACGGCACCAATGACCGAACTAATACCATTAGAAACAGAATAAGAAATGAGTATACTCGAGGCCTTGAGCGTTTTACTGTGTGCTGCTATTGTCGAAACTACTGCTACGGATGGTTTTTTTAACAAAACAAACGTACCGAATCTGACCAGCGGTGGCAGCCTCAGAGGCATAGCCGCGAGCTAATGTTTTTTTTTTTGCAAAAAAAAGATTTTGTCAAACAGCAATTAATAATTTTGGAAAATTATGACAAGAGGGTCCCAAAATCTCGGAAATATCGGTTTTTTCGTTACCCTTCAAGGCAATAGTCTGGGTGGCGGCACGAGAGACAAGACGAGCATTGGCTCTCTGTGCACGAAGGACGTTGGTAGGGACCTTTCCAAAAGCGCGTGCAAAGTACATTTCGACGGAGCAAAGCAAAGCAAAAAAAAAACGCGCCCTGGGTCAACTCCCAAAACCAAACAAATTGGAAGAATAGTCACACGCAGCAGTGACGTTGCCATCTTTTACACTACCCGACGAAAAGAGAAAGCCCGTTCTTGCTAATCAGGCCCCGCCCCACAGACATATATTTCGCAGTTATGCCGCTATGCTCCTCCCTTCCTCCTGAAATCTATACTCTGATTGCAGCGCATCTCGGTCTCGGCGACGTCTATGCTTGTGTCTTTGTCTGCAAAGAGTGGTATCAAAACTTTGTGCCTACACTATACACTTCGTTGAATGTAAGACAGTTTCGACCCGATGCCTATAACAGTGTTCGACTGTCATCGCCGTTGTTGGGTCCAGCCGTTCGCGAACTGTCTATCGACGAAGGCGTCTTGACCGATGGTGCAATAAAGAGCTTTGGCACAGTATGTCCGCACATCACATCCCTGTATTTTCACTGGCTATACGGAATAAGCAGTAGAACATCTTCGCGTCGTTTGAAAAACAACATCGATCCACACTACTCTTCTCACTCGTGCATACCCTTGTTAAAGTCGATCCACGCAACAACACAGCTCCAACGTTTAATGCTCTGTTGCTTTGGAGTAACCGCAACCGATGATATCGCCAACTCTCCTTCCTATAAGATCGAGTTCCTCAATCAAACCTTGTGTCACACGCCTAATTTACGCTCACTATCCTTAATTGGCGTATTGCCAACACTGCGCGCTACGGATTTGGATGTCATCCATTCGCACTGTCCGCAATTATCCGAACTAAAACTGACCGGTGCAAATGCGCTTTTGACTGGCGGTAGTGCCGACCAAGGCGTTGATACGGGATATCCACACATGAGAAGAATTGCGCTCGTTTACCCTTCAGGGTGGTCTAGGATTGCGGATTGGTTGTATGGCTTGTCTCGTCGTTATCCAAATCTCCAAGTTTTGGATCTCGAAGACTCGGCTCGAGGATCCATAATTCCTCGCACTGACAATGCAGTGCTCGAACAAGCTTTCTCTGCTTTTGCTAGCCAACATTGCAACAGTCTTGAAAAAGTGCGGCTTGTTCACTTGAATATACTCTGTTTCCAGGTCTATCGATCTTTTCTGGCTCCACTGTCCAAGTTACGCGATCTGACTCTGCATGACCGCAAGTCTATGGATATCGGCGAGCTGCTGGACACGCTATCGCCTCCGATGTCCCACAACTGCAACAACAGCCTTGTGTCCCTGGATACACACCAGTCCTCATCACGTGGTCCGGCTACCGTGCTCTCAGGCCGCTGCATAGCATTCCTGACGACACTCAATATTGATATGACAAACAAGGACTTTCATTTTGAAAATCTACTCGACAGCTGCAACTCTATAAAGGAGCTTACAATAACGCATGGCAACCTGTCCTTTACAGCAACAACACCAGCAATACAATGTCGTGCATCGACAACACTTAATCAACTGCGACTGAAAAGGACACGTCTTCCATGCAACAGCATCACCCTCATTCTCTCACATTGTCCGAAACTACGCTCTTTAGAGCTTAATGTTTGCGGCATCTATGCGTCAGACGAATCACGCGAGATTCGACTAAATTTCTCAGCTGCGCCTATCTTGGAATCTGTCAGTTTGATGAACACTAGCGTCAATTTTAACCTCAAGAAGAAATCCAAAAACCAACAGTGGGATCATATATCCATTTACGCATTCTCCTGTGGCTCTACAACTTTAAACATCAAAGCGCCTGCTCGCAAAAAACGTCGCTGCGACCCACATTCCGAGAACCGACGCTGGTATTTCATACCGTACTGGCAATATAACTCAAACTGTACACACTTTGATGTCGATCCCAACGAGCAACTTTTCGTTGTAAATCCGGTTTCAATGAGAGAGTTGGAAGCAAAGCAAATGGAGAAAGTGATTGGACAGAAAAATGAATGGCATCCGGAACGCTATCCTCAGATCCTTAACGATCAACACTTTCCCAATTCAAGGCCGGCTGGTTATATGTTCATATCGTGCGGACCTAAATTGAAATATTTGCGCATTAACGGACGAAGACTGCGCAAAGCTTGTTGACACGGTGTGTGATTCAAAGCAATACATTCAAGAACACCTAAATAAACTTCATGCGCAGCTCAGACCTGTTTTAATTCAATGTTCCAAACCGACCGCGTCTTTTATTTACACTTGTGCTATCATGTGGCAGCAAAAATACGCGTTTGCTATTGTACGAGCAGTAAACGGGTTTCGGAATTAACGTGCCTGAGAAACGATAGCAACTGTTTCAAAGATGTCTACTTTGATGAAATTTAGCTATAATCCATCCAAAGCATACATGCTACATGCAGCGGGTGTGCTTTTAAAGGATGAAGAGCGGAAGTGCACATTAATAGCTCATTTATACCATGCAAGTGTATGAAGTACACAACGTTACTATACATAATGCACGTTGTAGTATCATTACATAAACATAACTCAACACTGAATTTCTTTATTTTTGGTCATGTCTATGGTCGAGAATACAATGTTTCGCATTTACATACAGTAAAGCATGTTGGGACAGAAAGGGACAACAAATGATCATGCTTGTTCATCATCCTTTTATCTGGACCGCGCACATCTTAATCTCTGTACACCACTTACCCACTTGACGCTCGAAGCGCTTGCTAACGAAATTTCGACTTACAGAAAGGAGCAGCACAGACATTAACATATTGCCCAGCCTCCTTTGTTTAAAAGATTTACTCGTTGACTCGCTCCTCATCCCGCTTGATCGGTTCTAAAATCCTTGAAATATACGTTGTACCAGTCCCTGATTAAAGTATTCTTGTCGTTGGCGAGATAGAGTGAGAGCCTTAAATTTATATCTGTCAATTTAGCAGTAATGCGACAAAGCACTACAAGAATATTGCTATAAGACTATCGAACAATACATACTGTATATATGACTAGCTCATTGGACACCATGAAGTTCTTGTTACTCTATCACATTGCATCCACAGTATCCTGGCTCAATATATCAATCTGGTTAATAAAATGCCGGGCTTGCAACCGCTGTAGCGTCCGGCTCTGCGGCTAATCATGATGATATGAAAAATTTTACCGAAGCGGCGACGATGACGATGCTCAAAACGATCAAACAACACAGCATATCTACCAAGCATCTCAATTGTCATTAAGTGCGTGAAATACCATGTCAAAAAACAATTACTTTAAAAAAGAAAACACAAGTGTACCATCATTCTTTATAAAAGTAGCCCAAGCTCTTTATATTTCAGTGTTGAATGTGATGTGCAAAAAAATAAAAATATGCTATTGTATCACACTGCAACGATTATTGTTATTGTTTCACTTAAATTATATATATCGTGACCAAACATCAATTTCTCTTTCTTTAATTTCTACTAAACCGCATTCATACAAAATATATTCATTTCATTTTTTGACGATGGAAACCAGTTAAAAAGAAAGCAAAAAGAAGAGGAAAAGATAACTTAACTTCGTCTATACGATGCTGTTCACCGGCCCGTCACTAGAATACCTCATTACCATATATGCCTGTCAAAAACCCATTTACCATGGTATGATTATGCTGAGTATACAAGCTGAGGCGAAAGATCGCGTAATTGTTGTGTGCATAAGGTGCTGTCTGCAACATTGACGGAGACTGACTGTTGATTACATATTTAGGTAGACATTTGCCGAAGTAAGAAGGGTCGACAATTAGGCTGAATCTGAGAATTATGGTGGAGTCATATATACAGCTGATAACTGATGTAGTAGCTGTGAACGAAAGAATGATGACGACGATGATGATGATATACAGGCGCGCAAGCTATTACTGTTATTACTGCTGCTGCCGCATTGTGCTGTGCTGAAAGTATTAGGGTCAAGCACGGGCTGAACTGTGTGTGCAAAACGTCAAAAGAATTGAGACGGGAATAAACAACATTGCTGGAACGTGTGTGTGTTTTCGTATTTTGTTCTTCTTTTCATTCGACAATAACTGGAACACATTGTAAAATAGCGATTTGGCTGGAATTGCCGAGATTGATGATGTGTGATGGTTTGTGCTAGGCCGATATTTGTAGCAGTATTGGTAGTGATAGTAGCTAATAAGGTGATCTGGGGCGAGGTGGGTAAGGGTCGTATCTTGGCGGGGGAGGACGACGGTCATAACGATCATAACGGTCGTAGCCACGGTCGTAACCACGATCATAACCTCGGTCATAGCCACGATCAAAACGGTCACGCTCGAATCCTCGGTCATATCTTGGGGGATCATAACGATCCATGTACGATCGGTCATAGTAACGATCATATCTTGGATCACCGCCACGGGGTGGTCTAGCTTCATAACGAGGATGATCATAGTAAGAACGAGGTCCAAAACGGTCTACAAACCGCGCTGAATTCGAGGCGATACAGCGACGAACCATGAGCAATCACAGCTGTTGTCTGATAGCGTCTAACACAGGACGGACATATCCCTTAATAAAAAAAACTTTTTCCAATACTTACGTCCGCCACCACCGCGTTTAGGAGGACCGTAGTAACGACCAGGAGTGGGTGTACGCGGTCGCGATCGTCTGGCCTATACAATTTCAACACAGACGAGTTTAATCAAACAATAGTTGCAATTCTTTGTCTTGTCTCTCTTATCATTATTTTGAGGAGAGGGCTGCAAAATGTACCTTTTCAACAGTGACAAGACGACCGTCGAGTTCAGTGCCATTGATACTGCTGATCGCTCTATCTGCATCATCGGATGAAGCCATGCGGATAAAGCCAAAGCCACGCGACTCGCGGGAGTGAGGATCATACATCACTTCAGCTTTTTGGATCTAATATAAGTTTGAAAGAGTGAGTTTCAGAAACTTGACATAATAGCATCACGTTACTTTTTTTGCAGATTATTACCTTGCCGTACTTGCTAAAGAGTTCCTCAAGATCGGCACTGTTTGTTCTCAATGTGAGACCAGTGATGAAAAGATTGTCACCAGGATTTAGGTCCTCACTGCTGCGCCTGATTGACAATGAAAAGAAGGAAAAAGACATTAGAGCCAGCATAAACAGACATGCACACAAAACACTTTGATTATTCGATCACTGTTCAATCATCTGCAGAAATCAAAAAACAACTGCTTACGAAGGTTCTCTGGATCGTGAACGACTACGGTATCGGCTTTCGGTATGACGCACAGGGGACCGCGACCGAGAGCGGCTGCGCGGGCTTCGTGCTCTGTCATCTGAAAAGCGTTGCTCACCTTGAAGAACAAAGCAAAAATACTTAGTTTGTCGGATCACTATCATAATCACGCTACACTATCATCTTTCTTTTGTTCTCTTACCACTGTTTTCAACTTCACTCATTTTGTGTTGGAGGGGAAAAGGAAGTGTGTGTGGGTTCGAATGACTGGGCGGTGAAAAATAAGTTTTGTAGGTTCAATGTCCGGTCACCGAGCCAACCGGCAGCTCAATTCAAAAACACCCCTGAATATATGCAAATATCGGCCAATATCACCCATTAGCTAGGACCGTGCAGTTACCTACCATCAAGTACTCTTTGTTATAGCTATTAATAAGTACAGCAAAAGGGGGTGAATGTGCTGGTGCTAATGGTGGTGTGGGGCAAGTAAGAGAGAATTTCTTTGTCTGTGCCCAAAGGGGTGATTACACGTCTGAAAGAAAGACAAGGTTATGTAGCGGTCTACAGGATGTTACGTCCACAAAAAAAGCGGTGCGTTCACCAGCTTTACCATCAGTAGCATCTTTCTAGTTGTTTTGCTATGTGAAAAGCATTTTCTAGCTTCCTAACACTGCATCTATACGGCGAGCTTTATGTTTCGAATACTTTTATTTTTCCAGGTTTTATATTCACCATTGACAAATCGAATGTTCAATAGGTTATGTTTCGACCGACCACACAGAAAGCTTAGTATACGGAAAGCACGTATGATACCAGCGCGATAGAACATTATACCCGGGTAAAAGAAGCCTAATAACGCAAGCTGTATGTGTCTATCATCAACTTCTGACAGTAACTCATGTTTGTCTATACTCTTATCCACGGCTAAAATCGTTACTTTTTATATGGTCTGCAGGTCGTGAGACTTGCATACTTAGAGAAGTACCATACGTCAGCAGCCTTAAGTTTATTGTTTTCATTAGTAGAAATCTGTTACCAACACTGCTTTCTTACCTGCTAACATACATGTACAAGCTGTACTAGAAAATAAGAGGTCGAGGATGCTGGCTTCCAGATTTGCGGAATGATCCAAGCATTCAGCTATATTATGATTGCACACTATATCCTGGCTATACACCTGAATCGTTTCCATTATTCAGATATGCAATAATAACCGTTAGTAAGCAGACTTATAGTCAACTTAGATGCAAATAAGGCACACACGCTGTTGGTACAGTAACTCTTAAACGGAGTTTTTTCAACAACAAGAAAGTAAGCGGTATGGAAGTTTCATGCGTTGTCTACAGTAGTGGGTAAAACGAAAAGGTTGGTATTGAGCGATATATCATTCTACACTCGTTTCTTACTTCCTTTTTACATGCAGTCTTTATTTCTTCGTGTATTATCCTTCTTCTGTCAATGGCAGACGTCTCTCTGCTGTTGCTTGAATTGTACCGTTCTTACTTGTTGTAAGTCACCTACTTGTCGCTCGAGGCGTTTGCAAACAAGCATAAACAAGCACATTTGCACACTCGAAATGTCGATAGAACTTAGCAAGTGATCATCTGTTTCACACCCTTTGGCGCCAGTAGACTTTAGCACAATTGAACGCGGACTTATCGCTGACATTTACATCATCAACGCACAACAAGAGAAACCCGACATTCTTAGACATTTATCACCGTGTGAGCTTATGCAAGAAATGTTAGTACTGCTTCTGCGTTCAGAATTCAATACTGTACACGTGTGATTGTCGGTACTACCTGGGATCCGCCCTTCGTTTCATGTACCAGAGCGACTCAAGAGAGGTAATTATCTTCGTTTTGATGCTATGATTTTTATATTAGTTTTTAACGTACTGTCTGCTTATTCAGTCACGTTGCTGTCGCGTCCTCGTCCTCGCCCTCCACTTCCTTCGCCCTCCCTACCACTGCCATTACCACTGCCGATACTCCTTCTACCTCGACTGCCTCTCCCTTCTCCGTTCCCGACCCGTCTCCTTCATCATCCTTGTCGACTCAGCAGCAACAGCCACGTACTACTAGAAAGCGTAAAAACTCAGGATATGCACCTAGTAGTCGTTAAATGTGTCCTTTGCTAAGGTACATGCCTGTAGATGCATATCCCCTATAAATACATTTCTTTTTTTACCTATAATTATAGTAATGGGTATGATTTTATTGTGTCTGCTCGTTGACCACTGATGGTTACACCAAAATACTAAATAGGTATTGGGGATACTACACTGAGTTCAAAAGAAAGTTCGCGAGGATTGCGCGGATTGCGCGGATTGCGCGGATTTTTTTCCCGTGGTGTTGCTGCTTATCTTTATCTATTATGATGCTGCCCAATGTTGCCTTTGCATGAAAGACTTTTCCGTAGATTTATTTTTATCTGGTCAAAGAAGATGGAATTCAAATTTTGAAGTGCCCACGTATCAAGAAGTCGCGTATAATAATAGCGTGCGGTTTTTTTTCAATTTATAGGAATGCCATTGTCAATAGTTCCACATTTGCTACAAAAATCCATCTAGCTGCGCTTTTTGGTATCTCTCTAACAATGACCGACCGAACTAGACTTTACACTCGAGCGACCCGTCGGATGACTAGTCAAACGAACAGCCGCATCACTGTTCGAAACTGGTCCCACTGGAGGACTGTTATCTATTGCTACATAGCAAGCCTGGAGTGCCTGGACCAGAATTAACGGGTCAACATCTGGTTCGCACGATCGCTCAATTCTTGTACATATCTGGCAAGCCAGAGATTACTGGTATGCATTTTTTGTCTGCAAACGGTCATATTCTCCACGCTGCAAAATCCCGTCCTGACTATATTCAAAGGATAGCCTATGCTACACGTGCGCGCTGCCACTCGAATCCTGCCCGCTGCCACTACGAATCCTGCCCGCTGTCACTACGAATCCTGCCCGTCGTGTTGTTCATGACAGATACCAACAATTCACCGAGTAAAAACACCCCACACGCTAAGAACTCTTCCGCGGCAACTAACTTGTTTTAAGGCTTTGCCAGGAAACAAGCACCATGGCAAAATCTTTTTACCAAACTCAAATAGTTTGAAAAAGTACTAGGTATAAAGATTCCCTCACCGATTTCGTTCAAAACTACAAATAGTACGCTAGCAAAAAAACCGGTGAAGGAGAGATGAAGATTGCCATCGGGACGATTGCGCAAAGTGGGAAACAGCAAACAGCGAAAATAGATTCTGAACTTCTGCAGAAGCGCGTTAGTTGTAGAGCCACTTTATTTTAATGAGCAGGCGAAACAAAGTAATAGCTTTATAGCTCTTTGACCATAGTAATATTAGGAAGTTTTGGGGGAGATTCTGAAGCTGAAGAGCAACGTGCTGAAAGGCTCAATACTTGAAGACATTACGAGCAGTAGGCAGCAATTCCACAGTCAAGATTATTCAAACATCAGAGACAACCAAGTATATCAGAAACGCGTAAGTTAGATTGTATTCAGATATTCTAAACGTTTCTTGCTGGCTTGGTTCATCGTTCTGGCGAAGTTCCTGCTGATGAAAATGAAGATCATCGGTGGCTATCAAGGCAAATTTGAACACAAGTACAAACTTGAGTCTATCAGCTTGTCATGCGAGCAGACAGAAGATATCTCTTGAAACAAAAAGGTAATTCGTGTAAGTTGTTACACTTCTATGAGTACTATGAGAAACAGTCATTGTATTTTACTAAAACATCTCTACGGCAACCCAAGATGTAATTATACTGAAGTCAAATCTACTTGGTGACAGATTGGCGAGCACATTTGTTAGAAGCTTTTTAAGCGGCGTGGTACTCACTCTGATGCGGAAGTAAAGGTGGATATTGCCACGCTTTCGCCTGTATGTAATTGACAAGAACTATGTATGTAGAGCCTTCGATTTTCATCTGTCAGTTCAGTGGTAATGCGACAATGCATTACAAGTGTGTTGCTACGAAAATTCTGAACAACAACATACGCAACATCTTATATGTTAAGCTCTGTGGACGATGTCGGACTGCGCCAAGCTAAATAAAACTCGGTGTGTTGCTCAAACAGCATGAAGTACTCATGCCACATTGCATCCAGACAGTATCCTGGCACAATGTATTAATGTGGTTGGTCCAGAGCAGATTACAAAGTCGATTTTAGTGAGGTAGTTTTTCATGAATGTCTGTCCGGATGAAATGAATAATGCCTGGTGTGCTAATGTTGCTCTTGATGATACATACGGAGCTTTGACATTGATGACAGAAGTCAATGGGCTGCTTGGTTGATATCCTACGTTGTTTGTTCGTCTTGAGCATCGTCGTCATTATCAACATAATAAACTTGGCCTGTATCATGATAATTAGCCACAGCAATACAGAAAAGAGTTCAGACTGTATGGATGCTTAATGATTGATAGCAAAAGCTTTATGTTACTTTTAGCACGTTGCACTTGGTGGTTTGCCGAATAATACATTCTTGGTCATTGAAAACTACTCAAGGATGGACAATAGATGCGTTGAATCAATTGTCGCCAACAGACTCTTGCAGCACATTTATTAGAAAGTGATAGGATATGCTAAATCATCAAAAACGTATTTTAGGTCGAGAACAAGTGTTTCGACTAGTATATCATGTGAGTGCTCAATGAAGCTTGAAGGAGGATCGACGTTGCCAGCTTTGTAAAGTATTGCATATAAACAAAAACCCAGACGAATGATGGTATCCGTAATTCATAAAAGTAGACTCGCACAAAAAAATTATGTAATGCCATGTAATAGCAAAAAGACCAGTGCCAAACCATATTTATCAAAGTTTTATCTCACCAAAAAAAGTCAAGCAGGCAATTTATTATTGGCATGTACCAAATGTAACAGCTGAATCCACATGATAACCATAAATGGGTTTATTGTTAACCGACCGGAAGATTCCGGGGTTCTGGCAAAAAGTTTGACGTCAAGGTGGGGTGGATCTTGAGCGGATCGAGGTGCAGATTTGAGGCGGATTATTTGCGGCAAATCAGGCGGATTTTTTGTGGCGGCTGCATTACAGTTTCTTTGGGATGACTTTGGGAGAAAAGTTGTTCAATATCAATAGGTTTTTGAAGCCCAAGGCCCTCCACTTTTTGGAATCAACTGCTCTGTCTGGGATGTAAATAGTCGTGGGGGTATATGTTATAAAGCTCGCTGTTCCAAATATGTAAGTATGTTACATACTTCGTCAGGTGTTACCGCATTTTCCATCGGCTTTCCTTTTAAAACCTTCTTTTCATAAATAGATTGATGATTGATAAATCCGTTGATGATTGTATAGGTGTCCGCGGAACCGCCCTACCTTGCCTCGTTTAATGACAGCCAAGATGACCTGGATAAGAATGGGCGTACACTGCATTTGGTGAAGGCGATTTGATTGAAGGTTTTTCGGGGAATAGGGACAAATACAAGAAAGCGCTCCTGCTGTTGCCCCTCTTTTTCTATACGACTCTAAACCTAAAACTTTAAAGTGCCCAATTTTTTTTTTATTTTACGATGGCGATCCGAGCTTTATTGTACTAAAGGCGATGGTAAAGCTCTTTTCATATGGAACACAAGGATGTGCCCCATATATTGCAATTATGTAACCGCTAAACAACAATCCCAGGGACCACGTATCTTATATAGCAGATCCCCTATGTGAAGAAACTGGTATGACATATTGCTTGCATCAAACAAGCGCACATTGCATGAATTGCTTTGTCAAGTTCCGATTTTTAGTGTGTGAGAGAGAAGAAAAAAGGCAGTGTTTACAAAGCAGTCTCTTGCAGCCGCTGTATGTTAGTAGTTGTTGGGTCTCCGAATGCACGGAACTTTTATATACGGATGAATGAGCAACTGTAATCAATTATCTCGAGAGTGTCAACAAGAAAGGGGGGGATGGGGGGTTAGGGATGTGTGGAAGAGAAGGAGCGGTTAGCACAGGCTCTTCAGTGCGGATTTGTCGGAACATTAAGGGAAATTTCATGCCCATGAGAAAAAAAACGCAATAGGAAGCGCGTGTTCGAGGATGACAAGGATCGCGGGAATCTTCAGGGCTCAGTGTATATAAACGGCGTCGAACGCCAACATGCTCCTGCTCATCATTAAATCTTCTTAACTCGTTCTCTGCATCAACAACAAAAATGGCTGTCAAGGTTTACAAAGATTCGGAAGCTGATCTCTCCATCATCCAGAACAAGCGCGTAACCTTTGTTGGTTTCGGCAACCAAGGTATGGTATAGTCTTGCTCGCCATAAACGATGGGTGAAGTTGCTATTGCTGTGTAGATTCCCTTTTATCTCATACTTCCTCATGATCATCATATAGGCTCTGCTCAAGCACAGAACTTGCGCGACTCTGGTGTCAAGAATATCACCATCGGCAACCGTGACGACGTAAGTACTCGTGGCAGAGGAGGGGTTTCATTAATATGCATAGAGCGATAAGAACAATGTGAACGGGAGGCTATATACTCACCCACCCAAAATGCATTTTCATATACGTAACAGGAATACAAGCCCAGAGCTGTCGAGGCCGGATTCACGGTCAAGAGCATCAGCGAGTCCGTCAAGGACGCTGAAGTCATCTTCCTTCTTATTCCCGATGAGGTCCAGCACCAGGTCTGGAAGGAGCAAATCAAGGATAACCTTGCAGACAACGCCACCCTTGTTGTCGCCTCTGGTTACGCCGTTGCCTTTGATCTTTTGGATATCCCTCCCACCATGAGCGTTGTCATGGCTGCCCCACGCATGATTGGCCCTGGTGTCCGTGACCGCTATGTTGCCAAGGAGCCCTACCCTTGCTTTGTCTCTGTCGAGAAGGATCCCAATAGCAACGCATTGCCTATCGTCCTTTCCGTTGCTCGCGCAATTGGTGCTACCTTGGGCGGTGCAGTAGAGTCCTCGTGCCGTGAAGAAGCTGGTATCGATCTCTTTGCCGAGCAGGCACTCTGGCCCGCTATCAACACGTAAGTAATATATGCTTGGGAAAAAGGGGAGCGAGTAGGGATGTGAGCTTTTCTCACGGGGGGCGGGCGGCATAACGAGTATCATATATGAAAAGAGTCAACTAACAATCTATTTGAATAAACAGCTGCTTCCGCGAAGCCTTCAACACCCTCAAGGCCGCTGGTTTCTCTGATGAAGCTATCTTGCACGACATGTACCTCTCCAAGGAGCCCTCTGAAGTCTTTGAGCGTGCTGCCACTGTCGGCTTCTTCCGTCAGCTCAAGTTCCACTCGCCCACTTCCCAGTTCGGTCAGCTCCGTGGTACCATGGCAAACGACGGCACTGCTATGCGCGCCAAGTTCGAAAAGGTTTTGCACCAGGACATCTTGTCTGGTGAATTCGCCAAGTTCTGGTCCGGTGCTTTTACCTCGGGCACCTCCGACCTTGAAGAGCTCTGGAAGAAGTCTGAGGAGGACCCTATCTCCCAGGCTGAAAAGAGAATCGGCCTCCATGACTAAAAAAAAGTGTATTTTTATCATCTATGTTATAACGCTTATTGGGATCCATACAAACACACACACACGCACACTTGTCCATTTTCGCTGGAGCACTAACTTCTAGAATACTTTTTCTTTCCCTTTCTCATAATAAAACATGCAATTGTATCATTTCACTCTGGAACGATCGTGCTTTCCTGTCATGTCTCTGACCAACCATTCATCAAGGCTACAGTGCTTGTATGTTTTATTATAGTTTGTCTATTTGTATGTTGGTTCAATAGTATTAAATTAAAGGGAGTGGAGCAATTACAGAGAACTTTCAATAATCCTGGGACGTATTTACATAGTGTAGGTTGGTAACGGTAGCATGCAGCCAAACAGCTTATTAGTGGTCCTAGTTGCCGACTTGATGATGATGAGGGTTTGCACCATGATAGCCATTAGCACCTGTTTGAGGTTGTGGTTGAGGTTGTGGTTGCTGCTGCTGCTGCTGTGGTGATGGTAAATGTGTATACTGTCGTTGTTGCTGTTGCGCTGATGGGTGCTGCGACTGCTGTGGCTGAGAGTGCTGCTGATGTGAATGCTGCGACTGTGGATATTGATGCTGGTTCTGTGGGTGTGGCTGTATCTGCGGAAGGGGTCGTGGCTGAGATGGTGGCTGCGGCTGATGCACCTGAGGCGGCGGTGCCGGACGAATGCTTTGCGGGTACATACTATGGGATACTTGAGGCAGTAGAGGTGGGAGCACTGGAGGACGTCCGTTACCATTCGCAAAATTTGAAGGCAACATGGGTTTCAATATAGGAAACACGGGCGATGGACGCCGCTCGGAATTAGTTGAAGCTGCTGTGGCTGTTGGAGGGGGTGGTGGCCGTTGCGTCCAGGGTTGCATCGCTGGCGATGGAGCTGCTTGGAGCGGCAGGATGTGGCCGTTGAAGTTTGTTGTAGCAGGTGGCCGTGAAGATACAGGAACACTTGATGTGGGTACGTGCTCGATCTTTGTTCTTTTGAGCTCCACGTTCTGTGGTGCTCCGTCATCCTCAAACCCATCAACATTCACTTCTTGCGATTCCTTTTCTTGACAAGGCCGGCAAAAGAAGACAGCTTTGTTGAGCGCCTCTTCATCCTCCGGAATCTGTCTAGCCTTCTGCAGACATTCAATATGCTGCCAAGTGCCACAGCGTTCACACGCAATCATTGGGCTTCCGTCATCCTAAATATTGTATTTTGCCAATGCACAACTTAGTGAGCCATGAACAGGAGTGGATCTGATGAAAGCAGACATGATAGTGGACTGCACTTACGATATTATGGCCAGATACACCACATACACAGTCAAATGACCAAGCATCTTCTTCCTCGACCTTCTTATTCTTTGGTTTGCGACCACGCTTCTTTCCACCAGGAGCTTTCTTTGCCGCAGCCTTGCTTTCTGCCAGTGCTTTGCGTCGCTCAGCTTCCTCTTGAGCATGTTCACGCTGTTCCAGACGCCGCTCTCGGTCCTTGACTCGGTCTTCTCTAGCCTTTGCTTCTTTAACTTTCAGTTCTTCTTCCCGCTTACGTGCCATCTCTTCACGTCTGGACGACTTTCGAGAGGCTTCTCCCTGTAGTACTTTCGCTACTTGCTGTTCCTGCTCTAAAGCTGCCAACTCCTTGTACATGATCCGAGAACTGCGCTTTCTATTGGCAAGAGCCTCCTTCTTCTTCAGTTCATCTTCGTGTTCCCGCATGACGGGTACCACTTTAGGTAGTACGTCGTTGACGAGCAAGTCATAAAAGCGTTGTTCGTCAAGATTGTTGCTATTTTCGTATTTTTGGGGGAATTTGTTCCAATCATGTTTGGTCAGACAAACCTATCACAATTCCCATTGAGCAAAACTTGCGAATTCATGCCTTTTTATCAATTGCACTAGTAGCTTATATACAAAACTTACCAGCTTCCATGGTACCCAGTTTTCTATTTCCTCTTCTTCCTCTTCTGCCTCATCAGCTTTAGCGGAGCTATGTCGTGAACTGCGTCGAGTGCCTTTAGGTCTAGGACGCGGTTTCCGTGCGTTCTTCTTTTGGGACTTTTTACGTTTTGGTTCGGGGGTTTCTTTATATAATCGATTGTCTAATGTGTATGTAGTTTTTTGTTGTTGTCAGTGAAAACAGATCAAATAGTACATTGCGTGCATCACATAATACCATTCACTTACCATCAAAAAGCCAAAACGAGCTTCCTTTAGCATCATAACCAATTGGTTCTACACGCTGGATATAGTTCAAATGCGGATAAGAACAAGTAATATGAAGAAGAAAGAGATATACCCATGATGATAAATGTCACTTACCCAGTGGACAGCATCTTCTTCGCTATCTAAGTGTTCTCTAAAGCTGTGCGCATCGTCTAGTTGCCACTGTAATTGAACAGTGATTAACAATGATAATCTCACGTTGTATACACAAGATATAAGCATTCGTCAGATAACTCACCTCGCACAAAATATATAGTAAGTGAACTTTTGTCGAGAGCGGCATCTCGAAAAAGTTCTTTAAAGCTCTCTTAGGAGTAGGTAAAGGCTTTTCATCGTTGGATGATTCGTCTTCTTTTGCTTGCTCATCTGCGGTTTGCTGTTCATCATCTTCTTGTTTCTCAGGAAGGAATGGGTTTGGTTCAATACCTCCACGTCGGTTGATTTCTTTCGAAAAGTACGTTTGCCATGTGTCGTTACTATGAGATAGAGACATGACGATAAATTTTCTTATTGAAAGCTAGCAACACGTTGATCCTGACTCACTTTATAAACCGGTTACGCGTCAGCAATCGCAACATGCGAATCACCAGTTCCTGAAGTCTGTATCCCTCCTCGCTCTTGAGAAGCATGGCTTCAAGATCCTATACATGGAGTTTTACATATCACAATTAGAGAACAAAGAAAAGGGAAGGAAAGTCTGATCAATCGCTTATACAACATTCCAATGGATAACAGATATAACAAGGGCCCAAACGAAAAAACTGCTTGTTCTCTAGAGGCTTCCCCACAAATTATGCAGCCAAGCACAGCTTTTTGTTGCACAAACATCAAGCAAATACAGAAATAACATAAAATAAAGCTAACCTCTGTCGCGAAAACATAACCATCATCGGATCGCTTGCTGACACGTGCGTTAATGTTGGATTGGTGGGCAAGGAAAGATGCTGGGTTATATGCTGCTGGCCATGGATGAAATGCTGATTGGAACGTGTGGAAGAACTGGGCGACGGAAGCAAATTCGATATTGTTTCGTAGCATATCGACGATCTGTTCCATGTTTTCCGTAGCCATGTTCTAAAACCCCAATTGACTACGATTGAACACGTTCTCGTTATATATAATTAGAGGGAGATCAGATCCGAATAGAAGAACGGGAAATTTTTTCCCAAAGATAAACGACAATGACAAAAAGGGGAAACGAAAAGGCTGCTTTGCGAAAGTGAAGGATATATGGTCTTCTTTTTTTTGCAGCAAGCGTACGCTGAAAGGGATATATAGTCGTAACTAGGTTTTTGTAGCACTGAAATGAAAGGTCCAAAACTTTTGGTTCCAGCGGAGTATGTGTAATTGATAAAATTGTTCCAAACCGACTGCAGTCTTCTTACTATATTTCCATGTCTTTCCAACAGCACTCTAGGATGAAAAAATTGGCAGCCATGGCGACGTCCTAACCATTCCTGATGCAATTGTTGGGTGCCATGACGACATTACTTTTATTATCGTTACTATAAGTACGTCACCACTGCGTTGACGATAGTGGATGCTTTATGTTTTTGCTTGGTTGAGTGATATACCTACAGTATCACAAATGACTGAAGTGAACAGCTTCAAAAATGAAACGTGTACTTGATTCGTTATTGATCCACCACCCTTTTTCAATATTGCAAAGCATGAATAAAAAATTCAAGAGTATAGTATCAAGAAGTATGTTTAAATAAACAATTAAGGCTGTTATTGGAGGCGAGTAGAAAATTTATACAAGTACGAAAGCTGTATGAAGCAACGTGATTTATAAGACTTGTTTTCTGCAAAGATCGCTCTAAGGGTTCAAGCGAAGTTCTGCTTTCTTGCCTTGGAAAGAGGAGAAATGCTGCTTCTCTCTGTCAACGCAATCTGTGCTACCATGTTGGTTCTGCATTTATATAACAGCGATCGATCGAATCTAGTCATACTGTATAGAACACCAATGATAACTAAGTGGTCGTGATTGTACCTAGTATTTTAAGCCAGGGTTGGACAAATGTGATAAGAGACTGTTTACAGTTACCGGTTATTGACCGCAACATGCATTATAAGTGAACCGTGTAAAGGTTGCACAGTATAACCCCTGGTTTGGTTTTTCACAATAAAAAGAATGACCTAGCAAGAGAACGAAGGACACTATTTTTTGACGTTTGGAAAAAATAGCTAACGGCCTATTCTTTAAGAAACAATGATTAGTACCGCCATTCATTAGAAACAACTAAGCTGAGTAGACGATATGATAATGGAAGCATGTTTAGCAAGAAATGAGTTGCTATGCGTGCAAAGAAGAAAACGCACGCCTTATCTTTATGATTTTATGTTTTGCAACCAACCTACTTTATTCAAACTCTTCTGTCACCTCAGTCCGAGGAGTTCACGTTGCCCGGATTCACGAGTTATTATTCGCTGTTCCATGGATCTATTATGCAGTCATGATTAAAGCGCCCTTCCGATGATTTTAAACTGCACTACCATGTGCTGAAATAAGAAATGCTCATTGACAAGTAACGCTTCCGGTCGAAAGATCCAAATTGGTGTTCGTGTAACGATCATGGCACTAGCACACACAACAAAAGAGACTTATAACAGATAGCCACAATCCAGCCCCTGGAAAAAAAAGTGCACCACAGATCGCCAAATGACATATAAGCAGGCTTAAATATTCGCGGCGCGGAAAAAAGCGATCGTGTAACGGAATCCTAGAAAATTGCACGAAAATGTTACGAAAAGCAATTGGAAGTACAATTGTGGGAGGGTCTGGTATCTTATACTCCTACATTCTGTCGTCTGCTGGCTGGATGTGCACTTGTGGTGATGATGGTATCGGCATGGTATGAGCGTCGATATCGTCCGCAGATGCAAGATCACCAAACCACTATAGTTTGCAGTCGTTGTTCAGTCAGCTTTTCTCTGAGCGTGTCATCGTTTATGCGCAGTTATAATCAGTTGCTGCAAACACCAGAAAAGTAAGTGTATTGAAGTATTCAACTGCCGTTCGCATTTATTAAGCTTTGATGATCACGTTGAAATGGTTGTTCCAGCGAATAGAGCAAGGTAGTTTTAAATCAATTACTTTTGCTTTTGCATTGAATTCATTTGAATCTATGACAAACCATCAAATGATAGAGGAGTAATGACGTGCGATTATATGCCTCCCACAACTCTGATTGCTTATTGAATACGTCGCTCCACACCGGTAGCAACGGTTCGCAAGTATGAGCAACACAAAGATTTACTCGGTGAGCGGAAGCACGGCAAAGAAACGGTATATGGTGCTCTTGTTGCAGACGGCTAGTACTTGCTGCTGCTGTATATGAGTTTGCATAACCGTAGCCAAAAGAGAGCAAGTTATGACACATTGTAAACCATTCGCTGATCATGCCCAGGTGGTCCCGTTGATGCGTTTGAGTCATTTAATGTTAGATCGCTGCTGGCAAGACTCGTTACTAGAGGGGAGCTGTTGTATTAATTTGATTGACGGAACCCTCTAGGTCGTATGTTCGACCATTGCCTTTGAAACAGAGAATTTTGGCTGATAAGATTACGATAACGAGATTTATGCAGTGGATAGGTTTGGGAATACCCAAAACTGAATGTTAACAATCAGTACACTTATTCAGGAGGCCATGGCGAATTCTCCCTGTAATAAAACAAAGTGTGTCGAGTGATTCTTTTTGGTAGTCTTTTGGTGATGTTTTCCTCATTCAATCTGTCGATGCAAGCCAAACAATTTGACCCGTCGTCAGTGTATATCTTGTCCTCTTTTACGTGTGCTTCTCGTTGATTGTACACATACCAGATTACTGTTAAAACTGGCACCAGCACTGACTGTCCAGACATAGAGAGTTTGACTTTGGAGCTACATGGATTACTGTATGATTATGCAAAGATCAAAGAGCGTGCGATTGCACAATAATCATGTGAGCAGCGAGTTTTCGCGAGCTCCGCGAAAACTGGTGGTGCAGAATTCGTCCAACACTGGTCTTAACAGACACAGGCCAATGATGTCGTATATGCATGTCATATTGCCTCAGATATCTCTCAACATACACAATCTGGATAAAAGATGGTAAAGATACAGTGTACACTGCTTACACGAAAAATCGCACTAGCCTTTATTGCCATTTGAGTGATACATTGGACGAAAGTTACCTGAATATACCCTCCGCAATTCTGCATTATGGTAATTAATCTTGTCCACGTGTGGCAAGCGAAAGGCACCAGATAGCATACTCAATTTTCTTGCTGCCTTTTTTCAGGAATTGTTGCCTGTTTGGGTACCATCATTATCGTTAAGATTTATGCAGAACGTCTGGTTTTGCCGTGAAAACGTTTATATAAACGCTGCGATGTTTTCTTTTGACTCGCCACAGAACATATTATCTATTTACCGCCTGCTGCCGTTAGTAACAGTCAAGTATTACATACCATGAAGTTCTCTTTTTTCTTGAATGCCCGCTTTGCTGGGTTGGTCGCCATTGGCAGCACTTTGCTTTCTCAGGTATCCGCTGCACCTACTCTTCTGTCAAGACAAGCCGATAGCTGCTCTGGTAATAATAATACATAGCGATAATTGAAACACTGTTTATAAAGCAACAACTACTATAACTATTTAAAGTACTAACAATGACAGGTGTATAAATTATAAATGTAGCCGATGCCATCTCGTGCAGCACCTCCAACGCTGATTCTTGTTGTGTCCCAGCCTATGGCTTGATGGTTCATGTGCAGCAGGTAATGCGAGTTGTAATCTGATAATCTAATTGCTCTTAAACAAAAGGCTCCATACCAATTAACTTTAATTGAATACCTAAAGTGGATTGAAGGCTATGGACCATCGGACGCCTTCACGATGCACGGCTTGTGGCCCGACACCTGTAGCGGCGGTATCCCGGGCGACGGTAACTCTGGATGTGATGCCTCTCGTAACTTTGATGATGTTGGTGAAATCATCCAAGGACTTGATTCGTCTCTTTACAATCAGATGAACACGTACTGGCCTTCTTACACAGGTAATGCAAATCTATGAGCTAATTACACATAGATCACAGAATAATGTGAATGGGGTACGATGTTTTCTGTTCAAATGCTAACCTGTTGCTTACTAAATCTCACAAAAATAAAGGCGATAACCCTTCGTTCTGGACGCACGAATGGAATAAGCATGGTATGTATGAGCTGCATATACGAACAAATGCGCTAAACTATATATGAAATGTCATAATATTCAAAAATTAGAATTCTTTTTTTATGCTTAACAGGCACGTGTGTTACCACTTTGGATCCCGAATGCTTCGGTGATGACTATCAAGAAAACGAAGATGTCGTCGGATACTTCCAAAAGACCCTGGATCTCCGTACCGAATACAACCTCTATGCAATTTTGAGCGATGCTGGCATCACACCAGGAGGAGAGTACACTGTCGCAGAGTTTGAAAGCGCAATTGAAAACTCCACGGGAGCCACTCCCAGAGTTACTTGCAGCAGCGGTGCTTTGGAAGAAATCTGGTTGTACTTTTATGTTGAAGGCAACGGTGAATATGTGCCAACCGATGCTTTTAGCGGCTCATCTTGCTCTGGCTCTATTGAATACCCTAACAAATAAATTAGATGTGTTTCTTTTATGTTGTATTCATTATCGTCTAATAAATAATATGCTACATATGTACATATACATCGTATGCGTTTATTCCCTTGATACAAGCCTGTTGCCTAGCGAGTAAGTACAAGACGTGTAAACCAGCTTGATATACATAATCATTTCCAGTAAGCTGAGGCAGCGATTATCGGCATATTGTGAGAATGCAGCTCTCAATAATGGAATATCAGGATCCAATGAGAAAGTGCAAACGGAATTTTGCTATGGACATATGGACTGCACTCAAGGTGAGAACGTACAAGCTAGCATACGTATAACATGCCATAATTCATCGTCTCTGTTAGGCTGAAGAGTGGATGTACGTCCTGCACCGTATCACATCACATCTCGAATGATACTTTCGCCGGAAACAACCATGAAAGAACACATAAAATGTATTAAAGTTCCGTTGGAGCCATCAAAGGACACAAGGTGACAGGCAGCAGGCTTTCTTAAAAAGCATACAACATCTTGGTACCACTCGGTGTCATTGCCACCTTGTGCCCAAAGATTAGGTGGAAGAAATTGCTACGGAGCCGGCTTACTGCATTGTTTTTGCTGTGGATGTTGATCGGTACTATGTGCTCGAAAAATCAGGTATAAGCAGCTTTTGTACATATCTATACTACTGCTCAGAATTGGTGTTGAAGGAAATGACCTTTTATACGGTACGTTCTTGCCAAACAACAGAAAGATCTTATCTGTGAATATGCTAATGCGAGCATGCTCGTTAGATTCATTCTTGTTGCCAATTAGGCATGGTTGGATAATAAAGGTGCATATTTAGCTCGATGGTGTATATTCATCCAGTCTGCGCAGCGCATACAATATAGGTTCCCCACGTATTCAGTCTTTTTTTTGGGGGGTTTTTTGGCAAATCATGGCATGTTGTTCTTTAACCTTAATATTAATGGAAAAAAAGTCCGCCGTCGTGAGATGCTGATCGCTGAACTTACTTTCCAAACACGAGAGTGAGAACGGACCCACTGGCATAAAAAGCATACCTCAGCAATGACAGGATAGAGGCCTATCGGACATCCAAGCCCTGCCAACATAATTGTCAGCATCTTTCTTCTTTCTATTCCGGCGATCAAAGAAGATGATCGGTTCGGCTACCATATAAGGCACAAGGGGCGTGCGGCATTTTCGGTGCAGCATTTTTTGGCGTTTGGGATGCACACCCTATTTTAGACGGCAGGTAACCCGGTCTTCCCATATGGCATACGGGCATGCAAGATCTTCTCACTCGAGTTGATCTCGTTAGGCACGCCCCCCTTGTCCCATCAATAAGCTTGATCTAATGTCAGGCACACAGTTATTTCAATCAATTGCACACTCTCCACTGCTCGGCTTCTGTCGGGATCTGTTATCCTTGCAACATGTATCGCACACTGCTCCATTAGCCGTACGTTACTCAAAACAGAAGCTCAAGCTTGAATGAAGAGGATGGTGTGTGTGTGTGTGTGTCGATGGTTTTGGGGTTGACCCAACGGTTGTGGCGTTTGACCGAAACGGTGCGACCGGCTGTTGCCTTAGGAGGAAAGCCGCCCGAGGAGTGCTCTGGTTGGCCGGACCGCGTCACACATGCAATAAAAACGAACCCCGCGCATGGCGATGATAGTGTTACTCTTCCCCCTTTCTCTTACTGCTGCTACTTTACCCTTTTGCTTTTACGCAAAACCTACACACACACACACATAACCACCTCTCTCTTTATACCACACACATCCTCACATAACTCGCCATGGCTCCTATCGACTCGGCTCCCATTGATCCAAATGCTCCTTTGAAGAAGAAGCCCGTATCATACAAGAACTTGGCACTTGGTGCAGGTATGTCTGATGATGAGAGGAACGGGGTTTTTCAACTGCGGGAACGGAATACGAGAGGAAGACGTGTAACAAGGGTTGAAGAAGGGGTGTACTCATTATTGCTTGGTTTCTATTCTTTTTACCAGCTCTGAACCTGTTCGAAGTATCCACACTCGGCCAGCCTTTCGAGGTCGTCAAAACACAGCTTGCTGCAAACCGTGGCCAGTCGATGGCGGAAGCACTGAAAACGATCTATAGCCGAGGCGGCGTTCTCGGCTTTTATCAGGGGCTGATTCCGTGGGCATGGATCGAGGGCGCAACCAAGGGGGCGGTCCTTCTCTTTACTGCGTCCGAGTTTGAGTATCGTTCGCGGGCAGCGGGTGCTTCTCCCTTTCTGGTAAGCACACAAGGTGGTGGTGTTTTGCTGGTTACGTGTATGCGCGTGTGTGGGTGGGCGTTTCTGTGTTGGCAACAACAACAACAGCAGCAGCGGCAGCAGCGGCAAGGAGAAGAACCTTCCATCAACTCCTCTCTTTGTGTTTATGAGCGTAAAGAAGATGCTTATCGCCGTGTTTCATGTTTCTTTTTCGATCAATGATAGGCCGGTATAATTGGTGGTATGACTGGTGGTATCGCTCAAGCTTACAGTACCATGGGCTTCTGTACGTTCATGAAGACGGTCGAAGTAACCAGACACAAGTCAGGTAAGGATGATTTCTTGTTCGCGTAACTGGACCCGTGTGTGCGTACGTGGGCTTCGGTGAGCGTGGATTACAATTCTCCTTTACTCTTTTTCTCACACACACACGCGCGGTACGCGTACACAAACATGTGATTTATCTACATCCACAGGCGCACAGGAATCAACATTCAAGATCGCTGCCGATATTTTCAAACGCGAAGGTATTGCTGGTATCAACAAGGGCGTCAATGCCGTCGCCGTCCGACAATGCACAAAGTAAGTGTCTGGTTTACATCCCCTATTGACACGCAAAAAAGAGCATGCTTGTTTGCTTACGATATCAACGATGGTTATTGTAGCTGGGCCTCGCGCTTTGGAATAACCCGTTTCACACAAGAATCCATCGTTCGTATGCGACACGGAAAGGATGCCGATGTATCCCGCGCCTCCTCCCTCGATAAAGCCATGGCTTCTATTACTGGTGGTGCCTTGTCGTGCTGGAACCAGCCCATCGAGGTTATTCGTGTTGAGATGGTATGTATCTACTAGTTGAGGTGGGGGGGGGGGCGGTGGTGCTATATGTGTGCCTGCGTGTAATGAGATGGGAGCAGATGATCTATCGTCAACAGCGGAGGATAACGGCGGAAACAGGCAATTTCTGGTTGTTTTTTTTCTATGATGGATTCACACGCTAATAATCTCTGTAATGATAGCAATCACAAGTCAAGGCTGAGGGTCGTCCTGACAAGATGTCAATCGCTACTGCAAGTAAATGGATTTACAAGAACAATGGCGTTAAGGGATTCTATCGTGGTGTATTACCCCGTATTGGTCTGGGAGCATGGCAAACGCTCTGCATGGTGGCGCTTGGCGATTATTTCCGACAGTTGTTCGGTACAAACTAATAATAGATCTTTACGGTTGCCTATAATAATAAATGTACAGCTTCTTTCTTTTACATACCCTCTGCAAAAGAGGAATAATCTTGTCAAGTGTTTACTGCCATCAGCTGATTTTTGTTGTTAAAAAATGAGCGATGACAGCAAGCAGCGTCATGTGCTATGAAACATCCGTACCTGGGCCCCTAATTATTGTTACGCCTTATATATGCTGAAATGTCTCAAGAAATGGTGTCAAAATAGCTACTATGTAGTAAAAGTAATAGCAGGTAATCTTCAGCCACCCTCACGCATGAGCGATGATGTATACACTTATAGGCATGGTACGGAAAACATGAATTCCATGCGTTATAACACTCCACCACACCGAAAAGCCAGGGCATAGTGCCCTTTTAAACAAGACGTGTCATATGACAGATATCATATTGATGTTTGGCTATGCAAATGAGCTGCCAGATTGCACTAGTCATCATGGACATCATACTAGAAGCAGGACTCTGATACATTTCGACTGAGCATTTCACGACTCCAGGTACAAGCACACCTAAAAGTAGGCATGAAAAGTATTAACACTACCATAGATCTCGATGAAAGTATCCTTGTTGTTGCTGCTTTGGTCTCTCGATCGCTACTACTGCTCATAGACTTGTCTTTGTTTCCTGACTCTTTCTTTCCACTTGAGTTTACTTAACAGTTCTAGCGTGCGATATCAAATTGTCTGTTCTTTGAGCTATCCGCTCATGACCTACAGTAGTCCCTTGTTAATTACACCTTCTTTAATTCACTTTTTGTTTATGGCAAAACATTTCTTTGCTGGCGAAGAAAATTAACGTTTCCCAAAACTCGCTAGTGATCCTCGCATGCAAATTCAGCTGCCAGTCATGACTGATGTACCCAATCTATAACATCGCATAAGAGACGTTAGTCTATGTAATACTGAGGAGCTTCTGTGTTGATGGAGGGTCCAGCATCCTATGGTATATGCCCGACGTCAATGGGATATAAAAAACCAGCTACGGTAAAGAGCTTTCTCAGTATATCTATACACGGGAAGGTTGGAGCGCGATATCTTAGAACAGTGTGCATTGTTACACGTGTAAAATAAGGATGTAGGACTTGAAGGACTGATGTGAGGTACATAACGATATACAACTTTCACGTGAGCATAGTACCGGCTGTACCCCGTATAAAGTTTACTTCAATCCACTAGCTATCAACTTTTTTCAAGGACGTACCCATGCATCTACGCACCAGAAAGCCCTATTACTGGATGGTAAATGGATAGGAAAGACTTTGGGTTGCAGTTTACAACCAACAACACCCCACTGTATACATTGTTTCATCATCAGGTCATCGTCATATCTAACCATGATCTATCAGACTGCTGAAAAAAAGGCCTTTGACCCACTTTGCATGATAACCTCTTCAGCTCTCAGATTACGTTTAAAACCGTCTCCTGTTTCTTCTATACCCATACATATCATATTTGAATCATCGTAATGGAAGCGGTGTAAGCAGTATGTCATCTGGTTAAGAAATGTAGCGATCAATTCCTGTCGTAGGACAATGTCCTCCACAAGCGAATTCTTGAAATCAGTAGCAAACATTAGCCGTTCTCGTAATTGTGCTCCTTCTTCTTGTGTCCAGTTGGCATACCAACCTCGTGAAGTTGATACCGTGACGTTAAATGAAACACAGCATAAAATCCAAGCTTGGTGCAAAGTTACAAAAAGCAAACCTTAATTCTCAGTAAAACCCGTAATCTTTATTTGCTCTCCACGTAACGGCCACTTGTCGTCGGCACTTTATCCCGCTTTTTCCATAATATATAATATATAGCCAATGTTGCCGGACAAGTACATTGGCCTCATTCTGGCCATGAGTTCCAGTTTATTTATTGGACTTTCATTCATTATAACGAAAAAGGGTCTTATGAACGCTAAACGACGCCATGGTATATACGTTGGAGCAATTCATTTTTGGGGTGCACAAAAAAGAATTGGAAAGAGTGATAAAATAAACCACAAATTCCTCTAAGATATCGGAACCACTCTGTAGGTTCCTCGGCTACTGATGGACAACACCACTACCTACGCAATTGGACGTGGTGGGCAGGGATGGGAACAAGTAAGTGTGAGATCTGATACATATGCACTGGTTTCTTGCATAAGGGTGATACGGAGGGTAATTATAATTTGATTGAAGGTTCACACCCGCACCTCTTTCTCTATCTCTCTCTCTCTCTCTTTTCTACGTTTAAACAGTGGCTGTGGGTGAAGTATTGAATTTCTCGGCATATTCATTTGCACCTGCAATTCTGGTTACGCCACTTGGATCCTTGAGCGTTATTCTGGGGTAAGGAGGAAAGGGGCAAGGGGATTGGTCGTTTTCGGCTTGGACGATGATGATTTTGGGATAGGGACACCCTCTGCGTCTGTATGATCTCTTTAACGAAGAGACATGTCCCTCTCTTATTATTCTCTCGTATAGTGCTATCTTTGCCTCCTTATTTTTGAACGAAAAGTTGGATGCCATTGGCAAGATTGGATGTTTACTATCAGTTGTGGGCGCCGTGGTCATTGTGCTCCATGCTCCTCAGGATCCAGAAGTGAAAAACATCGACGAATTACTGTTTTATGCCTTGCAACCAGGTAACGAATTAATACGGCATGAGGATTTGTGAAAGACACATACTTACTCTAATGATAATACCTATTGTTGACAGCATTTTTAATGTACTGTGTATTTGTGGTGGTTGTCACGTTCTTCATGATTTACAAAATGGTACCTCGATATGGCACACGAAATCCACTCGTATACATTTCGATCTGTTCGTTGGTTGGTTCGGTCTCGGTTATGGCAATCAAGGCCTTTGGTATTGCCTTGAAGCTTACATTTGCCGGTAACAACCAGTTCACTCATCCTTCGACGTATGCATTCGGTATTGTCGTGGTAGTCTGCATCATTACCCAAATGAATTACTTTAACAAGGCTTTGGAAACCTTCTCGACTAACGTGTACGTTCTATATCTACTTTGTGCTATGTGTGGATGGCTTTGTGGTTGATTTCGATTTGCTTGAAGAAGAACAAGCTAACACCATAGAATTGCTGTTTGTTATAGCGTTAATCCAATTTACTTTGTCTGTTTCTCGACTGCAACAATCACTGCATCAGCTATCCTGTTTCAAGGTTTCAACACTGATAATCCAGTCAACACGGTTTCTCTGATCTGTGGTTTTGTCATTATTTTTGCTGGCGTTTATTTGCTCGATTCAATTGCTCGTGGGAATGCCTCTGGATCGCATGATCGATCAGGACGTCGACACGACGAAGAGATCTACGACGAGGATGAACGATTATTATTGAGCGAAGCGACATTGATGGATAATGAAGATGCCCTTGGATTAACGGATTTGAACGAACCTGGAACTCCTCGCTCAAATAGTGGCCGTCATACACCATCATCACCACGATCGCCACGATCGCCCCGGTGAACAAATTTACAAAAAAAACAGTGGGAAAGAAGTTATACATAGACAACAACCTACCTACCCATCTTTCTACATATATATAGTACTCATTACCCCTTCCTTCTTTTATTATGCATACCAATGCTGCATCTTTTTTCGAAGATTATGTACAAAACGCAATGACAACACTCAACAACGAAAAAGCGAGGATCATCAGAACGGAAGATTTTGCTTATTCTGTAAAAGCTTACCGTTTGCTACTAAATGTGAATGATATTTCTTTTTGTTTGACAAGCTAATGGACTGTCTCTGTCTGTTACATCTTACAAATATGACGTAAAGCAAATGACTTTGTCCTTTTTGTTCCCGGAGGTAAGAGAGTATATTATCGCTTAACGGATTTGACCCTTAATCGGACGCCATGGCTGAGTAAATACTTATAGCAACAATCATAGGGGGAAAACGTACATGCTTCGAACAAGCAGCTGCGTATAAGCCATTGTTTTTGAAGTTCATTTGAACCCAGAATGCTCATATATAGCCATATATTACAGTACATTACATTAGTTAGGGCAGATTATATATTCGCACAGCTAAAAGCAAGGCGAGAGATTGTGAATTAGGGATGAGATATTTAAACTAAAAGCTTCACAGCATTTCGTCACCTCATTGCAACCCATTGCTCGCTCATACATAAAACAAAAAAAGACGTCGATTACAAGTCGCCAGCTAATGTACAAATATAGATCATATTCATAGTGAAATAGTACATTATACGATATGTTTGTTTCATCATATTGTACTTGAAAGGTGTGAGCTACTTAATTGGCTGATCTTATGCTTTCTTGGCACACTTTTTTTCGTATAGTCTATTCTGACATTGTGGCCCATTTAAACCCATAGCATGGTTCGTCTAATTCGACTCCCAACGCTGTAGCAATCCTACTATTAAAACCAAGAACAGATGGAGATGGCAAAGATGAGATAAGCTGACGATTGTCCATGGGCTGAAACTGCGCCGCTGGCCGAGCTTCCTTCATCATCCATTGCCGTTTAAATAAGAATCACTGACTGGTACCGCAATGGCTTTGTACTGGCAATTTGACGACGTGCATTGGCACGCGTTTCTGATAGGATTCCACCATTTCGTACTATAAAGGACAAGATAGATCAATTGCCTTATCCGTCTTTATCAACGAATTATTCGCAGTTATCCGGCAATGGATAACGACAATACCCAACCGTTCCGTTCTGAACTGATGGTTTCAGCGTCGGTTTATCTAGCGTGGGTGCAGTGTTTGGACAACTGAATCATGTCTTGAACAACGTGTTTGTCCCAAAGTTACAAACAGTGAACAACTCTTCAACAATCTGACCATTGCAATTATCGTCTAGTTCGTTACCATGTTTCCTTGCTAATAACGGGCTGCTGGTACTTCAAAAACCCTGATTCTTCAGCTCAGAAGCTTTGACCGGATTTTTCATCCACTGCAGTAATTGTAAATCAGTGAAAAACCACACATCTTGCCTGCCGATTATCGATTTGATAAATGCAATCAGATTTTTGGATTCGGTAGACTGGAATTTTCGGTCAAATGGGGTTTTACATATATAAATAGAAAGTGTGTTACAGCGCACAACAACAAAGTATGGACATTTTATCCATTGACATATATCTATGCAAGAACAACCTGGGTAAAATGGTTGACGGCCGCGATAAATTGGGGTGGAGATACGTTAAAGCTCACTCCGCTGAGGTTGGAGGAAATTTACAAGGCAGGTGCCTAAAGGATTAAAAGAAATTCGGTTGCCAAGGAGGAGGGCGGCGGCCGGCGGCGGCGGGTGATGTTGTGTAGTATACGTAGTAGTAGTAGTATACGTAGTAGATAGTCTATTCTTAGATACCATAGAGCTCTATGATAACTTCCCACAAGGACCTCTATCCTAGTTATCATAGAGCTCTGTGCTAACTTCCCAAAGGGTCCTCTCGAGTTACGGAACAGCTTTATACAAAACGACAGGCGATCAAATTATACTGTTATGCCGCAAAATCGGTGATGATGGCCATGGCGGTGGTGGCCATGGCATGGATGGCTGGTGTGTGGCATGGCATGGTGGTGGTGGTGGCGCTGCTTGGTGGTGGTGGTGGTGGTGTTGAACAGAGACATGTTACACAGACGTCGGTTCAGACTACTGCGTAGAACGAAATTATCATGTAAGACGCGTGTCGGCACGAAAAGCGTGGAGTAGAACCCGCGTAATCAGTGTCACTGAAATACACCGCATTGCTAAAGAAAACGTAAAATGATGAGATGGCTTCCAAAAAGATAGTAGATAGATAGGGACATCGGAACTTCTACGTGTCGATACTCGGGCCATTATCTGACAGCACTTTCTTTTTAGTCACATGAACAGTTATTGTAAGCAATGTTCGGTTATTCTAATAATCACATTTGTCGTTAGCCAGACTTGGCAGGACTTTACATTTGCCTTTGTCACAGCTTAACAACCATTCGAACATGTAGTCGCTTCTGGTTAACACACGATTGTTAAGGCACATAGTTGTTCATTGTATGAACACGTTAGCAACTTCTCACCACAGCACGTAGCCATCATATTATACTTAGCAGCATTTAGAAAGCATAAAAGTATCCACTTCATCAGATTCTCCTAGTATTTCTTTATTTATCTTTCTTTCCATTGGCTACGGTATTGATCCGTCAAAAAGACTTGACATATTCTTCTTCTGTTTTTATTGTTACGCATATTAGTCTTAATGTAGTGTGCAGTAGCATACTTCATCTTGCTAGCCAACAACCGCAGCAGTCTATCATCTCTACCATCGCATTTTATCATATCATCATGTCGCCGCTCATCATTTTTTGTGATATATTATACAATATGAGTATTTTTGACATTGCAAAAAAGATATAAAATGGCGCAGCAGCAACGCATATTACAACTGTTCTATTATCTCTGTGTTATCACCTTTGTGGCTTTACTTCTTTGTGGTTTCTCTTCGTGGTTTATCTTCGTGATAATAGCTACTCGTTTTCTTTTGTATCCTGGCTTAAGCTTTCTTCCTTTCCGACCATAGGCATTGTTTTTGTAAATGCTTGCAAGTTCTCACTGTATCAACATCGTAATATCTAAAGACTATCAAAAGCAAGTTTTGACGAAAGATTCTTGATACAAAAAATGCCCTTTCAACTGAGGCAAATGGAGACTCGTCATGGGAACAAGAAAAGAGAACGGAACCCGGTTATCAACAAGGTAAATGACTATAGTCTCACCATGTGTTGAATTCATTGATTCACTACGTTTTTTGTTCTTTGAACAAATTTATCGATCAAGATCAACCTGATGAACACTAAACCAAGCTTGAAGCAGCGACAAAGTACCTTTTGCGCAAAGTTAATACACAGGTATAATGCTACAAAGATGATTCTGTCTGTGTAGTTTTGATTATTCTTTCTTGTCATAACAACACTGTGCCTATAATTATTATAGATTTCAGAGAGCACTTATAGACAGAGGTAATGCTTTGATTATGTAATGTTGCTCTAGTTTTCTATCCGAAAATGCGCCGTAGTTTAGATTTGATGTCAGAGTCGATCTCGATTATGACGAAGAACAAGTCTAGATACATTTACAGCTTACGGTCATTGATGTACGTTTGTTTGGAGCATTTCCCAAGATACAGTGCCTAGTCTTGTAGCCCTCAAGACCATTGGTGATGGTTAAAGTAGCCTTGAGAATATATGTATTAAAATGGTGCCCTTGGAAGATAAAAATAGAAATTGTATATTTTTGCCACAGTGATAAGAGGAAGAAGACGACGGCCAATTTACAGAGAATCCGCATAGAGCAAGCTAAGATTGGAGTTGCTTTTTTGGTGGAGACAATGAAGAAGCCTAGAATAAAACGTTCTCGATCTGTATTAAGCAGAGAAGGATACTTTGCGTTATTAAGCAAGCAACCATCAACAAGGCGAATACCCTTTTTCTCTTTTTATAACAAATGCTTGCTTTGTTTTTAAACTGCTGGTTCAATGAATTATTTATCATTCAAAGCTCATTTAGCTCTTAATCAAGTACCTTTACTTTTCAAAAAAGAAGTATAATTTCACCGATGGTTCCATACTTTCAGGAATATGACGATGCATATGATGATAGATTGTGATGGGTTGTTGTTGAGATAATGGGGTTTAAGCTCGGGTTGGAGTAATTTGGGGAACAATATATACTTCAATATCTACAGGCACAACAACGAAGTACATTTGATGGTTCGAAACGTAACGTGGATAACCACATCCTACGTAAACAGCGTGTATTGTAGATTAGCACATGGCGTAGGCGTAACAAGATCGCTTTGACTTGAGCTGGTTTTAGTATCGTTTTTATTTTATAATGATTGACAATGCTGCGTATGGGGGCTATATCACTCCTCTAGCATGTGGACCATCTACTGCAATAGCAAAGTTTCGCGAGTTACAGGCGCAAGCATTGATTCCACGCGCAGAAAATGACATAGTCAGGATACACTATACAATCCGCATGAGGTATAATAACAGGCCAAGACCACTAATGAGGGTGACACAAAGTCAATATGAGTGCAACCATAGGGATGTTAATTCATCATGCAAAAAAGTTGCTTTTCCCTTTACTCCAAATTGAAGAACCCAAGTGAAACTTTGCCAAGACATCAAGTAGAGCGTGCAAAGAAAAAAGTAAGATAGCATTTATGATATAGAGCAAAGAACAATAAAAGAGCAACTACAAGAAAGCAAAGAGCGAGAGCGAGAAAGGTCTATATACGGTGTGTGTGTGTCTGTGTGTGTGTGTGTTTGTGGTTATGTATGACATGTGTTTAAATTGAAGATTGTGCGAGTGTATGAATAATGTTATATATAGAAAGTAGTATATATCTATAGAAGAGAGAAAGTGAGCTATAATTATATATGGCGTTGGCGGCGAAAGTTGGAGACGAGAGAGAACGGAGGCGAGGGTGGTTATGACGATTGTTCAAAGGGACGTTTGGTGGATAAATGTGACGGTAGAGAAGATGAGTGTAGGAAGGGAAAATAATGCTTAGCAAGGGCAAAAGTCGGTGGAATGAGGACCAGCGCAGTTGGCACACTTGTTGCTGTCCTTGCGGGAAGATGAATTGCTATCAAAGTGGTTGGTGAAAATGGAAAAATGCAACGTGGGGCTTAGGTTGGGCCGAGGAAATGCGCCAAGAATCGACTGCTCTGTGATCGTAGGTCCACCATTACTACTACTACTACTACTACTACTGCTGCTGCTGCTGCTGCTAGCACCACCTTCAGATGATGCATTGCTGTAATAATTGTAACTGTTCTGGCTGCTGCTTGAGCTGCTGCTGCTGGTGTCGCTACGAGGGCTTGGATTGTCGTAGTAGCGCGGACCTGCGGAGGACGCTTTCGGAGGTTCTTGATAATGGGATGCCCGAGGCGATGCAGTACTTGAGAACGACGTAGACTGTTGCTGCTGGCGGATCTTGCCAAGCGTTGTCGAGATGTTTGAAGGTGTGTTTTTGTTGTGTTGCCGGCTGCTTTGGCTTCGGACGCTGAAGGCTGCAGCAGTGGCGACGGACGATAAGTGTCTACCTGTGGCTAGGATCACCATACTGTTTGTTTACGTAAAGAGAAAAGCTGGAAGAAAGGAGTGGGATGATGAATTGACAGGCAGTGAAAGAAAAAAAAAAGTTGCGTGTTGTTGTTGTCTTTCTAGTACGAGAAAGAAATATAAAAAGAAGCCGCTTGGATTGAAAGAAAGGAGCCCCCCCGCTCAGGGCTCAATGCCATTATATTTTGCAATTCCGGGAAAATCGGAAAAAGATTTTGCAGACTTCCCGGTGTGAGTCAAAACGTTCGGAATCCCGGAATGGAAATGCAACGCACGCTGTCGTCATTTTCCCTTTGTGTTATTTTTAATCTTTTTTTACTCTCTCTCCTGTACTTCTAGTCCTTCACCACGGCAACTTATATAAGCAGCTCCTCCTCCCTTCCTTCTTTAAGTGTACAGCTCTTGCACCGCATCGGTAACAAATGGGATCGATTCGCCCTTCATGTCAATGTCCTCAAGGAACTTGTAGGGGAACTCCACCAGATGGCCGCGGACCTTGCTCAGCTCCTCGCGAATCACCGACACCGGCATGTTGTTGTCATACACATGGCCAATATTAATCTTGCCTTGATCCGGGTAGAAGCTGTGGTATTGTTCCCAGTTGGTCACTAAAAACACAGAAATAAAGTAAAGGGAAGCATGAGTTTGGGGCGTGATACGACGATCGGGCTACATGGTTCCACGCGAGCTGGGGTTGTTGTTGTTGTTGCGTACCGTTATCGTCAGGCACACAATGGAACACGTTTCGGAATGCGGCAGTATTCGTGGCAGCTGTGTTGCACCATAGATTGACCGTGTCGGGGTGGCACGGGTCCATGACCAGATTATCCTCCTCGGTACCCGTCATATCTAACTGTGGAGTTGGCAACGGGAGCATGGCGTCGCTCACCTGATCCAGAGCCTGTGATGGCAGCAAGCCCAAGTGTTCTCTCCACAATTGACGACGCAACGTAGCAGCAAACTTGGAGGCTTCATACTATTCGAGAGATATGTTTGTCACAATATTCCAGGGGAGTGTGCTACACCGTTTGAACTATAGCAAAAAAAAAAAAGAAATAACCTACGTAGCGACCATTCATACGCGACGGAATAGTTTCTTGATCTTCCACCAGCAATGCAATCTCAGAGTCTCGATCACCGCATTGCGAGCGGTCGTTGAGATTGGCAGAACCCATGATAACCACACGGTCTAAAAACGAGCATCATGAGTGCTACAGCTTGGTGGATTACACTTTGCCGGGTATTATTTCTCTTTCCTTACCGTCGGCGATCAACAATTTCGCATGGATATATGATTCCTCGGAAACGTAGCTATCACGCTCCTCTTGCTCAGCAGCAGCGTCGCGTGGCTGCGAGTCTTTGGTATCTGTCACCCACGGCTCGTCTGCAAGGTTACCGCCATCCTTCATAGCATAGCTAGCAATCGAATCGCGGGCAATACAAGCATCGGCATCATATACTTCAGCAGACCACTTGATCTTGGCATTGCCACCTGAAACGGCGGTTTGTTCGACTTGTTCTTCCAGTGGGACCACAACGTCCGAGGTATAACCGGCAGCTCGGACGAGCATTTCCTCCATCTATTATCATCATACAACAACAAACCCAACCCCCGCGGGGGCCCGTCAGCACACCAACACCAGTATCCCTTGTGCTGCTTACTTACCTTGCGACGGTTGATACGGTCATAACTGCGAAGACTGAAGAAACGGATGTACTTGTCAGGATCAATGCCTGCTGCCTTGAGTTTTTGCACAATGCTCTTGCTGTCGCGGCAGATGGAAATGTATTGGTAATACATAATCAAGCTGTTTGCGCGTGGCAGTAAAAAAAAAAAGAAGAAAAATGAGTATCATTGAGCCGATCATCCTGTTCATTCCCCACATCTTACCGTGCATTAGCAGCTTCTTTAGTCGCCAGATCGGCTGGGAAAGCAGGCATGAGGGGCATCAATACAAAGATTTTGAAATCCTCGTCGCGCTCTTCATGGGCACGGACGATTCGCTTAAAGATAGCCTGGCCAATCTGGTTCTTTAGAATGCTCTCAGGATCTTCTTCAGTAGCAGTGACTACGCAGAAATAATGGTATCAGCTCTCATCCTTTTTTTTTCGTGTTTGGTATATGCTTGCAATGTTCTAGAAGTACTTACTAAAGAATTGGTTTTCGATATAAACGTAGTGTTTGGCCTCATAGATTGTGCTCATGTATGCGTTTTGGATCGAGTGCTAATAATAACTTCCCAATCAGCTTTCTCTTTTCACTTTTATCTATTGCAGAATTGTTTCTGTACCTCAGTGTCAAGACCTAGACTCCATTCACCAATGCTTCGAAGAACTTGAGCTCGACATGTGCCATGAATGCCACGCGTTCCTGGCTCGAAGCGATGAAGATGACGGTTGGGCTGATTGTCATCGCCAATTCTAAAGTGCTGGCGCTGACTCAATCCACCAAGTGGAGGTTGGATGAAAGGCACCTTTTCCTTATCTTCAGCCTTCTCGTGCTTGACATAGTTCCATCGCTCACAGAAATGACGGCAGACATCCAAGACAGGGCCACCCAGCTAAAGTATATCTGCTTTAGTACTTTTCTTCTATTTCCTGTGCTTGCTAAGGCTTTAAAGCAAAATAAAAAGAAAGGAGACTCACCATACAAAGCGATATGTCGTGCCATGGCATACGAGGCATGATTGTTTTATCGATAAGCATCATATCATGGTTTTGAACTATAGAGTCGATTAGTTACCCATGTTAAATTTTCTTTGCCATGTGTCAGACCTACCATCCTTGAAATCGCAGACTCTTGCATCACTATAGTCCTGGCCTGTTGTTCATTGCAAATTTGGATGCATCAGTAACATCGCTTACTCTTCAGCCTTTCTTTACTCACCTGGGAACATATTTAAGCCTGCTTCCGGACCTTGGAAATCAGCAAGCTGATGGTCGTGGGTGTCCCATCGACTAGAAAAAATTAGCGCCCCAAATGCAACATAAATAAGGATCAGCAAATAACACCTAATATATACTAAGCACACGACGATGGCATACAAAGAAAGTATTAAGCGTACCCGAAGCACAAGTCAATACCACCCAAGAACGCAATTCTTTGATCAACAACAACGAATTTTTCATGATGACTCCAGAAGAACGTTCCTCCGATAGCATGGTCGGGGTGTCTTTGAACTAGATGTATCAAAGGAGAGTCAGCAACAAAGATGCTGCAGCTGTTTTGTAAAATCAAATAAAAAGATTACGCACCGACAATGTTTTCATGCAGATTTTGCAGCCAGTCCTTGGTGTGTCTACTATCCAGCGTCATGGCAACGTTCACCTCCTATAATGTCACAAAAGAAGAAGAACACGGCGTTACGATACCTTATTCCCAAGTACCTTCTTTTCTTGTTCCATCCTCCATACCTTGTACACGACAATGTAGATCTTGACACCTTCTTCAGCCTTACGCTTCAGCAACGCATCGATGCGATACTCGGGATACTTGGATGCAGGTCGGCGAAGGTACTGTGTTTTAAATGTGACCGAAGGAGAAATGCGTGAGTGTTCAATTGCTGATGAACACCGATGAACAGTAATAAATAGAATATTTAGGACTTACCAGCTCAGGTGTCTAATCCAGATTACAGCAGTCAGCACCATCGGTCAGTCATCTAATGTTCAAATGAAGCTCCACACCCCACCTTATGCTCTTTTTTCTCTTACCAGCCACCAATCCTCGATGAAAATAACATGTTTTGCGTTTTCTAATGCTTCAGAGACGGCCCTGAGTTTTTTAGGGCGATATTAGAATCGACCGTTCTCTCTCTCTCTCTCTCTCTCCAAAACATGGACTATAAAGGTAGTAAAGTGAAAAAACAGTATGTTTTACCAGCAGTAGTCATGGCCATCAACAAAGTACTTTACACTGGCGTCATGACGTACAGGAGCGAACGACCCATAACGATGTGTGGTGGACTGATACTTGTGCTCGCGCTCTTCTTCTGTCTCCTTGTGGAAGATGTTCTTGACCTTGCGCTCTACTTTATGAGTGAAGCTGTTGAAGAACGTGGTAATACCTGAAGTACACGCCATTTTTTCCCTTTCTTAAAAAAAAGTTGAAAGAGGCAAGGAAGGAAGGAAGGAAGGAAGAGGAAAAAAATAGGAGGTGTTGAAGTGCGACGACGCAGGTCTATATAAACAGTTTGTGCAGTGTAACGTAGCAACCAGCAAGAGCATCCGTCATGCTATAGTGCTTTTCCAGCCTACGCGGCACAAACATTAGTCTGTCAGTCCAAAAATTCATGCACCCGTCGTCATGGCGGTCTTGTTGCTGTGCGGAGCCCCTCGACAATGGAAAGAAAAAAGGGTGGGAGGACGCGCCCGTCCAAGGCTACAAAGATCGTCAATAACTCGGGTCGGAAGTGGTATATCTAGTATCCTTGGCAACACCTGCGTTGCTATTCTTTTACGCATCCTCGTCGGTTTAGAAAAATCATATGCAAGATGGGGAATAGTATCTCCTCCTCAAATTAGAAAAAAAAAAGCTCCCTCTCTCCCTTCCGATCGATTGTTTTCTTTTTTACAGTGGCTCTCGTACACAAAGTTTGACAAATTTCTACAAGGATGGTTAATCCTTCGTCCCTAAAAGGCCAAAACAGGCAAAAATAAAGCAACTGTTCGACGTTGTACCATGTGGCACGAATCTCAGCCAGCCAGCCAGCCACCTTTTCCCGATTTCCCGTAAAACAGGGTCGCACCTTTATCCTTTCTAAAGACGAGACTAATGCTGCGGTCGTCGTGCTTTCAAGTGTGACACTTATGATATCAGTCCCAGCAGCTGTTGGAAATGCAAGCAAGCAGTGTGAACGCCCGCGTAATACAGCTGAATCGTGTTGAGAAAGGACAAAGTCGTATGTTTTTTTTGCATGCAGCGAGCCAAACAACAGCATGCACCCTCAACATAATTTCCAATTTATGATTACTTCGCTGATGTTTGCAAGGGCACTTTTACTCTTCTTTGAAATGAACTGATTGACCTTTTGTGTTCTACTTGTCGTTTGCACTTGTTGTTATAATTATAGTCTTCTCTGGTAGTGCTCCTCGCGACATAGTTTCCCCTTATGATGCATCACTTTGTATATTGAAGAGTAAAATAATACATCTATAGCAGCTAGCCGGTTAAAAAAATATTCGGCAGCCGAAAAGAAACAACTGAAAATACCCCTTCCATGCAGCTGGAATGCCTTATGAAATGTAAGCTGTGTCGAGTAAGCCGTACGTGCTGCTAGCTTATGCTCTCCTTTATACTCTAATTCTTAGCCGAAGATGCACTTTCTTGAATCTTTGAATACATGTAGCCCAAATAGATGATGCCATTACTGAGCGCAATTGTGGAGGGCCGAGGCATTGTGTCACATAAAGCGTCGCAATCCGCCAAGACCTGATTTTTTTCTGGCCAATTTTGCGAAACTTACAAGTATGGTAAGAAGGATGTAAACTACCAAATGTATACGATTGAAATTCGATTTTTAAATGACTCAATGAACGCTGCGCTCGTGAAAGTATGTCCGCTTTAGTCTGGTCTCAAAAGTGGGAGAATAAAAAAACCCTGATCAGAGGAAACAGGGAAAAGGTCGAAAGGGGGAAGGAAAAAGAAATCTAAGGGAGGGAGAGCATGGATAAAGACATGGAGTAATGATTAGAAAAGGGATATCAAGCTAGAGGACAGGGTGCAGGATGGCATTTTTTTGTGATTTTGCATTTGTTTTATTTTATACTAATATATATACTATACAGGGACAGGAGGTAGAGGATCAATCCACTTGAGAAGGTCGGCGCCAGGTTCCGCATCAAAATACTGTGCCAGGGTGTTGGTGCGCATCAATTTCAGCAAGTATTTTGCAGATGATAGGCCATGTGGTGCGTAAGTGCTGTATGCGTCGAGGTGATTGCGGCTGGGAGTGGGGCGGTTGGTTTAAGACATAGGACAGTGGGTCTGCAGTGCAGTTATGGCTGAAGCAAAGGCGAGTATGCATGCGCAGACACTGAGTTGCGTGTTGTTCGTTGAAGTCGGGGTGGCGGCATGTTGCACAGCATTTGCGTTTTCCACCAGGCAACCAGCCAAGACGCCAGCGAATGCAGCGACTACGGTCCTTGTTCGACAATGGCAACCATAGATTGGGATAAACCCCCCAGGGTGGCACGGCAAGCTGCAAGGTTTGTGGCTCCTTCAGGGGCAGTGCAGGTTGCTGCTAGGCCAACTCGAAGATACTGGCGGATGAAGGCCTCAAAGTCGGGCGCAGAGTGTTCGTCACGGGGTGTAGTAGGAATGGTTTGTCAAAGTGGCGAGTTAGTGAGTGCTTTCCAATGACTGCCTGGTTGTGTAGTAATGGTGGGCAGAAGACATGTGAGTAGAGCATCATCGGGTAGGAAATGGGCACGTCGTAGGAACTTGGCTTGCAGAATTGCAGTTCTTTCGTGCATGCTTGGCAATTTCGCTAGGTGGTGCATTACTTTTGTTTCAGAATGTGAGTGGGCGCCATAAACCATTCGTATGCATGTACTCTGTGCTTGCTCAAGGGCTTTGAGCTGTGTTTTGGGGAAGGAGGTAACTGCAAGACCATACTCAAGTTTTGGGCGGATAAATTGGGCATAGAGTCTGCTGGCCAGCATTTGAGAGAGCCCAGATGGGTTGAGGCCAATACCATTGAGGGTGTGCATACTAGTGATGGCGGATGTTGTGTTGCAGGCGACAAGCTTTTTGCCGTCCAACCGGCCTTTGGCTGTGATGGGAACTCGAAGGTACGTGAATGATGTCGCGGTGGGGATGTCGATGCCATAAAGCTGGTAAGTGGCTGTTGACCGGGTGTGCTGAACAATGACACATATCTCAGAACTCCACCTGTATCCCAATCGATAGCTATGTTGCTCGCAAAGATCGAGAAGCTGTTGGAGCTCTGCAGGCGTGCTGAGGAGGGCAACATCATCAGCATACAGGAGGCATTGCAAACGCGGTACAGCTGCTGGTGGTTGAAAATCGGCGTCGAGCGTTATGTCGTGGCGGAGCAACTAGGATGATCCTCCATTCCTGATAAGTGCGGGTAGACTATTTATATAGAGTGAGTACAGAAAAGGGGAGAGGATGGAGCCTTGTTGTAGGACCCCCGTTGCAGGAGAGAACCGGTGAGACACAGCGTTCGAAAGTAAAATTTCTATGAAGACATCATCAAATAAGTGCTTGGGCAAGGCGAAGAGAAGAGGTGGTGAATGGGGGCGGAGCAGGGTCCAAATAACTTCGCGGTCAACTGTATCGTATGCAGATTTGATATCCAAAAACGCCAATGTTGGGACGTGGCCATGATCGAGTTTGTGTATGCAGCAGAGTTCTTGTAGGCAGAAAGCTTGGTCGAGTGCGCTGCGGGCAGGTCGAAAACCACCTTGCGCCAGATCCAAAGGCGGGCTTGATGACTGGAGAGGCGCATGGAGGCAGTATTCGAGTGTTTTCCAGAGGACGGACGCAAAACTGATCAGCTGGTAGTTCGCGGGGTTATTGGGTTCCCCTTTTTTGTAGATCAGAACTAGCACCATTCCTCGTCGATCTTTTTCATATGTGTTGGCTCGGCTCATGTTTGTTCATACCAATTGCGCGTCGCCACTTTTTGTAGCAGTATTCACATCGCTCTACTAGGCGTTGGAGCTCGGCTGTCCAGTAGTCGTTGCGTCGTTGCTGGCACCCAACTGTAGAACCGAGGATATTATCCAATACTGATTAGATGGTGTCGTAAATACGACCAGTAATGTTCTCAATGAGGCCCGGTAGTAGAGGAGATGCTCGTGCAGATGCAAGGAATTGATGTGTTTCGTTACTGATGCCTACCAAATGTATACAGGATTTCTCCTTCGATTTGGCGCCTTGATTTTTTTCAGTTTTGCGCTAGGGTGAGTATTCCATTGGCGAAAAGATGTTTTTACTTGGCGCAACATTTTTTTTCATTTTGGCGTTATGCTTGTGTGCTGCCAACTAATAGTTCCTTTGGCGATGTATAGCTTGTGCTAAGTGTTGCCCATCATTATCTATTATTGATAGACGTTAGTATAATAAAGATTCTATATATGATATTGTGGATAAATTCGTGGTGTTTGGTGCTGACGATGTTATCTTCGCTGCACTATTTTTGAATGGGAACAAGGAACGGGATAAATTTCTTTTTAGCTCCCGTTGCATGTTGGGAAAAATATTGGTGTATTGGAGGAGTTTTAAATCTGTCGCTACGAAATTGGAGAAGCATTTTCTACAGTTACTTATTTGTCTCATTACCATGGAAACTCAAGACTCCCAACCTGCTACTATGGAAACTGAAGGCACATCTACAGGCCCTCAAACCACTACTGCGGCGCTAGAGAAGAAACCTTCAGACAAAGGTAATCACTAGCAATAATACAATTGAAAAAAATTAATTGTTTCTATAGCAGACTGTTTACTAAGATACTGATAATATTATTCCTATAAAAAATAAGATTTTTAATTAAAATAAAATTGAATTATTATATAATAAAAAAATAAAATATGGATAATGATAATAATTTAAATGATATATTAAATAATGAAATAAATAAATAAATTAATTGCAGAACAATGGATATTTTTAGATAAAAATTGGAATATCTTAAATAACAAATATAACCATTGTACAGAAATCAAAGATATAAAAAATAATAATATTAAAATAGTAAAGGATGTTTTATTAAATCAATTAGGATATATTCCTGTTTTTTATTTTTTAAACTGTATTTATAGTACTTCTGAATACCCTGGTCCATATAAGGAAATTGATAAAGGTTTATTAATCTTATATCATATGGTAAGTGGTAAATCAGGTAGGGATATGCATGAATTTATGTCATATACTACATATTACTCACTATGATGAATAAATTATAACAATAAAATGTATTATTGATTTATATATAATAAATAAAGTACAATTTGATATTTAATATAAATATTTTGTTAGTTTATATTTATAAATTTAAGATATTAAAAAAATAATTTAAAAATATATAAAATTTAAAATTATTTATCATTATTTATTTATTAAAAAGAATATTAATAATTTTTACCATTGTAAAAAAAAGAAACTAAAACATATTATTCATAATAAATAAAAATTTGTAAAATAAAACATAAATAATTTTAATAATTGAAAGTAGCGGAATGGTAATGAGCACCCCCTCCTTTAGGCAAGGAACACCTGGACGCAGCCTAACTTGACAATGAGATTTAGAGGTAATGGGTTGGTGAGGGTGTCCAAGCCCATTACGTGTTTTCAATAATAAAAACTTTCCTTAAATTATATATAATTAATAATTTAAAATTAATGATTATTCATCGCATATAATAGAAAACAATTGAATTTTATTATTTAAAAAAAATAATCATATTAAATATGTATAAATTAAATAGTATTAATGTTGATATTACTGAGTATATGAAAGTTTTTATGGAAATGTTTGGAAATTGTATTGTTATGAGTATGAAAAATGATGAAGATAAAAATAAAATAAAAAAAGAAATAAAAAAAATAAATAGTGTATTAGATAATAAAATAAAAGAAAAAAGATGGTGTGCTAAAAAATTTTATTTAAAAATATATGATATTAAAGATAAAAAAGAAACTATTTTAAATTATTATAAAGAAAAATATAGTTTATATAAAATAGCTGTTTCTGAATATATTAAAAAAAATAAAAAGAATATGGAAATATATATAGAATTTGTTGGTAAAAAAGATATAAAAAATGAAAATTATCTTAATTATGATGATCATAAAGTATATATTGAAACCATTGGTAAAAGAAAAAAAGAAAATTTATATAATGATTTATTAAAATTAGATAAACAATGTTTAACATATGGGTTTGATATAAATCAGGATAAATATGGTAAATTAAAAGCAAAAGAAATATGGTATAAATATATTACAAAAGAATGGTCAATTGTTGATATTATTAGTTATGATCCATCATATTTAACAAAAAATATAAAAAAAATGGTGGAAAAGGTAGATGAAAATGTTAAATGGTTAAAAGAGGAATATGGATATCAAATGAGATGAATAAATTATAACAATAAAATGTATTATTGATTTATATATAATAAATAAAGTACAATTTGATATTTAATATAAATATTTTGTTAGTTTATATTTATAAATTTAAGATATTAAAAAAATAATTTAAAAATATATAAAATTTAAAATTATTTATCATTATTTATTTATTAAAAAGAATATTAATAATTTTTACCATTGTAAAAAAAAGAAACTAAAACATATTATTCATAATAAATAAAAATTTGTAAAATAAAACATAAATAATTTTAATAATTGAAAGTAGCGGAATGGTAATGAGCACCCCCTCCTTTAGGCAAGGAACACCTGGACGCAGCCTAACTTGACAATGAGATTTAGAGGTAATGGGTTGGTGAGGGTGTCCAAGCCCATTACGTGTTTTCAATAATAAAAACTTTCCTTAAATTATATATAATTAATAATTTAAAATTTATGATTATTCATCTATATAAAAAATTTTGGCATTCTAATTATAGAAGATTAATAAAAAAAATTGATACAGATTTAAATAAAATGTTTTCAAATATAAAAATTAGAATTATATCATCTTTATTAAATAATCCATCATCATTTAAAAATGTGACATTATATATTGATGGTCATGATGGCAAAATAAAATATTATGATCCTGATACAAAAACAAAAGATATAAAATCATATAAATTAGATGGTCCTGGATTAAGAACCCAAATAGTTGTTGATAGTAACCAAATGATTATATATATATCTAAAAGTGATAAATGTGGTAAAGGCAGTGATGGAACAATGTTTCTTGAAATGAAATTATATAATAAGATGCATATAGGAGATTGTTTAGCAATGGATGGTGGTTATAATATATATAATAATAAATTTAAAGAAGAAAGTCTAAATAAAGGAAAAGATTTTTCAAATAAAAATTTTGTTTATCCTATAAGAAAAGAAAATAATAAGAATTTAACAGCAATAGAATTACAATATAATAAAAGATTTGGTAGTTTTCGTTCTGAAATTGAAGATCAATTTTCTGTATTAGCATCAAAATTTAATCGATTTAATAATAATACATCAGCAATGCAAATAACAGATATTAAATATTATAATTTCCAATTTAAATTAGCTTGTTTATTAAAGAATATTTGGAAAATGGTAGATAAATATAAATTCCATCACAACCACATCATAAATTGTGGTATACAGATAATTTTGAGTTTCCTACAATTGATCGTAAAATAGATATAGTACAGGATTTTTCATCTCCTAGCGGACGTTTGAACTTTTATTTAGGCAGAGTGGACATGAATGTTAATCTGAGTGGACATGAATGAAAATCGAACTGGACATGAATGAAAATTGATCTAGACATGAATGAAAATCGATCTGGACATGAATGAAAATCGAACTGGACATGAATGAAAATCGAGCTAGACATGAATGAAAATCGAGCTGGACATGAATGAAAATCGATCTAGACATGAATAAAAATCGAGCTGGACATGAATGAAAATCGAGCTGGACATGAATAAAGATTGATCTGGACATGAATAAAGATTGATCTGGACATGAATAAAGATTGATCCGGACATGAATAAAGATCGATCTGGATATGAATAAAGATTGATCTGGACATGAATAAGGATCGACCTGGACATGAATTAAAATCAATCTGGACATGAGTAAAATCAATCTGGACAAGATAATAAACAATCTGTACGTGAATGAAAATCAATCTGGACAAGAATAATAATCAATCCAAATACAAATAATAGACAACCTGGACATAATAACAGTCAGCCTGGACATAGTTTTAGTCAACTAAGACTTCAAAAAAGTTGAAGAAGTAGATAATATATTAAGTATAGTAGTGCAGATCAGCAGAATTTGCAAGTACTTAAGATTTTCAATTCAAGTCAAGACATGATAAAAGTTAAGCAGTACAAAGCCAAAGTCAAGTAAGATATAGTATGGCTGTTTCACTCGTGATAGGAAGCTTTCAGGCTAACGTACAGGAAATGGCAAGAGTGCGTTAGAGACTCACTGTGTGCACAAGCCTACTATTTTGCTGTGGGAACAGGGTCTGAACGTTAAATTGGAGGGTGGTGGCTGAGGTAGGTGGAAAGTGTGGGGTTGTTAGCGGAAGCAGGGAGGAAAAAACAACAACAACCAAAGATCCGTTTTTTTTTTCTCATTACCATTCGCCTTGCAAATCAACAGCTGCGACGCACACTTGTAAATGGCTCCTACTCTCTTCACAATGAATAGAAGAAAAAAGAAAACAAAACGGCACAATCCACGGATTTCTTGAAAAACGAAATGAAGGTAATTGTTTTCTAAAAAAAAAAAGCGCTTGCTCAAGATTTGTAAGGAGTAGACCGCCGTTACTGCTGCTTAAAAAAACGCTGGGTAAGTGAACAAAGGAAGGAAAAGGTTATCGGGTGTGCTTGAGGTATAGCTTTAGTGGAGATATGCCCATTCAGAATTACTGCTTCTTTCTCTTTTTCTATGTATATACTTATGCACCATCTTGTACCATTCCAACGTCAAACTTACGTGCGTAATACAACATCGTCTTCGACTTGCATAATCGATTCGTACTCACAACAACAACGACGCAACAATTTTTTCTCCATTACTCAAACACAATCATATACAACATGACGCTGATCCGCCATTGACTTGCAAAATATACAGCCTGACGCATTTGCCTTTCACTATCATGTACGCCCATATTACACGATGACGACTATGACGCCGGTCTTTTGTTTTGATACTTTACGCTCAAGCACATCATCATCGTAATGACGGCCATCTCTTTCTTTGCTGTTTGTATACACATCAATGTGATGATAATTATATTCCTATGATGCATACACACTACCACAGCTATAATCCTCCTCTGCAATCCACTGTACTCGCACACACACGATGGCAACGACGATTACCTTTTTCTTTTTGCATATGCCAACACGAAAATTGCCGGTCTTGATGGATAAGGTAGTTATATATGCTGATGGGTGGAATGTAGGGTTTTATTATTGTTACTGTAGATGTTATGGTTGGGATAAAAAAATAAAAGTAAAAGATCATACATTATGTAGTCATTATGTTTTAGTTGTCTGCATAAACGGGTGTGGGATGGGATTGCATATTATTACAAGTGCTTCTATAAAAACTATAGATATAGCTCTGGGCGGTGATGATAATATGGCAGGGACAAAAAAGAAAAGGCGTTTGTTGTTATGAAGGAGGAAGTTTTTTTGCTATTACAACAGCAACTTTATTTGTTGTTAATAACAACAACTATGAACAACCGACAAGTTACTACCCTTGACAACATTCGCAACGCTCTCTCTCACTCGACTGTACCTGGCGTTCTTGCACTCATTCCTGATGAAATCGTGTGCGTTCCTGCTGCTCAATGGCAGATCTTCAAGGATCGCATCTCGGAATTGTGTGGATACAAATGGGCTCACAAACGCGAGACTGTGAATGGCACCAGACTCTCTGCCACGCAATGTCAAAAATTACAAAAACCATCCGTATCCACGAAACAACATCCTTCGCACTTGTATAACTCTTGTAAAACCTTCTTTGTTATCTTTCTTATATAACGGTCATCATACTTTATTTTCATCCAATCCACATCAACTCAAAAGGAAAGAAACCCGTCAGTTATCCTTCCAGCTATCTACAGCTCATTTATCCATCAAGACCGGCGATGTTAATGTTGGTATATGCAAAAGGAGCAAAGTAATCGCGTCAGGTTGTATGTTTTGCAAGCCAATGGCGGATCAGCGTCATGTTGTATATGATTGTGTTTGAGTAATGGAGAAGAAGATTGTTGCGTCGTTGTTGTTGTGAGTACGAATCGATTATGCAAGTCGAAGACGATGTTGTATTACGCACGTAAGTTTGAAGTTGGAATGGTGCAAGATGGTGCATCAAGTATATACAGAGAAAAAGAGAAAGAAACAGTAATTCTGAATGAGCATATGTTCACTAAAGCTATACCCCAAGCACAACCGATAACCTTTTCCTTCCCTTGTTCACTTACCCGGCGTTTTTTAAGCAGTAACGGCGGTCTACTCCTTACAAATCTTGAGCAAGCGCTTTTTTTATTAGAAAACAATTACCTTCATTTCGTTTTTCAAGAAATCCGTGGATTGTGCCGTTTTGTTTTCTTTTTTCTTCTATTCATCGTGAAGAGAGTAGGAGCCATTTACAAGTGTGTGTCGCAGCTGTTGATTTGCAAGGCGAATGGTAATGAGAAAAAAAAAACGGATCTTTGGTTGTTGTTGTTTTTTCCTCCCTGCTTCCGCTAACAAACCCCACACTTTCCACCTACCTCAGCCACCACCCTCCAATTTAACGTTCAGACCCTGTTCCCACAGCAAAATAGTAGGCTTGTGCACACAGTGAGTCTCTAACGCACTCTTGCCATTTCCTGTACGTTAGCCTGAAAGCTTCCTATCACGAGTGAAACAGCCATACTATATCTTACTTGACTTTGGCTTTGTACTGCTTAACTTTTATTATGTCTTGACTTGAATTGAATATCTTAAGTTCTTACAAATTCTGCTGATCTGCTCTGCTACACTTAATATATTATCTACTTCTTCAACTTTTTTGAAGTCTTAGTTGACTAAAACTATGTCCAGGCTGACTGTTATTATGTCCAGGTTGTCTATTATTTGTATTTGGATTGATTATTATTCTTGTCCAGATTGATTTTCATTCACGTACAGATTGTTTATTATCTTGTCCAGATTGATTTTACTCAAGTCCAGATTGATTTTAATTCATGTCCAGGTCGATCCTTATTCATGTCTAGATCAATCTTTATTCATGTCCAGATCGATCTTTATTCATGTCCGGATCAATCTTTATTCATGTCCAGATCAATCTTTATTCATGTCCAGCTCGATTTTCATTCATGTCCAGCTCGATTTTTATTCATGTCTAGATCGATTTTCATTCATGTCCAGCTCGATTTTCATTCATGTCCAGCTCGATTTTCATTCATGTCCAGTTCGATTTTCATTCATGTCCAGATCGATTTTCATTCATGTCTAGATCAATTTTCATTCATGTCTAGTTCGATTTTCATTCATGTCCACTCAGATTAACATTTATGTCCACTCTGCCTAAATAAAAGTTCAAACGTCCGCTAGGAGATGAAAAATCCTGTAGTTACAGATAAAATAACTATAGATAAAAATTTTAATGAAATGTTATTATTACAAAAAGAAATTTTAAAATTAAATTTAAGTTCAAATATAAATGAAAATAATGAAGTAGAAATTAGTGATAATGAAGAGGATACTATAATGGAAGAAGTACAACTAAAACATAAAAAATTAAAAAAAGTTGTAGCAGTTGTTATTCCAGAAGATAAAAATTAAATTATAATATTTATAATAATTTTTTATAGATTATTTAAAATTTATAGATTATGTAATTTTTATAATGATCATGAACAGTGTCCTATACATATATATTAACAACCCTCTGTATCAAATAATGGATATCTTGGATGTCATACTTGAAAAAAAAGATGAATTAGAACAAATTGAATTAGTTGTAATCTTAGATCATTTCGAAGATCATCTTGTCGCTAGTCTTAAAGCAGAAGATAATATATGAGGAGCAAAAGGCTTTTTTATCAAACGCGTAAAGAAAATTGCAGCAGCAAACAATATTGATTTGGTAAGCATCACCACTTCGTTTTAAAGCTCTGATATTTATAAAAGAGAACTAATTTCATCAATCTTATTTGTATTAAAAGTTTGGCCGAGCATCTTGGAAAGCTGTGGATCGTCGTTTAGCAATTACAACCACTACAGCTTCTACACCTACTGATGAAGTGTCATTACAAGATATACTATCGTATTCATCGCCATCTTCTTTACCTAGCCTTAAGACAAGAATCACAGAACAACAAAAGGAGGTGTTATATGAACGTTTTAAGAAGTTTACAGAAGAACATAAAGAAGATTTTTGGTATTTGGAATCAACAATAGCACAAGCAACGGAAGATGAAACCGATCCAGTTTCAGTTGAAGAAAAAGTAATGAACTTTGCATTGACCTGCCATTATTATCAGTAAGTAATAATCATCATCTTTAATTCGAGTTAGACAATCATCCATTATCAGTTGATAAATATTCTTGCTGAATTTCTTTTTGTTCTAGTCCCTCTCAATCGCTTATCTTGGATATTACTGATCAAAACTGGAAGAAAGTTTTCACAGAGGCAGAGTTACACGAGATAGAAACCAAAGGGGGGCCACTTGAATGCAATGATCCCGAAGAACTTCAACGATATTATTTGGACTTGAAAGGGCTGGTATGTATATATAACACTAAAATAAAATAAGAATGATAAAAGTTATATAAACAAGAGCAACACAACGCTAACAACAGTACTAAATGATTTCTTTATAGAAAACAAGCGCTGAAGTGTTTAAATATGCACGAAGTATCGAAATCAATGATCCATCAGCTGAACATTTGAAAGTTTGGTTTTCATCCGAGTTGATGAATGTTGCGCGCCTCTTCTTAAAAACACATTCTTTTGATATTCTGAGTATACCTGAAACAGATCAACAGTATTTGCCATTTGGTTTCTTTGGTACTGCATTTCATGGATCTGGTATCGTAGCAAAAGGGTAAAAGTATTAGATAAATGGGTTTATGATAATGGAGCAAAATGGAATTTAAAATTGATCTAACTTAATATTTATTTTTCATTCTACAGTACCGAAGTCTCTAGTGAAGCAAATGCGAATGCGGTAAACTCATCTCGCCAACTGTCATCAGTCACAGCAATATCAAATCGAAAAATGGGTCGTCGTGGAGACACGATGTTCAAGTATGGGTCAGAAGAACTTGGATGTTCTGACGTAGGTGCTGCGCGAGACCAAACTAAAGCATTCTGTGACTGTTCAATGAAGATGCCGCTAGTTTTGAGGGACATGTTGCTTTCGGTTACTTATGATTCGAGCCTTCTTCATACAGCTCATGTTATTGGTTATAGTATTACAGGTATGTATGATTTTTGTATCAATTTCATGGATAAAGATGTCAGCCTATATACGAGCCATCCACTAACTTGGGAATATTTTGATGTATTCATTTAGGTGGCACCACATCACTTCTAGATGTCAACATTCCTGCTGGGTTTATAACTAGAGTTAGGAAAACAGAACCATTGAGATTCCCACATAGGGACTCAAATTTGGTTTCTCGATTACTCCCCTTGATGACCCTGGCATACAATGGAAAAAAGATCTTAGATAGAACCACTGATTTGTTGGATGATGTTTCTCAAGGAATAACATCGTCAAAAAATGGTACTCACTGGTGTCTTCCCCCAAACTTTATTGTACCATCACCATCAAAGCGAATCAAGGTGTCTCAATAATTTGATTTACATTTGTCGTCTTCTATTGTATATACCAATATTCTTTTCATATAAATTTTCTCCTACAATCACCCCTCTTGCGAAATCATAAAAATTTCGGCACGGGTAGTGTGGATGAGGCAGCACTGTCCAATAAAAATCAACCATGACGTTTTGGGCTGGCCAATAAATTTTGACTATGACACTGTTGCTGGGATCTAAATAAACAATCTGCATGTGCATGGCGAGAGTGTTTCATCTCTTCTAATACTACTACTGTCAAAGGCCGTGTCAACAGTGTCAAAATGTTCAATTTTAAAAAACCTGGAAGAAAGAAAGGAGGAAAAAATCCTAATGCTGGAAGAAAACCCAAAAACTCGCAATCTTTACCTCAAGGGCAGTCTGTGCTTTGTTTCGCACAAGATTTCACTGATTCAGCAACAAGTGATTTCAGGAACGACACCAGCAACAGCAACGACGAACGCACGTCTGCCGAGCTACCCAGAACGCCTTTGGAAGAACCAGCTGAAGTCGATGAATTAGCAAGTATTCGTGGGCTACTAGAAGTTGACTCGAATACAAGCAACAACATCGACACTACTGGAGATGATGATGATGATGAGACTGAAGAGGCAGATACACCGATTCCAGAGGAAGACGAACGTGAAGGCGAAGATCAAGACAGTATACTTGAAAAGTAATTTTTTGGCCTTCAAGATCGCATACGAGATGACATGAACAACGATAAACAGGATAATATGCCTCAAGAATATCACAACGGCACATTTTGGGTTCACCCAAAGTCTCCTTTCTTTGCATTGATGGATGGAAAAAAAATCGATCCAAGCAGCTTGTATCTTCCACGTGTGTTTCTATGGTTCCCTCATCTTCTGCTCCAAAAGTTTTTTAAGAATAAACTAAAGTGCCCAGGTTGCAAAGTAACTCTCGGAAACAACGGTTATACAAAGACTCCTTTTGCGCGCAGAGTAATAGACATTGATAGGTAACGATTGAATAGCGATTATTTTGGCACCATATATGTGATATGCTTAGTTATCAAAGAGTTCTGTCCTAAGTTAAATTGTTTAGCTGCTTTTATATTATGGGGTATCGTTACCAGTGCCACACACCGAGTTGCAAAAAGAGTTATATCAGTAACGACCCAGAAATAATCCGTCAACTGTCGTATTCTAAGCACTGCTATAACGATCCTCTCATATACATTGTTACACCAATTTCATGGATCAAGACTCACACGCATAATATTCTCCATATTGCCCGACATCGTAAAATAACCACTTATTCTCCTTAACAAAGTTAACCCATGGGAAAACGTCTAGTAATCACCCATCACGTAATCCTTTCAAACAGTACAAATAGTGGTATCAAAAGTCATTAGTAACATCCCTTGATCGCAAATTCACCCTGAATAAAGACCCTACCAAGATTCTCAAGTGCTTCGACAGTCTCCTAATATCTCACCTAACACTTTTCATACCACATTTTTTTTTCACTTGAATTATCTACCATGAACAACAGCAACCAACAAACCTCCACCCCCTCTTCTCCCCGTGCCGACGATGAACCCCAAATCAACCAAGAACAAACATCCTCGCCGGCCCAAGCTAACTCGGAAATGGAAGGCGTCGAGTACCAAGAGCTCGATCTTCAAGGTTCGCTGGAGTCCGAGCACGCCGACCCCCAAGTGGTCTTCGAGAAGTCCATCAACTTCTACAAGAAACGCATTGGCGAACTCGGCATCAGCCTCGCACACGCCCTCACCAAGAACGATGCCGATGAAGAGCGCAAGACCCTGACTTCTCGGATCAAAAAAGCTCAAGCAAACCTCCACCGCTTCCAAGACCTCCTGAAGGACCTGACTGCGGATAACCGACCTGGCAAGGAAACAGAACAGGCACCAACGCAGAAGAAACCCACGTGCCGAATGACATACAAGGACTTACCCGTATTCCAGCTCTCCGGTGCGCATATTTGGCGCCACAACAAGGAAGTATTTAGCTCACCAAGCCATTTCGCTCGTACCTTCGAGCTCGCATTGTCCGCCATGGAAGGTGATCTGGACCGCGACTGGGAAAAGTGGCTCCCCCTCGCCATTCACCACGACCATGACGCCTGGGTTGAAAGAGAGCTCAAGGGCAAGGGACTGTCATGGAAAAAGGCCAAGAAAACATTCCTTCATCACTTCGAGTCATCTGATCAAATCATTGCCAAGGCCACCGAGGTGTTCACGATGACCATGCGCAGCAACGAAAGTACGCTCGACTATGGTACGAGGTTCCTCGCCGCTGCCCGCGAGGCAGAAATAACGGATAGCCAACAATTAGCCCTGCGCTTCCTGGCCTCGCTACTGCCGCACATTCGCGAAAACACGTTGGTCGCCTGGCACGGCCGCAAAGGAAAGAAGTTGCCGAAGTCCGTCTCTGCCGCCCTAGAGATCGCCCAAGCCGTGTCCGTGTACAAGCGCACTCACCAGCAGTCGTACGCTGCAGAGGATTCCTCCTCGCGCGCACACTCACGTCGCCGCACACACACAAACTCATCAAACACACCCGCAGGCTCGCAAAGTCACTGTCCTGTTGGTTGTTCATACCATGGGCCCAGCGCTCATCATTCGTCCGCCGAGTGCAAAAAATTGGGCAAAATGACTGCCACCAACAATTGTAAATGGTGCAAGAAGCCATGGTCAGTTGGACACAAATGCCCAGAATTCTACGAACACAAGGCGAAAGAAAGCAGCAGCAATAACAACAGCAACACCGGCGCCTCCTCAGGTCCAAGAATTCGCGCAGTCACGCGCACAGAACAATCAAACAACGGCGGAAACGCCAGCGATTCCGAGCTTGACGACCTTGTCGAAGACATGGTCGACCTCGAATTCGCAAAAGAAAACGAACACTGTAAGCAAAACACAAACAAAACTATCAGATCCTCCAAACGTGACCCTCCAAACGAGCTACTCACAGACAAACCATATTCTCTATATACACCTATCTTAATAGAAAACAAGAAATTCATGGGCTATATAGATACTGGTTGTGAAGCGTCTGCTATAAGTATCAAACTCATCAATAAACATTCATGGTCGTATTCGCCTGCAAAGGGCAAACTACACTTAGCTGCAAAAAACATGTATATTGACCGCATCGGAATCACCGAAACCAAACAAATAAAATATAATGGGTTACACACATCACACGCGTTTGAAGTAATGGAACTGGAAGACAATATCGAACTATACATTGGCTCAGACCTTTTGCCTAAACTCGGAATCTTCCTACAGGGCGTTGCCCATAAATGGGATGAAATAGATAATTCCACCGAAAAGAAAATTGACCTGGAGAGCGGTAAAGATGTACCAACACCAAACAACTCTCCATATGGCACACCTGAAGAACGCAACAAATTCCTTCAAGCCATACAGCCCTTTCTCGATGAAAACCAGAACATTTCCAAAACATCAGCCTGTACTGTTCCTGAATCCATCGTATATTTAAAAACACCAGAAGGCGCGGCTGTCAACCAAAGACAATACCGCATTCCTTACGCTGACCAACACATTGTCGATGAAACAGTACAAGGCTGGCTCGATGAAAAAATTATCAAAAGAGCGCCCACGAATTGTGCATGGAATTTCCCTCTATTGCTGGCTGACAAAAAAGACGAGCATGGCAATAAAACAGGCAAACGCGTCTGCCTTGACCCCCGTCACCTAAACAGTATGCTGCCTGATGAGAAATTTCCTCTTCCTTTAATCAAAGAAGACATTTTCAACTCCCTGTCTGGTTCCGTTGTCTTTACCACATTGGACATTCGCCAAATGTTTCACCGCTTTCCGGTACATGAACCCGATCAGCACAAACTGACATTCACGCACAAAGGCATGCAATATTCTTTTCAAAAAGCACCGTTCGGTGTCAAACATCTTAGTGCGGTAGCACAGAAAACCATTGCCACACTCTTATATAATATGAAGCACGTCCAATTTTTTATTGACGATATCGTCATACATGGACCTGATCTTGCCACACACCAGCAAACGGTGATCGACGTAATTAAAAAACTTACAGACGCAAAATTAATTCTAAGCAGCCACAAATGCTCATTTGCCCAAACAAGCGTCTACTTGCTAGGTTTCTGCATCTCTAGTAAAGGCGTATCTCTTGATACCCGAAAACTATCAAACATCAACAGCTGGCCTATACCCAAAACAGGTCATGAAGTACAAAAATTCTGTGGCCTCATCAACTTCTTCCGCGATCATCTCGTCTACGCAGGTACTCTTTTAGCACCGCTGGATGAACTACGCCATGTTGGCATCATTGGCGACCGCTGGACAGAACGACATACACGCCACTTCAATGCATGCAAAAAAGCCTTACTGCACAACGCTCTCTTACATTACCCTCAGCTCGATAAACCAATGAACTTGATCGTCGATGCTAGTGGCACGGGCATTGCAGCGGCATTGTTCAAAGAAATCGATGGCAAAAAACGCTATACTGGCTTCATGGCTCGCTCGCTCACCAAATCCGAAAGATCATACTCTACTAATCGTCGTGAGTTACTCAGCTGTATATATGGCATCCGCAAATTTTCCCAATTCTTATGGCACAATCCCTTTACACTATACGTCGATCACAAAGCTCTCACGTATATTCACACACAGAAGAATATTCATCATAACCCCATGCTAGTCTCCTGGCTCGATTTCCTTCTCGAATACAACATGCGCATAGTTCACGTGCCTGGCGAAGCCAACGTACTCGCTGATCTTCTTAGCCGCTTTTTTGAGGAACCCAAAGAGCTGGAGGGGGGGTACATCAGTATACCAAAAGTCAGCTCGCAAACCATCAGAACAATATAAAACCACTCTAAGCAAACCCAAATTCAACAATCCTGCCTACTCAACGAAAACAAAACGCATCATGCGTGTATCCCGCGAACAAATAGAAACAAATGAACTGACCATCCCACCAGAACAGGATCGTAAAGAAATATTGCAAAAAGCACATTTATTTGGACATCTAGGTGGTGAAAATATGGTAAAGAACATACAGCGTGATGGACTATTCTGGTCAAACATGCTACATGACGCAGTAGAATACGTAAAAACTTGTCCCGCTTGTCAAAAACATAACATCATAAAAAAAGGCTTCAATCCATTAAGACCTCTCTACGCTTACCTGCCTGGAGACCACTGGGTCATTGACCTTGGTCAACCCATGCACACTACTGACAGCCAAATGAATTACCTTTTGGTAATGGTCGATGTATGCTCCAGGTACTGCCACTTGGTATGCCTTCCCAACAAACAATCAAACACTATAGTAAAAGCCCTGATCGATACTTTCAAAGTATTCGGTGTACCTCGCGTACTAGGCAGTGACAACGGAGGTGAATTCAAAAACCTTCCGATGGAAGAACTCGCAAAAAACCTTGGCTTCGATCATCGTCTCACCACACCGTATCATCCTCGTGGTAATGGCTTAGCCGAACGCTATGTACAAGTCGCAATGAACAACATACGCAAAATGGTAGAAGGAACAGGCAAAGACTGGGACTACTATGTTCCATGCACTCAACTCGCTATAAATAACAAAGTGTCAAAACGGTTAAACTCCACACCATTCTCGCTCATGTTTGCTCGTCAAATGAACGCATTCAAAGACTACCGAAATGAAACACCTCAACCATTGACAGAAGAAGACATGCTCAAAAGAATAAAGCATATGACGGAAGTGGTTTTCCCAGCCATTAACGAAAAAAGCAAAGAAGCAGGAGAAAAGCAAAAAGAAAACTTTGACAAAACGCATCGCATAGTCGAATTTCCCAAGGGTAGTCACGTCATGGTACGAATCCCGACACGCACTGCTAAACTATCGCCTGCATATCGTGGCCCTTACACTGTAGTACGCAAAACAAAAGGTGGCTCCTACATCCTCTTGGATGAAACAGGAACTCTTGAAGACAGAAACTACCCACCATCCGATCTAAAACTCATATCACAAGACGAAGTCATCCCTGAAGATGAACTAAAAGAAGTACTAGAAGTAATCAAACATAAAGGCACACCCGGCAACAGAGAATACCTTGTTCGCTGGAAAAACTATGATGAAACCCATGATGAATGGCTAACCCCCGATAAATTCACTACTCCAAAGCCAATCGAAACATATTGGAAAAGACTTGGTCCCAAAGAAAAAAACGATCACCAGTTAAAATCACAGAATACAAAAACAGGAAATCGATCTAACGGTACAGGCAACACCAACTCTGCATATCGCACCAGATCCACTGGTTCAGTCCCTGACACTACCTCCGCTTATTTAAGACAGCGTAAGAAAAGATCTACTCCCACCACCAACCCTGAACAACACCGTCGAAGCAAAAAACAGCGCGCTCAATGAATACTGCTTCAACCGGTAGTTCCTACCTGGAGGGGGGTGATGTCGTATTCTAAGCACTGCTATAACGATCCTCTCATTACATTGTTACACCAATTTCATGGATCAAGACTCACACGCATAATATTCTCCATATTGCCCGACATCGTAAAATAACCACTTATTCTCCTTAACAAAGTTAACCCATGGGAAAACGTCTAGTAATCACCCATCACGTAATCCTTTCAAACAGTACAAATAGTGGTATCAAAAGTCATTAGTAACATCCCTTGATCGCAAATTCACCCTGAATAAAGACCCTACCAAGATTCTCAAGTGCTTCGACAGTCTCCTAATATCTCACCTAACACTTTTCATACCACATCAACTACCAGAAATCTTGCAATGCGAATACCCTGGATACATGACTCATCGAAGTGGGTTATCAAAAGTTGTTGGTGACCTCTATAGACCATGTGTTCAAAATTCCGTTGGCTCGAAGAGATTCCGCAAGATAATTCGTGAAGTACATCGATTAAAACACGCACGGCTACATTTACAATATATTCAGTATATCGTATATCGACGCTTTGATCAACAGTCAATTCATGATATGTTTGATAACCAAGAGACTATAACACCATTCTCTTCATTTGACGATCGATCCAAGTATGCCGGTCACGTTCCATCCCCTCAATATTTTCGTTCATTTTATACTGCGTTTATTCGAGATATACGACATCTCATCGACAAGGAAATGGAAGTGCTTGACGGAGTGTATCTTAAAGGTGACCATACCTTTAAGATAATCAAGCTGATAAACAAGATTAACGGTCGACCAGTATTTGCTGCTTTATATACGGTCCTGAACGAATATGCAGAAGTCCGACTTCAGTTTCTTGTTCCAACAAAAGCACTATCCAATCTCAAATATGCATTTGACGCCATGCGACATGCATATGATTTGTACGGATATACACAGCCACAAGTATTTTTTACGAACAACGTAACTGGGGATCAAAGTTTTCTTAAAGAAGCTATACCATCACTTTTGCAAGACGTGGTACCCGTTGTTGAACAAGAAAACGAGGGGCCGTTAAATGCTCGTTCCTACCCACTGCTTACTATTCCAAGCAACGTTGAAATCAAGGCTATCCGTGGTGCTCAAGATATCGAAACTAGTGCCAATAGCATCATCAACAAAGGCAGCTCACAAGCTATTGGATTTGATTGCGAATGGACATTCAACACTACGACCCGCCAACAAGGAAAGGTAGCAACGATCCAGATTTCAGACAACGACTCGGCACTTATAATGTGTGTGTCTGACCTAGACGAATTACCGAGTTCGTTATGCAAGTTGTTAGAGAGCGAATCGATTATGAAACTTGGACGAAATGTCAATGGTGATTTGAAAAAAATCGAACGTGATTTCAAGGTTGTTTGCAAAGGAGGGTTCGAATTAGGTGCGTTTTGCAAAGGTCAAGGTGCAATTACCGATGGACGTATAGGACTTGCTGGAATTTGTGAAGCTGTATTGGAACATACATTGAACAAGGACGACTCTATTCGACTGGGTAATTGGGATGCAACGCAACTGACACAAGACCAAATTGAATATGCCGCTCTCGATGCATGGGCATCTTTAAAAATTTTTGAAGAAGTCAAGAGGCATGGTGTAATCGGTATACGTATATCTAATCCTACTCCTGACAATGAGGGTAATGTACTGGATAGATGAAATTCAACAGCAGTTTTATAACGCTGGAACTAAAGCTTGTATATATTTCTTAGGTAATCCTGTATCGTATCATCCTGGGTCGTTTAACGAGCCTGTCGCATATGGTGTAATTTCCAAGCAACAAAAAAGACTATATGGAGTTGAAGTTAAAAAAGGCCGCGTTATCATTACTATAAAAAGAACTTTGGTGCCCGGTGCTACGGTGAATGCACATGACAAGTGCCTTCGAGATTTTGCGAGTCCTCCATTCGAAATAGTTGTCAAGGTGTCTGAGCTTCGTACTTACAAGACTGTTTCAGTACAAGAATCACCATCTGCAACAACCATATCACCAGCTACTTCAGCTATATCTACACCGACTCAACAATTGATTAACCAACAGACATATTTAGAAGATGGTAATATTAGATAATGAACGGATTGTAACAATACATGTTTAATACATTACTAATACATATTATACTTCTTGTATAAAGGCACAAGTAATCCACCCATGGAATCGGATGACGAAGATGATGATTTGGACCAAGAAAATGAAAGTTTACCAATCATTGATGAAGAAGGAAATTTGCTTGAAATCAACCGAGATATTGACGTGTCAAGCCGAGACTACGGCCAGCAACTATTTCGACAACAACAACAAAACGATAATCAAAGCAGCAGCAGTACCTCGGCCACTATCAATCAAACAGCTCCAATACACTCTCGTATTCTAAAAGATGTTTTTCATCTAATGGATATGATAAAGGTCTCACGCAAACATGGATTATCCAAGGTTTTCTCACGGGCATTCCATGATGCATTGTTTGTATATGATGAAATTGATAAAAGACTGGTAACAGCGGTCCTAGAGGAGAAGAAAGAAACAACATGGGAGAAAAAACTTGCTGAAGATCCTGATTGGATATTCAAAAGAGTAAAGCGTAAGTTAAACCTTCAAATTGAATGTATAATAACTAGATTAACAAGATATGTACACTAAAATAACGCTAATTTTTCATTATTATATTAGGTGTTGTGCCGCCTCCTAAAGATCTCTACCCTGTGGTGAAAAAACTGTTTGAAACTTATGGACCATTGCGCTGTGCTCGAACCGGACGACCATTATTTGATTTTGAAAATTGGAAGCAAGCAAAAAATGTGCTCACCGCCATTCATCTGGGCCACGTATCTGACCCACCTGGTATCCCCTTTTATTTTGTCCGTGGCCAAGATAAAGATGGTCTTACACTATATCGCTGTAGCCGTGGTACAAATTCGTTGGAAGGTGGAATACACCAGAACCTGATTCGTACGATTGGAGCTTTTGGTGCCAGTGTTGAATATGTTGATGCTCTACTTGCAGATTATAGACTTAGGCACAACATCGATGTGAGTAATAGTTTTAAATTTATTATTTCATTTTACATTCGGAAAATTTAAAGTTTGGATTGACATGTATGTTTGGTTGTAGGTTGGGACATTAAATAGGTTTGGACGTATTCACGACGGTCATTACGATCCGTGGATATCACAACATATCAATAACTTGGAAACAAAACTTAACCTTCCATGCAGCTACAGAGGGCCTGGTATACATACACACTCTCTTTACCTCAAGTCTTCAGGCGAATTATTTGGTATATCTCCCTTGGATCCAACATTAATGGAATTGTACGACATTGACAAAGCAACACCAGTCCAAAGCACTTCACACACCAATTCATCGTCATTAGATATTGCCACGTTAATCATGATCAATCGTTCAACTGCACAAGCTACTGGAGCTCAATACAAGTATATTGCCGAATGTCAAAGAGCAGTACACGCGATTATACCAGTTCACACAGACAAGGAGAAAAGCACATTCGATTCAATTCTTCGTCACCAGTTCCCAAACCATAGATTCAAAACCACAGACTTTCTTCGATTCACCAAACTTTGGTCGCAAAAGGTTAACGGCACAGATATATTTTATAAAACACCAGAGCAGCTTTCTATTCATTACACAAAATGGAAAGAAATCGATAATATCATACGCACCAAAAACAACAACAAAGAATCCATCGATAACATGAGCAACGATTTGAACTCGACGACCCGTAAACGAACAGCACCACCTGCACAACACCCATCTCCATCAAAAACACCACGTACTGAAAGCATAATTCAAAACGATAATACCTCAAGTGCCTCGTCATCTACAAATCGCCTTGATTCTCCTGTTACAATTTGTCCAGCTCCAGCACTTATCGATACGCAAAATCTAGCCACCTTTATGTTCCATCAATTACTAGCAAACATTCCACAGCAATTACCTTCCATGCCTCCAACACCGTCAAATCATTCACAATATGAATATCCTCCTGTCAGACTTCAGCCATTACAACTTTTGGGTAAGAAAAATAATTTGTCGATCAAAATATCTGCATATATTGACATTGTAAATATATTTAGCACCTGCATCCAGTTCAACAAACCCAAATTTTACCACGATGCCACAAACATCTACAAGTAGCAACAGTAGTGGTGGCATTAACAACGGTACCAGCAACAGCATACTTGATGGCCTTCGTAAAAAGAACCAAAAAAAATGTAGTGTTTGTGGCAACATTAAATGTAAAGGCAAAAACAATAGGACAAAATGCACAGCGAAATGTAGCTTCTGTGGTAAAGTCGATTGTACCAACAAAAATAACAAAACAAAATGCAATCCAGACAACAGCATTTAATCGCCTACCAATATAAACCATCAGTTATCCTATATCGCTATTAACATTTATAGTATTTTTACACAGCAATAAACTCTACTTTCATATTATTACAGTATCATTTTGAAACTTTTCTTTTTCGTTTTTGGGAAAGTTCCCCTCCGCTGTGCTCCGGGGAACTTACCAAAAACGAAAAAATTAATTCTCTTTGCCTCATACATGCTATCCGTGCCAAAATTTCTAATGCCAAAATGAAGGACATATTTGGGCCTGACATGTGACTCAGAAAAGTGAAGTCATATTTGCTTTCCCAGCAACCAATGAAAATTGAGGTGTATAGAGGCAAGCAATTTAGGTCTTGGCAACCAAAAAGCAAAGTACTTTTTCCACTTTGTTCTTTTTTTACTATCAGTGGCATCAAGGTTTTGAATGGATTGTGTATCAGATGGCCTCACCGGTCGCTTTGCGTCCCGTAGGATAACCCTGCTCTTGGGTACATAGTTCATTCTCTACCATTTTGCTGCGATGGACTGTGTATCAGATGGCCTCGCCGGTCGCTTTGCGTCCCGCAGGATAACCCTGCTCTTGGGTACACAGTTCAGCATCTTTACTTCGAACATTGATGTGCATCAGATGGCCTCGCCGGTTGCTTTGTGTCCCGCGGGATAACCCTGCTCTTGGGTGCCTCAATTGCTCGTTGATTTTTATTATTATTATTATCATTATTATTGTTAATTATCTTACTTCCACAAGGTGGTTTTTAAACGATATGGGTCTTCAGGTCAAAGTTAATCGATTAATCTTTTTTTAATATTTCAGTTCATTTTTTATGGATTGTTATTTGCCGGGGGTCAAGTTCTTTATTAACAAACAGCTAGATTTAAGAGCTTCGTGATCTAATAAAAGAAATAGTGTATTGAATAGCGTTATTTCCAGGTAAAAAAAAGTGAAGAGTGATTATGGGTTGTATATTAAGGTGATGTAGAATGACTTGTGTTGTTAATTTGCTACTTGTTACTGATATAGATGATCAAGAAACTATGTCAGTCCAAGCGATATCCAACAAGTTTGGTAACCCTATGAGTCTAGCCAAAGCAAGAATGAACAATGTCAATGATTGATTGCTGGTCGTTCCTACAGCAATTGTTGGTGCTTCCGGTTCAGTCTCCATAGTAGTGGTTATTGGCTCTTTCAGCTGCACTTTTATTTTTTTTTCGTCTATTTAATTCATTGCTGTTATAATTTTCAAGTTTTTTCTAAGCCGCGCACCGTGGTTCATGGATTCAAATCAAACAGTAAATGACGATCTCACCCAGCGAATTTAAGAGTTGGAAGTCTTGGCAGTCCAGCTTAAGAACAAACTCGAAATCAGAGACCGAGCTGATCGACAACAGCATGAAAGACCAGAACTACCCCAAGAGATTAAGCAAGATTTGGAAGCCTATTCGATCGCAGAACTGGAAAATAGTTTTAAGGTCTTCAGATACGAGATCTCACAAAATATGACGGAGACGCGTGGACAAGGTCCGGAGGCATCCATAAAATCTACGTTGGAGAATTCAAGAAGGCAACCTTGGAAGCCTATGGCGCTATATCCACAAAATACAAAAAAGCTGACAGAATGTAAAACGCTGCAAGCGGAGCAACCGAGATTTATGAAGACCTACAGTACATCATTGAAAGAGAAGACACGAGTATCGACCCTCAAGAACTCAAGACGACTCGCCGTTTATGAAAACGCAACAGGCAAACAACAGGAGCGAGAAGCACGAACCAGTATTGCAAAGGCATTCAGGTTACTAGCAAGTATCCGAGCCTATGAAGACGAAGAATATGCTAACAAGGACATGGCATTCGATGCCGAGATGGTCCAACGAATCGAGAAGGCTCGACAAGAACAACAACTTATCAGAGCAGCTATCAACAATAGAGGAGGATACGGTCATGGAGGAGGTCGAGGCCGAGCTTGTTTCGACAGGGCCAGCGGATGGAATAGCACCAGGGGGCCGTTTACTGGTATTGGCAACAGAGAATCAAACATCCGTGGGCGGTTTCAGTAGTGAAGGAAGGGTACCGATTGCCTTTCGATAGGGTACCACAACCGTGGCACAAGGGGCCTGTGTGCCGTTCTTTGGTGGAACAAACACAAGTGGACCAAGCAGTACAACAGTTTTTGGCAACCAAGGTGATCGAACGCTCACCCACTCAGGACAGGAGGTTTCTTTCTACATTTTTTACGATCCAAGAAGCTGCGAAAATTCGGCCGACACCCACTCCCCTTTTGTTTGTATGTTCCCCAGTCGCTTGTATATGATACAGCTATAGCATATATGTTTCACGTATTTTGGACTTTCGACCCAATAAAGAAAAAATGGCAACACAATCTGAATCAGTGCTTACGCCTCGAATAATAATAGTAAGCTGTCGGTCTTCGACCTCGCGCACGACAATTTTTTTAGCAATTGTCGTGTGCACCGTCTCATGCACAGTTTGAAAGACCCTGCGCACGACAGAACTATGATGATATATACCGAGTAACTTGAATGTTAGCATACCATGTATCCAAATGGCAAGTAAGCAACTTTGTGCCAACATAAGTGCTATAATATAGTGAAGCACAAGCGAGAAGATTTATTAGTCAGCACAAAAAGACGTAGCTAAGACTATAGAAAAGTGGGTAGACAGTGCACCATATGTTTTCACCATTTTAATATCAATGACGTTGGTATTGGCTGCAAAGACATATCCTGTGTTTCGTGTTCTAAAACTTGCAAAAGCTAGGGCTGTCATGTAATTCTATTCAATTAAAATTTTGACGGTCAATGTAATATTCGACGTATATATAATGAAAGATGATAATATTGTGTCAGCCAAATAGTTGAATATTTCGAGGGCGAAGACCAAAACATGAAGTAAGAAATAAGGGATCATGAAAATAGGTGTTTAAATGATTGTAAAGAATAATTAAATCTGGAGACAAGGCACAAGAGCTTGAACATGAGACAAAAAGAGCATAAATTTTCGAGTACGATGAGGTAAACGACATTTGACACAAAAAAGTGCAGAACTGCTTAAGGGGTTATGATTCGTGTTGGTTTTTATACTCATTCATTACTGCTTTCGCTTTCATCCGAATCCATGGTGGGGTTGACGGCACTGCCGAATTTAGCACTCTTTCTCATGATATCCGATGCTTCGTCGTAAGAAACATTCTTATCTTCTTGAATAAGTCGTGCGGCCGTCTCCGGAATAAGAATCTGCTGGACAAACTGAACTGGTGGCATTGGGGCTGTATTTGCTGCTGTCAGGTGGTTCGATTTCGATAGTTCTTTCGTCAAACAATCCATGATGATTTGCATTCCACGGGGTCCATAATAACCAGGCTGTTTTAAACAATAATTTAGTGACTTATTTTATGAGTGATAGCTTTTGTACTTACCAAAGATTTTTCAGCCCTTGCCATTCGTGCGAATACGGATCGTGCAACGCTTCGGCTATGTTGGCTGTAGAATTCGGTTTCTATCGATTTGAATCTGCTTTCGGTTTTGCCGACTACGATATCTTGCATAACTGGTACATGATTCATTACACGCAAAGACAAGGTCGCAAAATCGATATGACCTGGGTAACCTTGGGCGATCCCTTCTGGTCTGGTCAACATTTCTTTCCTATGAATGCTGCAGGTTTGGGTTTAATCTGTGCTTCATCGAAGCGGTGGTGACGAGACGTTGAGAGTTCTTTCATGCGGCGTTCTTCTTGTTTCTCATGCTTCTCTTCTTTTTGTATATATTCATCGTACTGCTTCTGTACAGCAGGAGGTAACGGTAATGGCAGGCGCGTTTGACAATGGGGACATGCTATTGCACCATGATCCAGATAGTATAACAAATGTGTTCAGAATTACTAGAATACAAAGATACAAAGCGGCATGTTATAGGTACCATGATGATCGCCTCCGATATCACTATTGCAGTCAGACTCATCCAAATCAGAATGGGCGACGCTTGTCTTCTTTTTTCTAGGCTACTTGCTGTTGATTCATGATCCACTGTTTTTTTGATATGCAGGTATGTAGCATCAATAACTACCACCTCTGGAAACATTCTTGCGCGCTCGATGCTTCGTGGGTGCGTGACAAAAATAGACTTGACTTTTTTTGTTGCATTTTCGGCATGGTAACGTGCAATGGAATTATATGACTTGAAATACTCCATGATAGTGGGCAGCTCATCATGTTGAGCATCATTGCTTTCCAGTCGAGATTTTAAGTTGTAGATATCTTTTGCAGTGAAACGGTTATTCAACCGCAACTGTAAAATCTGACGAGCGGTATCCTTGAGTCTAGTTCAGTGGCAATATCGACTTGTTCATGGCCTGTCATTGCCCGGTACGACGCGTATATCTTGTTATCTCGTGTAAGTTGATGATTATGTGGCGGTATGTCGGCTACCGCTGTCTGCACCTTCCCATTATAATTTGGCTTCTTGCAACAGCTGGCATATATTGACCACGAGCACTGCGTCTTGGTGGATCGTCGCTTAGGATACCTCTTTTCCACACCATTCGCGCAAGTGTATGTTCTTGGTATACACAATTCGGTATATCAGACCTGGTTCTTGTCTCTTCGGTACTATCTTCATATTCTTTCTCCTGTAACAGAATATAGCTCTAATTATTCTCATACTATATATTATATTTGGGTGTAAGAACCATACCTGACAACTATCTGCTGTCATCTTATCCACTTGTGCTGCTCGATGCGGTTTAAAGGCTCGGATATAGAAAATTATGCTAATGATGCGATTGTATAAAGGATTCTCTGGCTTATACGCAACATGAAAAAGACGTGTTATCGAACAAGTGGGTTGTCAAGGATAAAGATGCAGCAATAACAAAAAGAGTATCAGCTCTTTTTGGTATCATTTCGCAATTTGCGATCAACGTCGTTATATCTGAATTGATTGCCGCTCGCCGTTTGACGCCGGAATCGTCGCAATGTAATAGCTGTGAAGTCTTTGTCAATTATCGTTTGCCGTGCAGACACTATTTTTACGAGTGTAATGATCAAGAAATCTTGCATCCCGATATATTTGACAAAAGATGGAAATTAGTGTCAAGTACAAGTATGTAACTTATAATGTCGCAGCTAAAGTCAATATTCTGTTATGGAATTAACAGTTCATATGTCACATAGCAAGGGTATCTGAACAACCTGTCATCTAAGAACTTGGTACCGACACCAACGATGTTGAAGAAAATGCGTTGAAGCTAGACTATCAAGAGCTTAAAAATCGAATTGACAACTTATTTATCGATGCGCAGACGGGTCATTAAAAGCAAGACTTGATATCATGTATACGTACGGCTTTAGATCAGTACAAACCATTACTCATCGAAGATCTAGAGTTGCCTACCGCTGTCAAAACCAAAGGACGGCCGAAGGGTGCTATTGGGTCGAGCCTACCATCTTATTTGAGATTATCTAACAAGATGCGAAAGAAAAAGAAAAATCAAAAGAAGAAAAAAAGCTGCTACTGAAATTAACGAATCCAACCCAACGGTCAAAAAAAGAAAACTTACTTGATTGAGAACGGTTCTGAAGAGCTTTGGCCAAACAAAAAGCGTAATACACAGGCTCTAGGGGATCAAAGGTATAGGCATATATTTGCATAGTAGTGGTTTCATATATATGAACTTACATCGTTTGCTGTGTAGCTCGACAATAGACATCCAGATATTCTACCATTGTAGTACATTACAGACTCGGTCGAGATAAAGCCGGACGAATGATGTGGGTTCAGAACTTTGTCGTATCTCGAATATAAAAGCAATCAAGATAAATACGCGGACATAAAAAAAGAATGCATGAATACGTGGTGACTAAGGGAAATAGCATTTGTTTGACTTACATCTGTGGTGGCAGCCAGACGGAATATGAAAAACTGGTCAAAAGGATGTCTTATGGTGTCGCCTTTAGTGATCCTGGGGCCGATTGTCCCAATGAGTATTGGTTTGACGGAAGCGTGGATATTCAGTTGGCAGCCAATGCGTTGGAGCGGCCGATTGCTTGCTATACGTCTGGTCCATGGGCGAAATATCATCCGCCATCGCTGACATTGCCACACTCTGTACATTCGGCAAACGATATAGTCTCCTGCCGTTCGTTATGCATTTCGTGAATGGGAACCACTGGGAACCGGTCTTGCTGCGATCATCTGTTAAAATGCAATGGCCCCCGATATCACAGCGCCATAAGCAGCATTGGAACGAGATCAACCCAGGTCACGATCACAAAACGTTTTGGAGGTACCTGCATATCAAAAAAACAGTGGATCATGAATCAACAGCAAGTAGCCTAGAAAAAAGAAGACAAGCGTCGCCCATTCTGATTTGGATGAGTCTGACTGCGATAGTGATATCGGAGGCGATCATCATGGTACCTAAAACCTAAATAACATGCCGCTTTGTATCTTTGTATTCTAGTAATTCTGAACACATTTGTTATACTATCTGTATCATGGTGCAATAGCATGTCCCCATTGTCAAACGCGCCTGCCATTACCGTTACCTCCTGCTGTACAGAAGCAGTACGATGAATATATACAAAAAGAAGAGAAGCATAAGAAACAAGAAGAACGCCGCATGAAAGAACTCTCAACGTCTCGTCACCACCGCTTCGATGAAGCACAGATTAAACCCAAACCTGCAGCATTCATAGGAAAGAAATGTTGACCAGACCAGAAGGGATCGCCCAAGGTTACCCAGGTCATATCGATTTTGCGACCTTGTCTTTGCGTGTAATGAATCATGTACCAGTTATGCGAGATATCGTAGTCGGCAAAACCGAAAGCAGATTCAAATCGATGGAAACCGAATTCTACAGCCAACATAGCCGAAGCGTTGCACGATCCGTATTCGCACGAATGGCAAGGGCTGAAAAAACTTTGGTAAGTACAAAAGCTATCACTCATAAAATAAGTCACTAAATTATTGTTTAAAACAGCCTGGTTATTATGGACCCCGTGGAATGCAAATCATCATGGATTGTTTGACGAAAGAACTATCGAAATCGAACCACCTGACAGCAGCAAATACAGCCCCGATGCCACCAGTTCAGTTTGTCCAGCAGATTCTTATTCCGGAGACGGCCGCACGACTTATTCAAGAAGATAAGAATGTTTCTTACGACGAAGCATCGGATATCATGAGAAAGAGTGCTAAATTCGGCAGTGCCGTCAACCCCACCATGGATTCGGATGAAAGCGAAAGCAGTGATGAATGAGTATAAAAACCAACACGAATCATAACCCCTTAAGCAGTTCTGCACTTTTTTGTGTCAAATGTCGTTTCACAGCGGAAAATATTAGCCTAAGATTACAGGATACTGCAAGGAATCACAGTTTCACTATACTTAATAAAGCATCAATATAAGAATTACACAGGTATTCAAGGGGAAAAGTTGGATAGAAGCTTTAATTTAAGATTAAGAATTTATTGTCTGAAACATTGAATAATTCAAGTATCCTTCTTTAATGAATTCCAGAGTTTATAATGGAATTCTACTTTTGCATATAAACATGGAAAATCAGAAGAATCCTAGTGTTGTTCCTTGTTTGCTCATAAGTATCAACAAGTATTAAAAGAAGAATCTTTCATATCGAATTATGTTTATTCAAGGTGGTTTAAATTACTTTGTAATTAAAGATGGTTTCTGTCTCCTAAAATCTCCTATTGGTGCTTTCCATTAACCATGCCAGGCCAGATAATGTGCTGCCTGACCTGGTTTCTCGCTCTAGTTTCTGACAAAAGTCCAACAAAATCAGTGATGGATTCTGCTTCAACGACATATAGTTTCTCAGTACTCGATCCCGTCAAATACAGAGAGCCTGTCGTTTTCTCGAGGTTGGGCTGATAAATTCCGATTAACGCCAGCTTTTTCGTATTGCCAGCGCTTATTATGGTACCAGATTTGACATATGTGAAATAAAAATAGATTTTGCCAAAATATGCCTTCTCCGCAAAGACGACATCTGAATTTATACCACGCCTGGCCCTCCTACATTCACACAAAAAGTTATGTATTGAAAATTCTTCTCACTTGATGATGCTTTTACCAAAGTACCTGTCGATTTCCATCTCAAGGCGCACCATGTATGCCATTCGATGCTTTGAATGGTGATGTAGCTTGCTAGAATAGATGCTGTGGTTGAGCCAAAGCCGCCCACTGATATAGATTTCGGTCGTAGCATATGGAAGGGGATCGACATCGTTTATGCGTGTACGGTAGCTTTCAAGCGCTTCGTAAAAGACGCACTTGCTTATGCCTGCAATGCTTTCTTGAAATGCAGCCAATTCCATCCTGTTCAAATTACCCCAAAGTTCAGGTGCAGATGAATCTTCCTTGTCTCCGTATGACCATGCTTTTTCTAATTGTTGCTGGTGTTCATGTGGGTTATCGTCATTTTGTAAGGCATTACTTTGAATAGCTGCGTCTATATAGCGCGCTCGAGCAAGCGATAACATGATATTCGATGCATTTGTTCCTGGGCTGGCAGTGGAACTGATATGTTGGCTGTACCATCCAATCATTCGCTCCAAGCATCGTGCACTATAGTATCGTAGTGGCCCCATCTTCGCGATCATGTCCGGAATATGTGCTAAGTAATGCTGGTTCGGTGTGAATATGGCCACTTTGAGAACCTTGTCAACTCGGATAAGCTTGGTCAAATAGGCGTGCCATTGTAGTATACCGCTAATAACATATTGAATATAACGATTAATTCAGGATTAGCTTTCTAACTACTGTCAATATTTACTTACATGCGAATCGTTTTGACATCTTGTTCATATAAGGAGTACTGCAATGACAGCTGACAAGAACGAATTAAGCCCAAGAGTCTTGCTCTTGCAGTATCGTTGGCGATATGCGGTGCAACAATCGTTGGTACAACATAAAGCATGAAATCAAGCCAATCCACTGCCCTAACCCTTGATGACCCGGTCAAACTACGATAACTCCCTTGAAATGCGGTCGGAACTTCTGCTCGTGATTGCTCTAAATCGTGCATGATCTTTTGTATGATGCTCTCTGGTATGTCAAATGGACTATTTTTGGGTACACTATTGATGACAACAGTGTATGTACCACGAAACAGTTGAAGTAGTTGTTCCGCAATACCATGACCGAGTAAGTGCATTTCGTCCATTCCAAAGAATTCAGGGCCTGTAAAGCTATCCAATCCAGCCATAGCGGATGGCGAATGAACACCAGGCTAAAAGCAATAAGAGAAGATTGTTACTAAGAGCAAATACAGCTATAAGAGTAAGTAGAGCAAGTTTGAACAATACATGTGTACCTCATTCGCGTTTTTATAACCCTCCTTTGAGCGCCAAGGTGCTGATACGTTGGGAAAATATATCCCTCCTCTGTTGTTACCTTCTGGGTGTTCCCCTTTTACTAAGCACATCCGACAACCATCGAACGACATATGCCCAGTGTGACATGCCAAAGCTGCTACACCAGGTATATCCCCTGTAGCCAAAAGGAGGTGTACACGAGCATGGACAATGCTACCGTCATTGATCTGCACTTCCATTCCTTCATTTTGCAATATAGTGAGCTCCCTCATCGTTGGCTCCAAGAAACTCCAAATGTGATTCGGTTTTCGCGGACCTGGTATAAGGCATATTTGCAACATATTCTTTTTCTCATATCTATTATAATATATGTAACTTGTCAATGGCCTTTTATATTTGTTGAGGATTGGGTTTCAAACAGTAGTTTATACCTGATGGAAGGGTCAAAGTTCAGAACAGTGCAGTGGATAATAGTCATTTTGCATCCAGCATTATTTTTGAATGGCTGAAATGCATCGGCATAAAGAGCTATGGCAATGTCGTACTTCCCACTGAATAAGGAGGCCCGCATCTTTTGGTACACTGATCCATCCAGGACATCACAAAGCTTTCCTTCAGAGTGTACGTAATTATGTCGGTAAAGTAGAAGATCGCGTGTTTCGGGATTGTGTAATAAATATGCAAGTTGAGAAGCAAGTGAAAGCTGCTCAATTGTTGCTCGTGGCAACGTGTTTGAGTCAGCAATGTATCTCGGTGTGGAACAGTAATCGCATACGTTGCTGAAATCAGCTTCAGTGTACATCTTGCAACTTTTTTCGCAGATGTGATAAATTGTTGGCTGGACTGGATAGATATCTTCCATCACACTTTTCGATCGGTATTGTGAATGTACATGTTCATGGGCTATTATATGGGTTGTCAATATAATCTATCTCGCAATCCAGTATGCTGACAGTGATTGACATACCAGGATCAATGCTTGAAATGATCTCATTCATAAGACCAAGGTATTCCATGTGTGCTGCTCTGGAAACCGGAAAATTTTCAAAGATCCGCTGTGCTTTCATGCTGATAATTTCCATCGGTCTTGGAATGATGGCATCTGAAAATTCGAACCTCAGTAGCTTGCCGCTATTGCTGGTTTCACTTCTGTCCCTTTCTGCGAAGTCAAAAATGAAACTTTGATAGCTGCTCTAATCTTGTGTTTTGCTATATTACGAATACGTACCATCTCCTCTCGGTATCTGCTTTGGCTGTTCTTGTTGTTCCTCGATTTGAATGGTGTTGGGTAATTCATTTGGGTGACAGTAACTTGTTGATGCATGCAATGTAGTACTGTAACTTTGTTGCAAATAACTAGCATCTATCCTATGCCCGTTAACGATCGCCGCATCACTCTCACGTTCAATAGAAACTTCCGGTTGATCGGGCGATGAAAGTACTTGTTCGAGATGCTGTCTCTGTAATGGGCTGATGCAAAAAGACACGTTCAGTTAATTAATTAACCATGTCGAAGTGCTAGCTGCATTACCTCGAAACAAAGCTAGAATCGGCGCAATCATCGGTTCTTCTCTTTTTTCTCTGATATTCACGAAGACAAAGCGCTGCATGCGTGCGGAAATAGTCTTTATTAACAGCTTGGCGACACCAACCGCATGCTATGGTTTCTCCAGGGTTCAATGATCGCTTTTGGCGTTTACGATACTTGTTTGGCAGCCCAGAAGTCATTATATATTTGTTTAGTAACAGAGAAAAAGTTGTATTGTAACGGAGCTCTTTTATATAGATTGCAATGAAAAGTGGAGTGGTGGTGGTACAGCTGCGGAACGCGTAGATCGCAATGAACAGTGGAGTGATGGTGGTACAGCTGCGGAACGCGTGTTGGCGACGCGCAAACATAAAAAAAAGATTGTTCAGCCGTTTTGAACTGTGCGCTTTCCGCTCTTCTTCCTCTTTTCTCTCTCACATGGCACCACTTCCCCGAGCAACTATTCAAGCTTTGCTTGAAAATATACAATCTCTTTCCCAGCGCTTTGAATCACTTACTGACAGCGTTAACCAAGTTCAAGAAACTCAAAGAGAACTTATCAACAGCTTAACAAATATCCAAGAAAATCAAGAAAATATGCGTCAAACCATTGACACTCTCATCAGCGACCAAGAAAGCCCAGCACCGCTTCGAGAAGATACTCAAGATGGGATACTTCTAGGCTCTACAAGGAGAAGAGATATTGACCGCCCGTTTCAGATCGTAAACGGAAGAAGGCGTGCGGCTGAATTGGACGTAAGGGTGATTGAACGGATGATACACCGCGAGTTTTTCCACGCAGACCAAGTTGGTGCTGAGAATGCCATCATCAATATGCATACTGCTTTGATGGAATCCGTTAACAACCTTCGCAATTCACTCGGCGTCAATGATTACAGTATTCCTTGGAGTGAGATTGATCGCACTTTGCAGCTTCAAGCCATCAAGGACCTGGAAGATAGCTTGTTGCCTTTGAGTATAGGACTTGATCGATGTAAAAACTCATGGGCTGCATCCTTTTTGATGGCGTACAAATGGGGTTATTTATTCCAATATCGTAAACGAAGGGTCAGTTTAGAGCGTGCTGCGGCGTCAAGACAAGTAAGGCAATGCGCAGCATGTACAGTATCTTTATGTCTACGTGTGTATGTCATTGACCATTATTTCTTTTATAACGTCATTCAATAACGCGCAGGATCCGGACAGCCATCAGCATTCAGACGATGCGACAACGTCGTCTTCAGTACATTCTACTGTCTCATCAAATAGGTAGGCCAATCGTGACATCAAATAATTTGATAGCTTAGCGCATGACGTACTGATAAAGCCTTTCTTCATGGGACCTGGAAGCGAAAATTATCAAGACCAAGACCGGCCTACATGTCGCCGCCGCCGCCGTTTTCACTAACATGATATACCGTATACTGTTTACATATAGGTACTCTTTGGACCCTTCTTCCCTTGCAATCCATTTTTTCTTTTTTCCCAACATGTCTAACTTTACATAACTTCCTGCTACGTCTTTTTAATCACGTTTCTTCTTTATCTATGTATATTTCTTTTACTGTATATCTTGACACATACATGTATGTGTCTCTCACTTTGTTATATCTGAATATGTGTAGTCTTTTGTTCAGTTCCTCATTGCAATAAAACAAATACCTCTCAATATTGGATTCGCACAGCAATAATCTCATAATAGCCGATACTATAATTGAAGGATTGATGCATGAATTATTATCGAAATCTAAGTAGGATTCTTGGCTCATGGAGATAGCAAAAATTACTCGTGAATCATCGCTTCCAAAAAAGAATAACCATTACCCTTAAATTACAGCATCTTCCAGAGAATAAAAGTTATCATTTGATTATAGTTTCTACTCTTTAATAATCCAATAAAATTAAAACAAGAATAAGGATAGAAAATGCATTTTTCTATAATTAGTCTACCCTAAATTTCAAGGTTTATTATACTATGTATCAAAGGATACTATCATAAGATTTTCCGCTGTGTTTACCTCATCGTACTCGAAAATTTATGCTCTTTTTGTCTCATGTTCAAGCTCTTGGGCCTTGTCTCCGGATTTAATTGTTCTTTACAATCATTTAAACACCTATTTTCATGATCCCTTATTTCTTACTTCATGTTTTGGTCTTCGCCCTTGAAATATTCAACTATTTGGCTGACACAATATTATCATCTTTCATTATATATACGTCGAATATTACATTGACCGTCAAAATTTTAATTGAATAGAATTACATGACAGCCCTAGCTTTTGCAAGTTTTAGAACACGAAACACAGGATATGTCTTTGCAGCCAATACCAACGTCATTGATATTAAAATGGTGAAAACATATGGTGCACTGTCTACCCACTTTTCTATAGTCTTAGCTAGGTCTTTTTGTGCTGACTAATAAATCTTCTCGCTTGTGCTTCACTATATTATAGCACTTATGTTGGCACAAAGTTGCTTACTTGCTATTTGGATACATGGTATGCTAACATTCAAGTTACTCGGTATATATCATCATAGTTCTGTCATGCGCAGGGTCTTTCAAACTATGCATGAGACGGTGCGTACGACAATGGGTATTAATCATTAACAATAAATAAAAAAAGGTTTTAATAATTATATATAAATAATTGTTTAAAAATATCATTCAAGTTACTCGGTATATATCATCATAGTTCTGTCGTGCGCAGGGTCTTTCAAACTGTGCATGAGACGGTGCACACGACAATTGCCAAAAAAATTGTCGTGCGCGAGGTCGAAGACCGACAGCTTACTATTATTATTCGAGGCATAAGCAGTGATTCAGATTGTGTTACCATTTTTTCTTTATTAGGTCGAAAGTCCAAAATACGTGAAGCATATATGCTATAGCTGTATCATATACAAGCGACTGGGGAACATACAAACAAAAGGGGAGTGGGTGTCGGCCGAATTTTCGCAGCTTCTTGGATCGTAAAAAATGTAGAATGAAACCTCCTGTCCTGAGTGGGTGAGCGTTCGATCACCTTGGTTGCCAAAAACTGTTGTACTGCTTGGTCCACTTGTGTTTGTTCCACTAAAGAACGGCACACAGGCCCCTTGTGCCACGGTTGTGGTACCCTATCGAAAGGCAATCGGTATCCTTCCTTCACTACTGAAACCGCCCACGGATGTTTGATTCTCTGTTGCCAATACCAGTAAACGGCCCCCTGGTGCTATTCTATCCGCTGGCCCTGTCGAAACAAGCTCGGCCTCGACCTCCTCCATGACCGTATCCTCCTCTATTGTTGATAGCTGCTCTGATAAGTTGTTGTTCTTGTCGAGCCTTCTCGATTCGTTGGACCATCTCGGCATCGAATGCCATGTCCTTGTTAGCATATTCTTCATCTTCATAGGCTCGGATACTTGCTGGTAACCTGAATGCCTTTGCAATACTGGTTCGTGCTTCTCGCTCCTGTTGTTTGCCTGTTGCGTTTCCATAAACGGCGAGTCGTCTAGCTTTTTCCATAGTCGTCTTGAGTTCTTGAGGGTCGATACTCGTGTCTTCTCTTTCAATGATGTACTGTAGGTCTTCATAAATCTCGGTTGCTCCGCTTGCAGCGTTTTACATTCTGTCAGCTTTTTTGTATTTTGTGGATATAGCGCCATAGGCTTCCAAGGTTGCCTTCTTGAATTCTCCAACGTAGATTTTATGGATGCCTCCGGACCTTGTCCACGCGTCTCCGTCATATTTTGTGAGATCTCGTATCTGAAGACCTTGAAACTATTTTCCAGTTCTGCGATCGAATAGGCTTCCAAATCTTGCTTAATCTCTTGGGGTAGTTCTGGTCTTTCATGCTGTTGTCGATCAGCTCGGTCTCTGATTTCGAGTTTGTTCTTAAGCTGGACTGCCAAGACTTCCAACTCTTAAATTCGCTGGGTGAGATCGTCATTTACTGTTTGATTTGAATCCATGAACCACGGTGCGCGGCTTAGAAAAAACTTGAAAATTATAACAGCAATGAATTAAATAGACGAAAAAAAAATAAAAGTGCAGCTGAAAGAGCCAATAACCACTACTATGGAGACTGAACCGGAAGCACCAACAATTGCTGTAGGAACGACCAGCAATCAATCATTGACATTGTTCATTCTTGCTTTGGCTAGACTCATAGGGTTACCAAACTTGTTGGATATCGCTTGGACTGACATAGTTTCTTGATCATCTATATCAGTAACAAGTAGCAAATTAACAACACAAGTCATTCTACATCACCTTAATATACAACCCATAATCACTCTTCACTTTTTTTTACCTGGAAATAACGCTATTCAATACACTATTTCTTTTATTAGATCACGAAGCTCTTAAATTTAGCTGTTTGTTAATAAAGAACTTGACCCCCGGCAAATAACAATCCATAAAAAATGAACTGAAATATTAAAAAAAGATAAATCGATTAACTTTGACCTGAAGACCCGTATCGTTTAAAAACCACCTTGTGGAAGTAAGATAATTAACAATAATAATGATAATAATAATAATAATAATAATAATAATAAAAATCAACGAGCAATTGAGGCACCCAAGAGCAGGGTTATCCCGCGGGACACAAAGCAACCGGCGAGGCCATCTGATGCACATCAATGTTCGAAGTAAAGATGCTGAACTGTGTACCTAAGAGCAGGGTTATCCCGTGGGATGCAAAGTGACCGGCGAGGCCATCTGATACACAGTCCATTGCAGCAAAATGGTAGAGAATGAACTATGTACCCAAGAGCAGGGTTATCCCACGGGACGCAAAACGACCGGTGAGGCCATCTGATACACAATCCATTCAAAACCTTGATGCCACTGATAGTAAAAAAAGAACAAAGTGGAAAAAGTACTTTGCTTTTTGGTTGCCAAGACCTAATTTGCTTGCCTCTATACACCTCAATTTTCATTGGTTGCTAGGAAAGCAAATATGACTTCACTTTTCTGAGTCACATGTCAGGCCTAAATATGTCCTTCATTTTGGCATTAGAAATTTTTATGATTTCGCAAGAGGGGTGATTGTAGGAGAAAATTTATATGAAAAGAATATTGGTATATACAATAGAAGACGACAAATGTAAATCAAATTATTGAGACACCTTGATTCGCTTTGATGGTGATGACGAAGATGACGATGATGGTGATGGTACAATAAAGTTTGGGGGAAGACACCAGTGAGTACCATTTTTTGACGATGTTATTCCTTGAGAAACATCATCCAACAAATCAGTGGTTCTATCTAAGATCTTTTTTCCATTGTATGCCAGGGTCATTAAGGGGAGTAATCGAGAAACCAAATTTGAGTCCCTATGTGGGAATCTCAATGGTTCTGTTTTCCTAACTCTAGTTATAAACCCAGCAGGAATGTTGACATCTAGAAGTGATGTGGTGCCACCTAAATGAATACATCAAAATATTCCCAAGTTAGTGGATGGCTCGTATATAGGCTGACATCTTTATCCATGAAATTGATACAAAAATCATACATACCTGTAATACTATAACCAATAACATGAGCTGTATGAAGAAGGCTCGAATCATAAGTAACCGAAAGCAACATGTCCCTCAAAACTAGCGGCATCTTCATTGAACAGTCACAGAATGCTTTAGTTTGGTCTCGCGTAGCACCTACTTCAGAACATCCAAGTTCTTCTGACCCATACTTGAACATCGTGTCTCCACGACGACCCATTTTTCGATTTGATATTGCTGTGACTGATGACAGTTGGCGAGATGAGTTTACCGCATTCGCATTTGCTTCACTAGAGACTTCGGTACTGTAGAATGAAAAATAAATATTAAGTTAGATCAATTTTAAATTCCATTTTGCTCCATTATCATAAACCCATTTATCTAATACTTTTACCCTTTTGCTACAATACCAGATCCATGAAATGCAGTACCAAAGAAACCAAATGGCAAATACTGTTGATCTGTTTCAGGTATACTCAGAATATCAAAAGAATGTGTTTTTAAGAAGAGGCGCGCAACATTCATCAACTCGGATGAAAACCAAACTTTCAAATGTTCAGCTGATGGATCATTGATTTCGATACTTCGTGCATATTTAAACACTTCAGCGCTTGTTTTCTATAAAGAAATCATTTAGTACTGTTGTTAGCTTTGTGTTGCTCTTGTTTATATAACTTTTATCATTCTTATTTTATTTTATTGTTATATATACATACCAGCCCTTTCAAGTCCAAATAATATCGTTGAAGTTCTTCGGGATCATTGCATTCAAGTGGCCCCCCTTTGGTTTCTATCTCGTGTAACTCTGCCTCTGTGAAAACTTTCTTCCAGTTTTGATCAGTAACATCCAAGATAAGCGATTGAGAGGGACTAGAACAAAAAGAAATTCAGCAAGATATTTATTAACTGATAATGGATGATTGTCTAACTCAAATTAAAGATGATGATTATTACTTACTGATAATAATGGCAGGTCAACGCAAAGTTCATTACTTTTTCTTCAACTGAAACTGGATCGGTTTCATCTTCCGTTGCTTGTGCTATTATTGATTCCAAATACCAAAAATCTTCTTTATGTTCTTCTGTAAACTTCTTAAAACGTTCATATAACACCTCCTTTTGTTGTTCTGTGATTCTTGTTTTAAGGCGAGGTAAAGAAGATGGCGATGAATACGATGGTATATCTTGTAATGACACTTCATCAGTAGGTATAGAAGCTGTAGTGGTTGTAATTGCTAAACGACGATCTACGGCTTTCCAAGATGCTCGGCCAAACTTTTAATACAAATAAGATTGATGAAATTAGTTCCCTTTTATAAATATCAGAGCTTTAAAACGAAGTGGTGATGCTTACCAAATCAATATTGTTTGCTGCTGCAATTTTCTTTACGTGTTTGATAAAAAAGCCTTTTGCTCCTCATATATTATCTTCTGCTTTAAGACTAGCGACAAGATAATCTTCGAAATGATCTAAGATTATAACTAATTCAATTTGTTCTAATTTATCTTTTTTTTCAAGTATGACATCCAAGATATCTATTATTTGATACAGAGGGTTGTTAATATATATGTATAGGACACTGTTCATGATTATTATAAAAATTACATAATCTATAAATTTTAAATAATCTATAAAAAATTATTATAAATATTATAATTTAATTTTTATCTTCTGGAATAACAACTGCTACAACTTTTTTTAATTTTTTATGTTTTAGTTGTACTTCTTCTATTATAGTATCCTCTTCATTATCACTAATTTCTACTTCATTATTTTCATTTATATTTGAACTTAAATTTAATTTAAAATTTCTTTTTGTGATAATAACATTTCATTAAAATTTTTATCTATAGTTATTTTATCTGTAACTACTATATCTATTTTACAATCAATTGTAGGAAACTCAAAATTATCTGTATACCACAATTTATGATGTGGTTGTGATGGAATTTTATATTTATCTACCATTTTCCAAATATTCTTTAATAAACAAGCTAATTTAAATTGGAAATTATAATATTTAATATCTGTTATTTGCATTGCTGATATATTATTATTAAATCGATTAAATTTTGATGCTAATACAGAAAATTGATCTTCAATTTCAGAACGAAAACTACCAAATCTTTTATTATATTATAATTCTATTGCTGTTAAATTCTTATTATTTTCTTTTCTTATAGGATAAATAAAATTTTTATCTGAAAAATCTTTTCCTTTATTTAGACTTTCTTCTTTAAATTTATTAATATATAAATTATAACCACCATCCATTGCTAAACAATCTCCTATATGCATCTTATTATATAATTTCATTTCAAGAAACATTGTTCCATCACTGCCTTTACCACATTTATCACTTTTAGATATATATATAATCATTTGGTTACTAACAACAACTATTTGGGTTCTTAATCCAGGACCATCTAATTTATATGATTTTATATCTTTTGTTTTTGTATTAGGATCATAATATTTTATTTTGCCATCATGACTATCAATATATAATGTCACATTTTTAAATGATGATGGATTATTTAATAAAGATGATATAATTCTAATTTTTATATTTGAAAACATTTTATTTAAATCTGTATCAATTTTTTTTATTAATCTTCTATAATTAGAATGCCAAAATGTTTTATATAGTGAATAATATGTAGTATATGACATAAATTCATGTATATCCCTACCTGATTTACCACTTACCATATGATATAAGATTAATAAACCTTTATCAATTTCCTTATATGGACCAGGGTATTCAGAAGTACTATAAATACAGTTTAAAAAATAAAAAACAGGAATATATCCTAATTGATTTAATAAAACATCCTTTACTATTTTAATATTATTATTTTTTATATCTTTGATTTCTGTACGATGGTTATATTTGTTATTTAAGATATTCCAATTTTCATCTAAAAATGTCCATTGTTCTGCAATTAATTTATTTATTTATTTCATTATTTAAAATATCATTTAAATTATTATCATTATCCATATTTTATTTTTTTATTATATAATAATTCAATTTTATTTTAATTAAAAATCTTATTTTTTATAGGAATAATATTATCAGTATCTTAGTAAACAGTCTGCTATAGAAACAATTAATTTTTTTCAATTGTATTATTGCTAGTGACTACCTTTGTCTGAAGGTTTCTTCTCTAGCGCTGCAGTAGTGGTTTAAGGGCCTATAGATGTGCCTTCAGTTTCCATAGTAGCAGGTTGGGAGTCTTGAGTTTCCATGGTAATGAGACAAACAAGTACAGGATTTTTCATCTCCTAGTAGACGTTTGAACTTTTATTTAGGCAGAAGGGATTTAATTTTAGGCAGAGTGGACATGAATGTTAATCTGAGTGGACATGAATAAAAGTTAATCTGGACATGAATAATAATTGATCTGGACATGAATGAAAATCGAGCTGGATATGAATGAAAATCGAGCTGGACATGAATGAAAATCGATCTAGACATAAATGAAAATCGAGCTGGATATGAATATAAATTGACCTGGGCATGAATGAAAATCGATCTAGACATGAATGAAAATCGAGCCGGACATGAATATAAATTGACCTAGACATGAATAAAGATCGATCTGGACATGAATATAAAACGATCTAGACATGAATATAAATCGATCTGGATATGAGTGAAATCAATCTGGACAAAATAAAAATCAATCTGTATATGAATGAAAATCGTTCTGGACAAGAATAATAATCAATCTAAACATGAATAATAGACAACCTGAACATAATAACAGTCAAACTGGATATTGTTTTAGTCAACTAAGACATAATAAAAGTTGAAGTAGATAATATATTAAGTGTAGCAGAGCAGAATATTTGAGTACTTAAGATTTTCAATTCAAGTCAAGACATAATAGAAGTCAAGCAGTACAAAGCCAATGTCAAGATATAGTAGTATGGCTGGTTCACTCGTGACAAAAAGCTTGTAGGCTAATGTACAGGAAATGGCAAGGGTGCGTCAGAGACTCACTACTGTGCGCATAAGCCTATTTTGCTGCTGTGGGGATAGGGCCTGAGCGTTTCCCCTCCATTCATTTTACCTAGGTTGAGTTTAACACAAACTGGAGGCTGGTAGCTGAGGTAGGTGGAAAGTGTGGGGTTTGTTAGCAGCAGTAGGGAGGAAAAAAAACAACAACCAAAGATCCTTTTTTTTTCTCATTACCATTTGCCACAGCAAATCAACAGCTTCGACGCACACTTGTAAATGGCTCCTACTCTCTTCACGATGAATAAAAACAAAGAAAACAAAACGGCACAATCCACGGATTTATTGAAAAACGAAATGAAGGTAACTGTTTTCTTAAAAAAAGCATGTGCTCAAGATTTATAAAGGAGTAGACCGCCGTTACTGCTGCTTAAAGAAACGCTGGATAAGTGAACAAGGGAAGGAAAAGGTTACTGGTTGTGCTTGGGGTATAGCTTTAGTAGACATACGCTCATTCAGAATTACTGTTTTTTTTTCTTCTCTGTATATACTTGATGCACCATCTTGCACCATTCCAACGCCAGACTTGCGTGCGTAATACAACATCGTCCTCTACCTGCACAAACCATTCGTACTCACAACAAGAACGACGCAACAATCTTCTTCTCCATTACTCATACACAATTATATACAACATGACGCTGATCCGCCATTGACTTGCAAAATATATAGCCTGGCGCATTTACCTCTCACTACCATATACGCCCATATTACATGATGACGACTATGACGCCAGTCTTTTGTTTTAATAATTGTACGCTCAAGCACATCATCATTGTAATGACGGTCATCTCTTTCTTTGCTGTTTGTATACACATCAACGCGATGATAATTATATTCCTATGATGCATACACACCACCACTACTATAACCCTCCTCTGCAATTCGCTGTACTCGCACACATACGATGGCAACGACGATTACCTTTTTCTTTTTGCATATGCCAACACGAACATTGCCGGTCTTGATGGATAAGGTAGTTATATATGCTGACGGGTGGAATGTAGGGTTTTATCATTGTTACTGTAGATGTTACAGCTAGGATAAAAAAATAAAAGCAAAAGATCATACATTATGTAGTCATTATGTTTCAGTTGTCTGCATAAACGGGTGTGATATGGTACTGCATGTTATTATAAGTGCTTCTATAAAAACTATAAATATAGCTCTGAGCGGTGATGATAATATGGCAGGGACAAAGAAGAAAACGCGTTTGTTGTTATGAAGGAGGAAGTTTTTTGCTATTACAACAGCAACTTTATTTGTTGTTAATAACAACAACTATGAACAACCGACAAGTTACTACCCTTGACGACATTTGCTACGCTCTCTCTCACTCGACTGTACGTGGAGTTCTTGGGTGCTAACTGAAAACATTAAAAATCAATAAGAATTATTGTTTTTTAAATGTTTGATAATATAATATTGTTTTTTAAATGTTTGATAATATAATATTTTAATTTTATTAAAATATTAATTATCTCGGTTGTATACAACCGAATCAGTTGCTCCCTTTCTTATGTTGGGGGGTGCAGTGCAAGAAAAATCTTCGATTTTTTGAAGCACTAGCTGGTCTTTGCGAAGCAAACCTAAACTAACGGTAGTTAGTTATTAAGAGTAAAATGAGAATCTGAAAGATTCCATTTACTCTCCCTTGCACTCATTCCTAATGAAATCGTGTGCGTTCCTACTGCTCGATGGCAGATCTTCAAGGATCGCATCTGAGGTTATACTCATAGCAATATAGTAAGAAAAATATTATAATTTTGTATATTATTTATAATTTATACAAATTTAATTAATTAATATTATTTATTTTATTATTCAACAATAAATTTTAGAACAAATAAAACAAATAATTCCTAGGATACAATTATTATATATATTTATTTATAATGAACCAAGATTATTCTCATGTAAATATTTAAAAAGTAAAGATTTTTGATTGAATTTATCAATTGTTAG